AACGTCTATTCCCTTCAAATGCATGTACATTGCACTCATTTAAGAGAGGTCAATCATTTTTTCCTTGGAGGGGGGGGGGGTGTCATTTTTTTCTTTTCTTCTGCGTAGAAATTTAGTAACTTTGTAGTTCTAGGCAACTGACGATGACTTACAAGATGAAAATGGAGTGCATAGGGATTAAAATTGAACTATGGAATAGAGCCTTTATGAACACGTATTTATTTTAGTGAAACAAGTTCATGAATTTTAAGGCTGAAATCTCATGTAAACTAACCAGAGTGATTCCTGTGCATTTTTAAATCCTTTGTATTTTTTTCACAAAATAGAACAATTTATTTATTTATTTTGCTCGATTTTTTTTTTGGGGGGGGGGGTTAATACATTTTAAATGTTTGATAGAAGCTTTATTTATGAAACAACCAATCCTGGACCAGGAGGTATATGTATTGGGGTGTATTCAAGGACCTTTGATTTGTACTACATAGCTGTTGCGCTACATGTGTATCTAATGTATCGATATTAAATTTAAATGTATTTCTTGGAAAACGATAAATTCATGATACAGCAGTAAAAACGTTGCACCTTATGAAACAGAACAGAAGCCAAACGTAGCAATTAAGGTGCCAATTGCAAGAGTCGCATATACAGCAACCATACTCGCTCTGTCATCAGAAAACTTCATATTGCATCAAAAGTTTTATTCTTGTGAAACATTACAGACATAGAAAATCATAAAAGATTCAAATATTATATACTCGTATCACTTTTAACACAAATAATGTTGTGTAAATCGTGTTTATCATGTAAACTGCAAATATGAATAATTCCAGTAAAATACATTAAACGCGTGTTACCTAAAGCAATTACTGGATTCCTCCTTACATGTGTTCAACCAACAAGCAATTCTATTGCATAAAATCATACTGTACATTAATAATTACGTCTTAATTAAACGTACTATCTTTTCTGAACGTTTAGTTGACCTATACTGTTTCATTGATGTAAACCAATAGTAGCGGGTGTCCGAAACCAAGATTTTCTCGACTCGCACATTACCAGCAGTGTGAATGTGACATATTTTGTATTCAAAATTAAAACATTAAATAAATAATGCAACATTTTGTAGAGTAAGACTGTTAACCTTCATAAAAGGGCAATGCCGACAAAATGGTATGTCTTATAATGGACAAATCAATTACTAGTAACTGAGGAGTGCTGCAGGGACCATAAGTTTAACATAGGCGTCGGAAGCAAATTAAAAGTGGGGTGGCTAATTGAAAGTGGGGGGGGGGTGTGCTAAACCAACGAAAAAAGGTAAGCCCCAATTTTCAATGCCTATATTATGTATATCTTTGCAAAAAAGGGGGGCTAAGCCCCCCCCCCCGGGTTCCGACGCCTATGTTTAAAAGCCAAACACCCATGTCCGGTGTGCTCTAATTCATATATTATTGAATAGAGGTGAAATATTGAGCTTATCTATCTAATTTTCAATATACGGTACGTGGCATTTACCCCCAGGAAAAATGTTCAGAGTATCAATGAACAGAAATCAGTATTGTTTGCTTCCGTGGAGAAAATACTTGCAAATAAAGTGTTTAATTAATTTATCTTGGCCTCTTTCAAGTGTTAAGAATACTAAATTGATTACAAGTTGAGTAATATACTGTAAATTTCAATTTATTGGAATTCAGATCTAAGGGCAGATACACAAGTTGAGTAATATACTATTGGAATTGAGATCTAAGGGCAGATCACTCTAACTACAGAAAAATACCATAGAATCAGAACTCTTTAGTGTGCGGTGTAGAGAGGATTCTTAGGAGCGCAGGATAGTAAATTAAGACTGCAATGATGGATGTATACTTTGAAGTCTTTGATACGATTGTTCGTAGTGTTGTTCCTTAGTAAGAAATAGTTTGTAAACAGTGTTCTTATTACATGAATGGGATATAAATATAAAATAAATTGGATTTTCGTAGCGATGTATAGCTTTCAATAAAAATGCACCTAATTTAGATAGCTCTTTCACCTTTTGACTACAAATTAAACCTACCAGTTTCATTTTTTAATTGGTTGTTTGACTGACAACGTGTTGATCTACTCATTACAAATGTCGTTCTCGTAAACAATCATTAATGCGATTGGTCAGTATTATCGGTTCGATCAAACAAAGTGACATGTACGCTGTCACTGGAATGATAGTAGTAAGCAAGATACATGTACCTTCAAAAAGGTAATACTTTAATTTTACGTTTAAAAAAAAATCTAGTATAATATTCAATAATTATGAAATTTAATTTACACAGAAAAAAATCAGAAGAAATAAGGCAAGACATTTTTAAATTCTATTTAATTGGTTTTATTAATAATAAAAAAAAAAATCACGTACTATACATGCTTCCTTTCAACAATTTCACCTTGATTTGCTGGTAAGTTGATATTTAAAAAACATAATTCCATTCCATATTACAAGGTTAAATGTATTTATAGAAATCATTTTTTCCCAACTGTTTCAGTCCTCTGCGATTGAATCGGACGTTGTAGACGTTAAACTGTTTTGAATGTGACAAAAATGGCAGTTCGTCGTCCATTTCTTCTCGTTTCAGGATTACTTCAGCAGGTGATAAATTAAATTACAACATCAATGCTATATGTACAAGAAATAACTGTTTCCCTTAGGTTGAAAAAAAGAAGTTATGATCGCGCGGGCCATTTTAGCCAGTCAGTCTGGATAAGGCAATCAAACAATTTTTAAAGATGGCCTTAGTGTGTAGTGGGGGGCCTTTTTTTCTGTATAACACGATTCAACTAATTTTGGCCCACAGTGGAACATATAGATGCACATTGTCCGAAATCAAAGTTATAAATAACACGAACAAAACAGAACAAAACAATACAATTTCATTGTATAATGAACAGAAAATTAGCAGTCAACTTTAAAGTGCATAAAATTCATTCAAACAGTATCTGCATGAATAATTATTGTAATATACCTATATTGTACACGTACATGTATGCTCTTTTCTTATATTATAATTTTTAATTGAGTGTTGGCATAATAAAACAGCAAAGTTAAAATCATCCTTTGACATAATCCATTTAAACAGGTCGACATATAACTTAAAGCAGCGATTTGAAAAAAAAAAAATAAACGACTTTAAAAAGACTCTTCCTGTGGGATATTTATACAGTTGGCATTTTAGCAAAAAAATGTAATTCGTCTTCTGTGGAACTTGAAGCACATTTAATTATTTCTTTTTTCTTTCAAATCTGCATGTCTCTACCCGTGAGCAATTACTATGATTCTAAATTTCATGAGAAGATTACCTTCTTGCGACTTGATGACGTAACAATAGACGAAACGTCATTTTTGATACCAAACCTCGGGATTTGCACACTAAATTGTGTCTCTTAACTGACAGTGAAACGAATGGACGAATCACAATATCTTCATTTCTTAAACTGTATTTTTCGGCATCAAGAGATGATGGTTTCAATCTGCTTTTGTAATACATGTTTATTATCAGGAGTGTCTCAATATAAACCAGAATTTTTTATTCTTGTCGTAAAATATGAAATAAATGCCTTGCAATCAAATTCATTTATAACTGAATGTAAGAAAGAAATCCGTCACCAGGATAAAAATAAAATCAAACAACTGAACAATGAACAATGAACGAGTTAACAAATGGAGAGGAAAACAAATAGAAAGGAAGATATACCTGTGATCTTATCTGCAAAAGAAAGGTAATACCATTTTGTATTAAATCTGTATAATACAGGTGTATTTTACAGTCCATATACATGTACTTGAAATATATATTTAATGTAGGTCCTAATGTTTTCACATTTTGGTAACATGCCATACTCAGTTAAATATATGACCCACGTCTAAGTGAAAGTTCGTATCGTAATGTGCACACTTCACACAGAGCCGAAAGTAATCGTAGCTACTCGGCCGTTTCCGTAACCCCAAATTAACTCTTTTCGGTTACGGAAAAGGACGAGCTTGACTGAGTGAATCTGACGTCACAGCGGAAGTGACGAGGGGAGCGTCTGCAGTGCCTTGTAAAATCGGAGGAGGACGCTGTCATACACCTTGTCGTGTTTATCTCCAAAATTAATTTATTGTCGAGCGTTTCAATCTTTGATTCAGCGATTTTTTTTTTGATGCGGCGATCGATGCTTCTAGAAAGAGAACAGCAAGGTTAGTGAAAATATCGGCGTGGTGGAAATGCCAAAGATTAACCTCGAAGGGTAACGTTAGCCTATAGAATTCAGCGATGGAAGTAAGATTTACGTGGAATTATGTAATCTTTGGGAGTACAGTGCTTGGATAGTAATTGAAAATCGGACATTTGTTGTCTTTGGTGCGTTCTTTACATTGGATCAGCGATCCAATGTAAATCCCCGTTAGGGTTAGTTGTGCCAGGCATGACTAACCCCCTATCACGCGTGCGCCAACTAACCCTGTTGACACAAAGGGAGACTGACTAAGCCCTGGGACTAAGTCAACAAAACAAAATAAAATACATAAAAAAAAGAACACCAGCACAATCAACACCTTAAAATACAATAAAATACCTAATATATAATCAAATAAAAATTAAAAATAAAATTTTAAATATTAACTTTAACAAAAATTAAGGTATGAATGACAGGGATGTTGAAATCATTCCTTGAGTTTCAACTCAGCCAGTTATTATGAAGAAAACTCATATTAGTTGTCAAAGATAGTATGGACTAACCCAATATTTATGAGAAAATTCATGTTAGTTGTCTAAGTTAGTCGCTCTAAACACAACAAACAGTAGAAATTCTTGTTAGTTGTCTAAGTTAGTTTAACTAAGGGTTTTCTTCTTGAAAACCCCAAATTCCAATAATCAAAATAATTCCAAATTCAAATAATACACTGTTTTACAAATATTTATTTTTGTTCTTTTTTGTGTTTATCATACATTTAGAACACTCTCTAATTAAATAAATGAGGAATTTCAAACCTGTCTGTTGATGACATCCTCAGGTATATTTGTTCCTGTTAATGGCTGATTTATCAGTCCCACCAGTAACGCTAATCGAACCAAACCAAGAGCTGCACCTAGCTGCATGCTCTGAAAACTTGGAATTAAATTACCAAACCTGAAAATGTAAAAAATTAAGCATTTGTATTTTAATGATATTTTGCATTCCGGTACATTCTGAATGATATTTGTGCACAATAGGGATGACAGAATCAAAAGCTGATCAAAGTGTAACTAAAGGTAATTGAAATTATTACCCCCTGCGGCAATTTTTTTTAAGTGCTGTATACAATTTTCTGAATGTGATTTTGAACTTACCAAAATAAAAAACACATTTTCTGGTCATAAGTAATCTTTGAGTGAAATATGGACAAGCAATGTTTCACCATTTGAAAATTACGGACCTGACATGAATCGAACACTTTCTGACAGTGGTTGGACAAACAGATGGATGGACAAGAAGATTCCAATTTCCCCCCAACTTTGTTTGTGGGTGTATAATCAAAGCATTTATTTAACTTGAAATACAGAACTTTAGATTATAATTATAGTCATTACCAATGTGCTTTCCAAGAACCAGAATCTCGTTCAAACAGGTCATCTGACAAGGGATTTATCAGCAACATTCCTGCAACTTGACTGAAATTTTTTTAATATCGGTGACAACAGGTGTAAAACTGCATGACAGGGTAATGATATTTCTCAAACAGAAACAAGGGTTTGTTTAAATTTAAATACTCACTTGTCAAACATTTGAGTGTAAAATTGTGCAACAAGGGCCCCTAACTCTGCTCCAACTAAGATAAAGGGTTGTCCTTCCTGACTGCTTGTTGTTATTAATTTGTTTAAATCATCTGCCATTCTGAAATAAAATATAAACATACACTCAATAACTTTAGCCTTATTTATCACAAGTATAGACTTTACAAGTGTTAAGTACTTTGTATCTGCAAATTGTAATTTTATTTGTACATGATCAATGTACATATATCCGGGTGATACTTTCCCCTCTTGGTTTCAAGTCATGTCATCTCTTACATGTAATTACTAACACACTTAAACTTTGTCTAGCACCTGTAGCTTAATACATATTTTTGTTTAATAAATTTGTATATTAAAATATAATGAATGTATTTACATCTGTTTCTTTCTTAAATTATTGTAATTTCAATTATAAAGTTGTTATTCAATCTTAGACAATCCAACACTACTATATACATTACCTTTCTACTGTGAAAGGATGCCACCTGTTCCTAGCATTACTCTTAGCATCCTGTCCATCTGTCTGAGAATAATTCTGTTGAGGTAAAGTTTAGTCCATAAAAAAAATAACCAAAAATTAGCTGGTATAGATGCTATACATGTATTTACTAAGATAATAATCAAGTTACATGCTTTGTATCAAGACATACCATTACTGGTCGTTCACTGAAGCCCAGACCTGCTCTGTCATAAACACACACCTATCAGCAATATTGTGAAATATCTATGTCAACAATTTTGTCATGAACTGCTGATGTAAAATATCTATATCCAAAAAAATCTTATATAGAATATAATTCAACACAAAAAACTCACTTACCCTTGAAATTTTGGCTATTTTAGGCCAAACTAACTCCCACACATCTGATGTCATACCTGTAGGTGCATCCAATATCACTAGAAAAAAATACATATTTGAAATATTAAGTCCATGCAGTCTAGAAGAAAAGAATTTTTAAAACTAGAGGTACTGTGAGCACTGAGCTCACAAAATGACTCCCCCCACCCCTTTCCGCTTCCATATAAGTATAATTATGGCAAAGTCCATTTTTTGCTTTGGGAAATCTCAAATATCTGTCCAATCAGAACATAAAAGGGAGGTGCACAATGGCACTGTGTAGTAAAGATTCTATGAAAGCCTTATTAAATTTCATTCTGTATTATAAGAGGAGTTGGGGTTAAGAGATGGGTATCCCAAATATACCTGAAAAAATGGCAGTGTCAATGTTTTGCTAAGGGAAACCTCCAATATATGTCCAATCAGAACATAAAAAAGAGGTGCACAATGGCAGTATGTAATAAAGATTCTGTGAAAGTCTCATCAAGTTTTTTTTAAGTGGTATAGGAGAAGTTGTGGATAAGAGATAGGTACCCACAATATATTAGAAAAAATGGCAGTGCCCTTGTTTTGCTTCGGGAAACCCCAAATATCTGTCTGATCAAATTGAAAAAATAAAAGGTGCACAATGGCACCATGTTATATTCGTGAAAGTCTCAATAAATTTTATTTAGCAGTGTAGGAGAAGTTGTGGATAAGAGATAGGTACTCCCAAGTATTACGGACATACAGACAGACGCTCCCATCACTATATACCCCCTGCTTGAAATCATTATGCTAATTTATTTTGAACATTTAGAATCAAATAGACAGTTTCCTTCATTTTTGTTTCAATCATGTACTGAATATAAGTAGAAAAACAAATGCATGACAATTAAATGTCTTTAATGATTCTTTTTCTAATCAAAGAATTACCTGTAGGAGGTCCTTTTCCATGACACATTTTGAATATTTTCTGTCCCCATGCAATATCATATAGCTGTCCTATAATATTCACAAAATTAGATAATATCAGACTGACATATACTTTGTACCAGTAACTGTCTTCTGATTAAATTTTGTTCACATATGCAACTTAATTTGAACATTTAGATGCCATATTTATCATACTGGTATGTAGATTTTTTCAGTAAATTGATTAAAATACCATGAACTGGTTTGAGTTCTGTTGCTTCCTTCTGCAAAGCTGCATAGTTAAGGAATGGTGGTACAAGTGTAACCAGTATCAGGATCTGTACAGCCTTCAGGAGGCGCTTACCAAACCCTCCACCACCCCCTCCATTGCTTACCTGGTCACCTCTAGACTAAAGAAAATAGAAATAGTGAAATCACTTATGATTATCATAGTGACCACCATACATAGAATAAATTAAATTATTGTTAACTCCATGCATTCATAAATGTCAGTGTTAGCAATCAATAACAAAACTTACAACAGAAATAAAACAGAAACCTGCCAGATTATTTGTCACTCTTGTATTCAAATATTTTCAGAAAATCATTGTTGCCCATTCGTATACATGTAGTATCATATTTGCATAAGTACATGTATTGCAGCACATAGCTAGAAGTTTTAATATAAAACTTACCTGAAATATAGCTTTTAATTGAGCAATTTTATTAATGAATATTGTTATGCCCAAATCATCCAAGTTATTTCACTAAATGCGTGATTCGAATTGATGTATTTATCTAGGTTTCTTGGGTTTCTGAATTTGCAAATATTTGATGAAACCAACAGTACTATATTCCCTCACTTATATATTCAGCTGTTTATCAGCTGTGTATGTTTTTACCTTTGAAAAATTATCTTCTTTTTGTACTGACCCACTTCCAGCGTCAGTCACTGCTTTGGGTTTCACAATAGTTCGTTTTCTCATGCTGTACAGTTGCACACAAAGTTGAATTGCCTTGCAATGAAAAGTAAACAGACTAGCAACTTGCACACGTGGTGGGAAATTTCCGGTTCAACTATGTCTAAAAATAGATCTAGATGTGTATACATTGATCACTAAACGATTTAGAAAGTATTGTTAGATATTATATAAAATAAGAAACATACTTTTATGAATAAATATACTATAATTTTTCTGTCATAAGGGAAAACCTGTAGATATTTTATCGGAAACATATTTGCTACTCTTACACCCTCGCTGTTAGTTTCTTAACTTTAAAATGTACTTCCGGTTAGAAGTTTTTGACAGAGTGAAAGGGAAAAGAATGTGAAGAATTTTTTCAGTTTCAGGATGAGCATAGGGTAAGGATTCATTCAATCAGACATCATAAAGTCAGTTCAGGAGCAGAAAGGAATGGCGTCATGCTAGGATCATTCATTTGAAAACCCTCAAATCCCCATGAAGTTTGTTGACACCTGCGAAATGTGAGTGCACCGTGTGCGTGTTGTAGTACAGTAGGGCCATAGGTCAGTAAGTTCTCTAACCATCACTGATTTAGCTACTAACATAGATGTCAATATGCATGACCCATTAACACAGTTTTAAAAAATCTTAAGGTACGTATTTCGTGACATTATTTTAACCTTTTGAACAAAATCAGTTCAAGGATGAAACAAGATGAAGTAGGTCTAAGTCTTAACCACTGGGATCTGATCTTATAGTAGGGTTTTTATTAATATATTCGATCAGTGCATATTATCTATTCAAGATATATTACTAAAGTCAGGTACTCTTCACACAATTGCTCCGAAGAAAATAGTTCCATTCATGATCAGTAGATAAAACATTACAACAAATATTAAGAATAATCATGTATATTTAATACGTTAAAGAAAACAAAATTATCGTTAAAAGATTTTAAGAAAATCACTTTTTCCCCAGGAAAGCAAATAAAAAGTTTTCATATTCCTACGCTCGCTGCCTCCTCAGTCTTTTTCACGAAAATATATAGGTCACACTTCGATTGATAATGATAAATCTTTTCACCAGTTATATTACTGTCATGATTATTGTTCGTTAATTGCCGTATATATTTTCTTTTGAGTTAGAATGTTAATCATTAACTGTGTGTGTGTTTTTTCTCTCTTTTTTTAAATAACGGAATGGTTATTATGGCTAAACACAACGTGATTTTCCGAGCTCGGAAAGATCTTCGCACGTGTGTAGACCTAGGCTATTTGATCTTGCAAGAACAGGTGTGTGCACCGTTCCCTAGTGACGCTTAGATCAGTAGACTGGGTATCAGTACTTGCTATGGACATAAAGAAGTTTAGAACTTAATACACCAGTTTCATAACAAGTGCAGGTTTTTTACTCAAGGTGAAGCCCTAGACTGGGCTAGAGGGGCTGAGTTACGGTCATCGATCTAACACGAAAATGTACTATTTTTGTAAATAAAAACATTTCTAGAAACAAAAATGAAGTTTATCTTCAAAACGTCTGTATATTCAAAATCAGTATATGGTGGAGGAATATTCAGTGATGCTCCATAGCCGCAACCGATCTCGCGCTTTCCTTTGCGTTTAACAACGGCCGTCAATGCATCACTGGACGAGTTCATTGATTACTCTAAAAGGTGACAGGTTGGAACATCTTTAACATCTACCTATACTTTGAGTGATAGTACTTTTTAATAGCACAAAATTAAAAAAATAAATTAAAATCTATCCTTGATAGATCTATAGTTTTGCTATTTATGAAAATGGGCTATCTTTGATAATCCATAATGGTTTGGACTTGTTTTGATTTTTTTTTTTACAGAAGATTCTATCATTGGAAAGTTAGATGGTACACATGTAGCACAGGCCCATAGTACGCGGGATTTTTTGGGAGTCCCCCCCCCCCCCTTTCACTTTGAAAACGTTGCTATAGGCCTGTAACATGCTATTTGGATTAAATATTCCTGAAAATGAGTGAGGCGTTAAATACATTTTTAAAATTATACGATTAATTATATTTAGTTTATGTTCAATGTGAAATTAAAACTATTTTTATGCATGTGCAACTTTGTGATAAAGTCACTACATGCATGTAACGTTATATATGTACATGCAGTTTGTTTCCTACTATATGCATATTTTATTCAACAAAAGATGTTGAAACTCAGTAGCCTAAATATTATGTCATTTTAGGATATTTATGTATATGGCACTTTTATAGTTGACTTTCTACAGCTTGAGTATCTCTGACGTTTTGTCAGTAAATACTTGTTTTTTTATTAGAAATCATCTGAACACAATGAAAATTCGAATAAATTAAAAGTCGAATATCTTGGATATGGGGTAACCCATATCTATTCTTGTTATTAGACACATTATGTGCACAAGTGAGAGTGGAATTTAGGAAACGGTATCCAGAGAGAGAAAACCGTTTCTAATATGCGTATGACCTTGTAATGCCTTCATGCAATATATACAGTATCTTTATATTATATAAGAAGATTATTTTCATAATTTTCATTGGCTGAAAGGACATCCTGTGATATTTGTCCTTTTTTAATAATGACGCGAAAGCACATCTGCAAAATATGATATCACACATGTCACAACTCAGCGCTCTGCTGAACCAAAGTTGCGTAGATTCCGTAGATTATTCACTTTGAGTGATTATATAATATAAATTTTATGGACTTCAGTAAACAGTCAATATGTGGTTATAAGGACCCATGTCAAGATATATTGACCTCAGACACAAAAAATGATAGGGACCTTGCAAGCTTGGTCGTTATCACTTTCTGGGTCTTCGGTCAGTATCACTTGACATGGGTCCTTACAACCACATATCGACCTACAATGAAGTCCATAATTGTATAATACATGTAGATGATAATATTAAAATGAATAATTTATAATTGCTGCCTTCTGTTAAGTAAACACTGTTTTAACACTAAAACTTTAAAAAGCATAATTGACTTATGGATTTGTGTGTATTTTACAGCATTTTACGTCTGACAGTATTAATATATAAAAGTACTTTAAAGTCGATCAGCACAAGTAATGCTTAAGGATTTTAAACATACTTAAGCAATGCATTTTTCAGATAGATATTTTGGTGTGAATGTTAATATTTATAAAAAAAAGTTCAAATTCTCTCTAAATAAAGTTGAACATCTTACATTTGACAATGAAGCACTTTACCTTCAACTTGAATAATGGCAGAGACATAAATGACAGAGATTTGCAAACTGTGCCACAAACAGGTTTATTTGCAAAATATAGCTAGATTCAGCAACTACAGTTACTACTCATTGTTTCTATATTTCCATATAAACTTAGATTTATGATATGTTTGATTGTGCTTTAATATACCCTTAGGCCGAGTGCAGATTTATTTTTTTCTGAATACCATCAAAAAGTTTTATGTACAGTATCTTCTCCCTTCATACTCATGGTACATTGCAGGGTTGCTATAATTAAAGGTTAGATGCACTCAGTCTAGTCTGTTATGTCACATATTTTGTTATATGTTAGTTGCATTTCCATAACAGAGTCTTTAACAAAAGCATTGATATTTTTCAGTAATACAGCTGAAAAATACTAAACCAATATAGGACCCCCTATATATCACAAGATTTCCAATAGCCAAGAATCTGTTATTTATGTGAGTGGTAACAGTGTAGTATTTTAAAAGCACTAGTGCATTATTCAGATTTATTCTTCAAATGTTGATTTTATATCATTTAAGTACTATTCAGAAATTTAGTTCTTATAAGTCCCTTTTATACTCAGATTTGCTTTTTCACTGATGATCAATCTCATTAGTCAAGAGAAAAGTATTGATTGATTCAACAATGAGTATTAACTCTATCGTTTTCATCCATGCATCTCTGTTGAGCAGATGTGACTTTGCTATGTTGATGGACATTTGTTAACTTTTCATCTCTGATCCAAAGCATACATTGTACATATAAAAATCTGTCATACATGTGGCAAAAAATGCACCCTATATTTAATTTTGAAAATATGTTCAAAGGAAATAACCTTATCACCCGAATTTACTGAATTTTTACAACCATATAGATGGTAATCTTTTTAAAAATGTTTCTAAGATTTTGACATCATGTTTTTGTTACAGAGTAACAGTAATTGTACATTGTGCTATCATAAATGTTACAAATATATGAAGAAAGAGGTACTGGTGCTTGTATTTACTGAGAACAAATGTGCCAGATGCCAGTATCACCGGAACTGTCTAATTTCATCAATTTATTAAGTCTTTGATGCTTAATGAACCACAGCACAATATGTTGAGGGTGCCAACATCATCAGTTGAGGTGTAGACATTTTGCAGTTTGCAGCAAATTTTAGGTGAATGCATAGCACCAGTCATCTAATTGTAATACGAAAGGAAAATCTTGAGATCTTGCACAAACAAAACATCATATTTTTTCACATGTGTGCATTTTTCCAGTTACTTTTTTACTGTACACTTGCTTGAATTCAGAGAATTGGTAATCTAAGAAGCAATATTTTATAATGACTTTTAACAATAAATGATTCTAAATGCCTTGTCAGATCCTGAAGTACCCATTGCACTTTAGCATACAATGCTTTTTAAAACCACTACTTGTGTAGCTGAGTCAACAACACTTGTCACAATCTATTTCTCTTATGAATCAAAAAAGTTTTGAATTGAATACCAGAAATTTTAGGCGACGTTCTGAATCCTATAGTGGAATAAGTACCCCAGCATAGAGCTTTGTGTTTCTGGGAAAATCCTAGTGCTGTGTCTGACAAAGAATGAATAGACGGTCATGTAAGTAATTTAAATGGGATTTGAATAACTTGTATTTATGTGTATACAGTGTATTTATAGTATATAGTCTAATGATTTTGAGCAATGTTTTGATTCGTTAATCTTCTTGTTTAGCATTATTTCCCTTGGCACATTCTTTGAGTGTCATGCTCAACATTCTGTTGGACCAATAGACAACAATAAGCTGATTTCAGTATCTACCTGTGTTTATATCCTGCACTATCTGTCTCCTTCACTGTGTAGACATTATTACTTTCACCTGGGACCTGGCTGATTACAGTTAAATACCTTGCAAACACTGGACTGATACTACAATACCAAGGAATTGATGACATTTGATGTGTGTGTCCGATTTTACGTTACTGAGCTATGATCTGTAATTATCCGCGATGTCACACCCTGGAGATCCCAAGTCCTCCTAACAATGCTGGACCCAATGGGCCATACCAGAAACTGGTTCATGAGAGTCAAAGGGCATAATCCAAATTCTGGTAGTTACTGAATAAAAGGTGGCAATGTTGTTTACTTTATAAACAATCCATATACCTCTCAATGAGTTATATATTTCAAAAAAGAGTTTATAATGGATTTAAGCTTGTCATCAAAGTCTTGTCTTGGGGTTTTATTTAGCTACTAAAGAATGCAGTATAGAGATGTTTGTTTTGTCACCTGTAAAAGCTAGTATAGGAGATATAGACCAAGGTACTATCTGTCTGTACCTTTAGAAACAATTTACAAATCATGTTGGTTTCTTATTAATATTTTCATAACAGAGAAATTTGGATGGAATTGGATCTTCAATGTATTTTTAGGTTTGAATTAATTAAAGAAATACTGGTATATTAATTCATTGTCTAGATAGATTAAAGAGAATGTTAACATATAATGTTTTCTTCATCTTAGAGTTTGTTAACAAAGTATCAAGAGTGATTTATTACATGTTTAATTCTTATTACCACTCCAAACTTATCTAATTTTACGAAGTAAATCTTTAGTCACTGTATCATCATGTTGTATTCCCAGAGAGGGAAACAGTGTTGTTACAGCAAGAATTTAAGGGCCAAGAGAATGGCAAATGATGTAATGTTATTTCTTGGCATTTACTCACTCTACTAATTACACAGTGGTTATTAGGTTAGATTTGTAACTTGAGTGATGTTAGTGATGGAAGTGACTGGGATTCTGTAATTGGAGCCAGGTATCAGGTATTAACTTCAGGTGACATGGTCAGTCACACGTACAACATGGTCCAGGGATTACTTCATGCCTTAAGACAGAATCTGTGAAAATAGGAAAATTAAGTCTCCAGTGTTAAGACAGGCTAGGGCTGTGTATTAGACATGGGTGGACTATTGTTACAAATTGGTATGTTCTAAAAGGATAACAATGTCGGCTGCATACATGTTGAAGGCCAAAACTTTGTGGTATGTAGCCATTTTTTCCCGAATGCAAAGGTTATTGCAGTTGTTTGTAAATAAATGTTTGATTTATAGATATTATAACTGAAAAAGTGATGCTAATATTTTTTTTTTTGGTGAAGTAATGTATAATACAATGATTTTAAAAAAAAGTCAGGTTGTCTTGTAAGAAATAAAACAGCCATCAGTATAGATTACATGTACTACCTGGTTTTACCTGGCTAGGGAGAGAGAGGAGATTATCTCTAATAGACCAGGGTGAGAAATTCCTGCCAGGACATATGTATAAACTTGTTTACCATCAATAAAGAAATCGGATCTGTTTGTAAGAGGATACATGGATCCCTACAATTTAAAGCCATTTAGTCATTGATTGATTTTAGCAAGTTTAGGTAATTGCATTTTTAACCTACTTAATTACACAGTTAATACATTCCTCTAAGACGTCTACAAAGTATCCTCCAGTTTCGGGACATTATATGGCTGAGTGGATCAGAGTGATACCAGTTCAAATCCAGACTCAGTCATTTGATATAAAATAGCTGCTTGTAACAGTTCACTTAGAGACAATGGTTTTATGTCAGACCACAGAAACGGAATATGAAAACAATAGTTTTTTTTTTTTCTCCAGTAGCTAACCCTTTATAGACAGGCAGAAATTGTTTACATTACTATAAACTTTATACGTGTGGAATGCATTTGATAAATAAAATATGTTGACAGCTATGCTTTCAAATTTCTTATATTACCTCATAATTTATTACATGTACATCTCTGATCCTTTTCTCTATGTAGTCACGTTTTAGTGAATAATGTAGTCTCAATGTATCATTTACCAAATGCTATTAATGTACTATTCTTATAGCTGCCTGCTTTTTAAAATGAAGAGGGAAAAATAAGTGCAGTAAAGCAATGAATGCTGAAACATGTTTGTGAATTATAAAACTCCTGATTTCCATTTTGTGTATATTTAAAAGAAGTCTTAGTAATTCAAAGGCTCGGAGAATTGATATCCCTATCCGAAATACTGATGAAAAGGAAAAGAAATGCATTGGACAAACTGTCAATATCATTAATAGATCAGATGACAGTAAGATAAGGGATGTTCCATTGTTAAATTATAAGTAAGATTAAATCCTTTGGTCAAAGGTTCTGTCTGTTGACAAGAGGGATTGTTAAAAGGATGAAATTGGTTTGTATATACCTATAATGAATCTCCATTCATCCATCCCAGATTTTGATATTACTTGGAATAATACTTAGTATTAACTTGTTTGCTGCTTTGTTCTGTTCTTTAGATGGAGGGGTCAATATTTATATTTTGATTTCAATGGCCAGTAGTAGTGGGGACATGGGTGTTGTGGGTCAAAGGAAATTACCGTAAGTAACCCTCTCTGTTGCTTAATTTGCTCTTCAGTTTTTATCAATCTCGCAAATCAGAAAGCGTCCTTTAAACAACAGGGTGTATGTATTGGAAATGGAGCCATAGTGCTACGATAGGAATCATTTATCCATGGCACATCTATTTTTTAAAGCGATTTCTATAGGGTTATTCTATATTTTCCTCGGTGTTGTATACTCTATATAAGGAGGATTTCAATTGACATTGTGTCAGAGTGTATTGGGTGGCCGTTAGTGATTGAATATTGATCATGATTGAGGAAACAATTGCCGAATTGAAAAGTCGGGTATACAGAGTCTCTAGTATAGTTAGGAGGTAAGATGGTTTTATCCATAGTATCTTTTAAAAATGTTTATTTGAATAAGTTACAAGATATATCTGTGTTATAAACTCACTGAAGTGGATGAACATATTGTTTTGATGAACGTTAGCAAAGTTACCTCCCTTGCACTGCTGTTATTCATTTAAAATGTGTACAGTGGTATGTTTGCTGATTAAAACATTGTGTGTTATGTTTTCTAAGAGTAATACATGTAATTTAATGGTTTTATCTATTCCATATGGCAGAAGAAGTTTGATGTTTTTTGTTTTTTTTTTTAATTCTCTCATTGGAGAGCACATATTTTAAATGATTTGGTCATGTAAATAAGAAACACTTGCACCCAGAATACATCAGCCAGAATCTTGAAAAAAAATTTAGATTCGTGATGCTGAATATGAACTGATGATGGTTTCAGAGTTATTTTTGTGAAGCTAAGATTGTTTTTATTTATAAGTTCTTTAATTTCATGCTTGGTGTGACTTGGATGGAGTCTAGATAGCAGGTGACTGATTATCCTTCACTGTGTATTGGGGAAATATGCAGGAAAGGAGGAAATCTTGCCAAGCAGTTGTCTTTCTTCTCTGTAAATAGAATGTCAGTAGAGTGAATTGTCCAGGCACCAAACAATGAAGGGGTACTGTCTACATGAATTTATTTTATTTGTTCTGAGCCATGGAATCGAATGAACCTCTTCTGTGAAAACTGTCAGACATACTTTTACTGTCTGGATTAAATGTTACATTTTCTACTCATCTCAAATTGTTGCACGGCAAGTCATTACAGTAATTAGTCCAGATCTTTTACTAGTCAGTAGTGGTATAGATCAAGTCCAGTTGTATTTTCAGTAGAAAGTAAACAAAAAAAAGGGCTTTATACTAGTACTGGCTTCTGAGACAAAATGACATTGTCATTTGGACTTCCTCTGTAGTATAGGTACCAAATTTTTAAGATGTCTGATTACAGAAGGATATTTCTTCACAGAGAAATCAGACTTCATTCTCCCTTCTTATAAGCTGAGCTTTTGATGACTTCTTTACAATAACTTTTTCTCCTGTCGACAAACTACTTTGTAATTTCTTCCTTGATTTTTTTATACAATATTTACATCCAATGACTCTGAAGCAGTGCATACAATTTACTTCTTAACTAAATCTGATTTTTAAACCAGCTTACTCAAGATATGAAAAAAGTGTTTCAAGAATCTTCCATCCATGTTATGTTCTGATTAAAAGTACAATATTATGGGATTTTTTTTCATTTCATATTGAATAAGTTGGAGACAGATATATAGATATAAACAGGGAAGAGTGACTTTAGAATGGAATGAAATAGGAAGGTACGTTATTTGATATTGCAGGTGCTTTTAGTGAAAAAACATATTTATATCCATATCATTTTGTAAAGAGAATGTACAACAATTCATTCATAAAAAAGAAAACATCTGTATGCCTCAAATGCATGTACAAATGGCTACCCTGAGACAGAGTATGTGTGGCTTTATTGGGTGAGTGTCCTGCTTGTCTTCTTGTGATGGTGGATGTTAGTGTTGATGAACAACACTTGCTGTGAACCTGCTGAGAGTGAATACCAAATGTTACCACAAAGCTCCCAAAGATTTCAGTGACAGTAGCAGCCCAGAATCACTCTGTAAACAGCTACAGGCAGGGGGTGCATGTGCCTTTGTTGTGAACTGTTCCTACGGATATGTATATGTACAGGTATTTGACAACGTGTTGATGTTGAATATACTGTACAGAAAAATACAGGCTTATATGGGAATTTATGTCTGATCAGGCATGTTTTGACATCATAGTTGCAGGCAAAGTGCTAAAGTTGTGTGTTATGGAGATATCAGAAACAATATGCTCTTCTTAATGAAGCTGATAATAAGGATGTAATTAGAATCAGAGAGCACCTGTTTCATATTCATTCTGAAAGCACAGTAGAGGGGAGAGGTTTACCAATCTCTCTGTCAGACAGATGAAGAGGATACTTTAATGGCACTAAAAGTGTAGTTGATTCTGATTAAATTAAGCAGTTGGAAGAACATTTACCTGTTTATACACAGAAAAGTTATGAATCTATTAAAGAAAACAAATTTTCGGCTAAGATGGGGATTGAAAGAATCTGACAGTTGAAATAATTCTTTGACTTGGAAATCATATGTCTGTTGAATAAAAAAGTCTTTATCTTTCAGTAACTTAGATATTTCCATTAAATTTGTTGATAAATTCTCAGATCTGGATCTTATAAATTTACGCTTTTACAGTGGAGTGGGATCTGTTTCTGACATCACACAACCATTTCCCGTAGCTGTTGTTTTTATATGTTTCAATCTTGCTGCCGTTTGATTGCTCCGTTTGATTGCTCCGTGTACCTGTGTATTCTGGGAAGGGGTGTCCGAGAGAGGGTGATAAGTTAGATCCTGTATCAACTTTTATCCTGCAGTATTAACTCTTTAGATGAATCTTCCTCCAGATTGATCTGAAAAACTATGTGATGATAGATGAGATTACAAGACTCTATCAATGGTTAAAGTTATATATGGCAGCAGCAGTTATTCCTGATTCTGAAATACAACTTTACTGAGAAGAGAATCATTTTGTGACTTGAAAAACAGAATTGGTGCTCAAAGATTTCAAAAACAGATTTTTGAGAAATTCTTATGGATTATAATTAAAAAAAGAAGATATTATTGGAAGCCTACTGTTCAGAAGGTGTTGCATGGTTATCTTTTAGGAGTTTGGATTATACATTTAAAGATAGCATCGATTATCATGGCCTTTATCTTTGGGGGAGAGAAATATGGATGATGGTATTGCACAGCTACAGAGTTGGTGTTTATATTACTACCTGACTACACACTCGGTGAAAAAGAGAATATCTTATGCACCTTTGTAGACTCATTATGTAAGAGCCAGACAGCAGGAGAAACCAATTCAATCTGTTGTTTTTGCTAAAGGATACTGATATATTTTTGTGGGGGATTATTATCTCTGGAATTTGGTGTGTGCATATTTCTCTGTTATACTCCAAACATTTCCAATGAAAATCATGTCCTGGATGTCCTCTTTTGTTTCTGGTACAGATGCCACCAGAAACCGACCCCCCACTCCAGATTTTCCTGTGGTGTTACCGCCAAACATATCTGGACCAAGTAATCTTTCCATCCAACAAAATGACCGGCAGCATGTTTCAGCACCAAGCACACCCACAGAGACCAACTCCCTGACTAGACAGAACTCCCTCCCACCTACCCAGGGACATGGACCAAATGCCATTTCTGTCAACAGACAGAACACAATACCAAGAACCAGCCAAAGACCAGTACTGCAGAATGGCATCATCAGAGTTCGTGGAAGATCCTCCACCCCAGATAGAGTGTCCCCAGGAATTCCTCCCACCCCAGTCACTCCACCTCCTGGATATGCCCCATCACACATCATGCAGGTAGTACCACCCTCCCCACGGGCAGTTAGGAGAGGGATTAAGGTTCTGCCTGGAAGCCCAGGGGTAGGGAGACGCCCCCCTACACCTGATGAGTCTGTCATACAGGACCTTTCGTGGCTTGAGCATCACTCAGTGTGGACAGACAGGCAAGATTACAAAAAGTATTCTTTCCACTATAAAGTCTTGCATGGTTTGTGTTGATTGTTTTGAATTATTTTTTATACCTTTCTAGATATTCTTTTTTTATACAAGATTTGGAATTTGGTCTTATTGTTTGCCTTTGGTTGAATTTCAGTATGCATAATATACATTTGACATTTACTGCCAGATCAGGATTATTGTAATTGCGGTTACAAGTGGCTTATTGCTGTAATACAAGTGTAATTAGGTTTGACTTAATTATGAATGTATCGGAAAACATCCCAGTTGTTTATGTAAAAACAGATAGTTTGTATCATATTAACACATGCTTCATCTGAACATCAGAGTACCCTATATCATTCTACAATGTATAGTGGAATCTTACACATGATGATGTCTTTGATGTTTGAAAACTTTGCCAGAATTAACTGTTATAGGTAACAGGACCATACTCAAGTGAAGCTAGGCCAGTCAGGATTACATTCATACATCACTATCAGCTACCATCTTGCTCTTGAAAAAAAATAACACATTTCCTGTTTCACACTAAGAACTGACATAATTAGTTTTTTTTGACTACAAGTACTGGTAATCCAGTTTCAGAAAGTGCATTCAGTATATAACTAGTTATTTCTGTATTTTCTTGGATAGGTATTTAGAGGTCCAGGTGTATTGATGCAGGAATCTTATAGAATTTGAGAAGTGTTTTCTCCTGACTCTTTGTAAATATTTACACCAAACTATTTGATGAATTCATTTATGGGGAAAAAATTTTGACTGATGTATTATCTCATGCAAGCTAAAAAAATACATTATTCACCAAAACTACTCAACAATTCATTCCTGAATTTTGTCTGCTTCATCAAATATGTGATAGTTTTTTATTTCATTCTTGAATATATAATTCAACGTTTGAACTATTCAAGACATTTGAAAAGTTGAAGGTCTTTGTCTAAGTCTGGTCAAGTTCATATGTCAGTGTCTGTCACCACTGTGGACATTCAGTTTCAAGTAATTAATTATTCCACAACAACTGAAATATAGACATAAACAGCTTTTTTTTAAATCACAAGCATATTTTATATTTTAGTTTCTTTGAATTAATTTGTGCTGTTAGCAGCTTCTCTTACTTAATTCACTGATTAGCTTTCTCTTTAAGTGACTTTTGGAGAAAGGGATTGGCTGGAGTTTTGGTATCAATACTGTATAAAATATTAAAAAAAAACAATTAAATCTCTTTTAAGCTCTAAGTGAATGTCTGGTTATCTTGCTGTTTTGTGCTCTGTTCATTAAGTTGATGTACAGTTCTCCAGCAGGGCTAGGAGGGTTTTATGTACCTTCTATTTTGTACACAAAATATTGTTTGCTCAGGTTTTAGAAGCAAAGTCCTCTCATAATGCATATTATATTTTCTCTCCAAGATAATAACTAGTTGTTTATTGGCACCAAAATGAATATAAGTGTACTTCCTTGTAATAAACTTTGTTATTACATGTAAATACATGTTAGATGTACCAGTATGCTAGGTTTGTAAAAAATATCCATGATATCATATTTGCCCCATTAATTATCCCTACCCTCGGACTGAATCAATATATCTTGAAAAATTGATATGTATCGATATTTAATAGTGTATTTTAAGAGTGTATGTATCATATTGAAACTTAAATTTCAATTATGTATCAGTCAGGTAGTTTATCTCTCAATTCTGTGTAAATGTTGGGAATTTTTATGACCAAAGATTATATTTACCATTTTGAAATAAAACTGATCTATAATGAAATCAACATTAAGCAGATATCACATCTTAGATAATTATTGCATTACATATAGACCATGGTACTTCTAATTATTGGTTTTATAAATATTAAAGTCTATTTTATAATGACAGTAAGACAAGAACTATAAAATGAATTTAAAATACTCAGTTCTGAAATTTATGCATTTTAAAAATGATTCATATTAAGACTTTTATGATAGAATTATGGATACAAAACTCCAATATATCATGCATCGCTTCAAAAGATATTGTATCATGTTGATATTTTTTTATCAACACACAGCCTTACTTTGCCCCTATATATTAAAGTGCCCACATTGTGATTTTAAATCTGAAAAAAAACTCCCAAACATCTCACTAATTGCAGACTTTGCATACAGCGTATTTATATGATTAAAATACTATTATTAAAAGTATCTTAGACTACCCTCTTAATTAAATTTCAAACATCTCTGTACCTAAAAAAATCTTTTGTTGATATATAACATGATAATATTCTTTTTAAAAAACTTGTATTCCAAAACAAAAGTGAAAGGTTTACAACAATTACATGTATGTGCAGAGTTGCACTGTATTTTATTCTTGATGATAAACAAAAAACTTGGAGATAAAACAGTATAAACAACTGAATTGATCTTTAAGCTTTCAAATTTTGGTAATTCAGTCTGTCATGATTTAAATTATTCTCATTTCTTGTATGACTTTCTAGATCTCAGCTGCCATTTGTTGAACATCTAAGTATAGCTAAAGAGTGCTTGCATTACTACCATATTCATAGCTATAGATTAAGTGTCACATTTCAGTTGCTCTTTTATTTGTAAACACCTAGTGGCTAGAGTATCTTTTAAAAGGTTTTTATAAAGGAAAAACAATTATTTCACATTATTTGATTTTTACATTTACCTCCAGCCTTCCTTTTTTTTAATGCATGCATTGTAAAATATAAGTGGTCAATCTAATAACAGCTCTGTATTCTCAATTTTCCAAATACCTTGGGTGCTTATTAGGGTGAATACAGTACATTAATTGAATACAATGTATTCATTTGGTTTCAACCCCCCCCCCCCCTTTCTAAAGGGAAAAAAAAGTAGCTTAGTTTGAAATTTTGAATGTAAGGTGACCTATCAGTTATGATTTTATCAGTGCTTTCTGGGGAGTTTATTTGGTGGATGTTCTGAGCAGTTATATACTTGTCTGGGGTTATAAAGTCTAACAAGAAACTGTAAATCAAATCAGATTAATAATGGCTTCCTTGGAGCTGAACAGGTCCTAATATTACAACAGGTGGAAAGAGAGAAATGGAATGTATGGATAATCTAGGTATATCCATATTATCATTGATTTTTATCTATCCTCATCTGGGAAAACATCAATCTATAGGTACTGATGTAGATGAAAATTTTGTTGTCAGCTGTGAGTTTGATAGAAAGTGAAATGATATCCAAAGCTGTGAAGTTTTTATCCATCATTGAGGTGCCGTCTTAGTGCCTATAAAAGGACTTGATTTTTTTGACAGTTAATGCTGGAGGGAATAAAATAGAAAATCAGATAAGAGGACAAGGAGCTGCTTGTGTAGAGCATCTAACACTGATTCAGAAGTAGAGCTGATAAAGTCACAATTTCTGCAATATGCCAGCCTTTGCCAACAAATTTAAAGCAGTGATTAAAATTTACAGAGGTTTTGTGGAATGAAAGTGAAATATTTGTCTGACAGCTACCTGGTTTTGATGAAGTGGGTTTGGATGTTTATTGGCTAATGATTTGTTGATTGGTGGCCAGTGACCCACATAGACAGAAAACCCCCAGGGTCACATCTGACCTTAGGAGCAGGACTTCATATTAGCTAGCTTGTTAGTCAGGTGTAATTTAATCAATAGAACTGGATTTTAATGATAGTGGTAATCAGATTAATATATATCTCTGAGGAAATCAATCAGACTGTGAAGCTTTAAGCTATATTCACTTAACTCTGGGGAAGTGCATGAAAGGCAAGTTAAAACAGTCCATGCAATACTGTCCAGAAAAACGTCGGACCTGTGGTTAATGACTATTGAGCCTATAAGTGGAATATGGTGTACTAGCTTTTGAAGACTTGGTGAGACTCTGTGACAGATATTTGTGTTTTGGAGGTATTATCATGTCTAATTCTGTTCTGTCACATGGGCCTCTGAGGTCCACAGATTCTGTCATACAATACCGACTCGGAGATTTCGGGACTATGGATGATGAAGTTTTTGATGACTGGACAGAAGTTACTGTCAAGTAAGAAATATCAGAGGTTTATTTAGGCTGTTTTGAAGCTCTTTTACTAGCAATTTATAGCTTTGACAGTGAGTAGGTCAGGGGTTATTCTCTGGATATGATAATCACTGAACATGAATTTTTATTGATTTAAATGGTATTAAACTTACCGTCATACATCTTTTGTGCGTGTGAAATCTTTTAATTATGCATGCTTCTTATTGTAACACAACATATAACTGTACAATCCCTTCAAGTATTTTGTTCCTGTAGTGTTGTAACACAATGCTTTGTTATTCACATAGAATGTTTTCCTTATTCCATTGGACTTCTTTCATGGGGCAAATAAAACATACATTTCACATTAAAAACTTTATTGCATTACTTAACTTTCACCTTTGAGAAAGGTATTCAGAAGCATGTTGATGTATTTAGAGTGACATCAATCAAATTTTAGACAAATTTAAAAATGGCATTAATTCAGTCACTGGAAAGGTATGATAAATGTGAAAAATGCCCTAGAAATTACATCAAAGTGGCCACAGCACTGTTGGTCTGTAACTTTATTCATACATGTTTGTGTTTGACAGGGAACAGCCCATCTTCACAACGAAGGCACATGTATTCCAGATTGATCCAGACACCAAGAAGAACTGGATCCCAGCAAGTAAGAGTGCTGCCAGTGTTTCGTACTACTATGACACGACACGGAATACTTATCGCATCATCAGTGTGGATGGATCTAAGGTGAGGCAGCATTGACAAGATCACTATAATACATATCTGGAGATCTCACAAGATATCTTGTATATGAAACAGATTCAGTTTTGTTGACAATTAGAAAAACACCTGAATTCTTTCAATATACAGGTTATAAGTTTAAAATGAAATAGGAAAGCAGTGAGGAAAACAATGGTGTATGTCGTTTATGGAGATATTGTACATGAACAATCAGCAATTCTGTACAGAAATTTGACATTTATATGCATATAAAATGTTTGATTGTATAGTTCACAAACCTATATCTGAAATGAAATGTTGCAGTCAGAATGGTGAACTCTGACAGACATATCTGATGTGTCCATAGACATCTACTTCAGTGTCAGTAAATAATTTGCAATGAATGGAAATTAAAAAATCTTTATATTAAACAGACATTGAATAGCATCATACCAAAAGATTTTCCTCCCTTTACTAAAGTATATACATGTACTTGAGGTGCCCATGTTAGGGGTAAAATATTTAATGTTGGGCATATTTAAGAAGATGTGATTAATATAAATCTCCACCTTATCTCTGAATTATGTAAGAAGATGGGATGTTGCTTCTCAGCAGTAGACCATCAAGCTATTTACCTGCCAGTGGCTCGTTTTCACTGCCTTTTTTTACTGGGAGATAATGTGAAATAAATTTTGAGATTCCAAAGTTGTGATTCAAACTTATTCAGAGTGAATCCAATCCCACAGATAAATGAAATTGTTTATATTCTGTAAAAATTACATCAAGGCATGATAGAGATAAAGTAGGCAGTTTTCTAGGATGTTAGGCCTATATCTGTCTTTTTTTAGTGAGCAACTGGGGAGTTAAGCTGGAAACTTTTAAATAAATTAAATTGTATTTGACATTCAGAATGCAATAATTTAAATTTCTCTTATTTTTTTAAAAAAAAGTGTCTCTCACATGTCTAGGAGTTTCTTTTGAAAAAACCAAGTAATTTCTTTTTTCTTTTTAGATGACACATTTTTGATTGCTATGTTAATATTATTTTTCTGAAGTAATTAATGGCTAGATTACTCTCTTATTTCATAGTCACAATTTGTAATTAAATTCAGAAAGAAGTACTTAGTTTCATTATACTACAAGTATACTGTCAAATCACACATTCTCATGGGGGTTTAATTTTCGTTGTTTTCGAGGTATGAAGAGACCCACCACAGAATATAATATTTCACATACACAACTACTCAACATTTTTCATCCATGAAATCAATTCCCCACGAAGCCATATTTTTTCCTCAAACCACGAAAATTTGACCCCATGAAAATGTGATTATTCAGTCAGTGAAAATGATCAATGCTTCAATCTATTTTTCATTTATCAATGCTAGAATACTTTTTTACCAGTTGAAGTATATACAGTTCATATACATGCTATTATTTATTAATGAATCATCTCTGTATAGACTACATTATAACCTCTCTCTCTCTCCCTGTGATAGGCCATCGTCAACAGCACCATCACCCCGGGGATGACCTTTACCAAGACGTCACAAAAGTTTGGCCAATGGTCGGACCCCAGGGCTAACACCGTGTACGGTCTGGGATTTCCCTCCGAGCAAGAGCTACAGAAGGTCAGTGCAAGGAAGTGTTAATCATCTCAGTGATTGATCACACACAACGTATATTACTGTCATTGTATAACTGTGCTAAAAAATAATACTATAGGCAGTGAGATTTTTTATGTGTAGAAAGAGCAGAAAATTTTATTGGAGCAGAACATATGTGCACAAAATTTCTACTTGGAAAGAAAACCAACATATGCAGTACTTTTTGAATTAAATTTATTAATTATATTTAACATAGATAAATGTCTTGAAATATTTTATTAGTTTCTTGAATTAGGGATATCTGCTTCTCAGCCAGGAATGATAACTCTTAAAATCATTATTTAATTTAAAAAAGTCTCATAATGAAGCTTGAAATTGAAATCTTATCATGCAGCAATTTTAATTTCATGCATCTCAATATGATTCAAGGTTCTTTAAAGTCTTATTAAAGTTGATTTTGTACCCCATAAAAGTACAAAAAATGAATTTATTTAGAGAAATTGAATTTCCTTTGATCTAGTCTTAGATACCAATGCTTAATGGCATAATATGAAATTAAAATTGATCTGTGATGTCTTGCACAAGCTTTTTGCTCTATGTATTATATAACAAATGAGTACATGTAAATTAAAGAACTAAAATACTGTATTAAAAAATATGCAATTTTAACCAAATGCCTGGATACCTGTAGCTTTTATATATATATATATATATATATATATATATATATATATATATATATATATATATATATATATATATATATATTTGTTAATCAATTTTCAATTAGAATATGCATAGCTGGTGCTTTTATTTGCATTTCCAGAAAATTTACTTGAGATTTGATTTGATAATTTTTCCTCTATAAATATGATTAACTATAATGATGAACTTTGAAGAAATACTGTGGGTAAATAAACTTTACTTTGCGAATTCAGAGACATTTGTATGATCATTTCCAATTACTCAACTGCTGATTTTCAGAACCTATGATTTTGATCAATATACATTGTTAAAAAAAAAAGAATTTAAAAACCAAAAATTATAGGGTTGTGTAATTATACTAGAATAATGTAAGTTGATAGACATAAATGTTATTAAATGTATTTTATTTTCTACTTCATATACAGTTTATTGAAAAATTCAAGGAAGTGAAGGAGATGACACGTCAGGTGGTCAGCCAGACTCCTCCCACTCCCCCAACAGCCAATCAGAACTCTACCTCACAGGTGAACGGGAATGAGGAGTCACACCCCTCCTCCTCCTCCAAGCACGCAAATTCCTCTCAACCAAGACAATTCTTGCATCACAGAAGCTCTAGTTTGTCTGCCATGCAGGTTGGTGTGGGTTGCTTCCCTTTGTTTCTAACCCTTTGCCTTTGTAGTTTAAAAATAAAAAAAAAAAAAAAAGAAAGAAAAATTATTGGAATTTTTTTTTTTAAATACAAAAATCTTATTTTAGACAGAGTGAATATTTCAATTGAAAAGCTATCTCACTGCTATGGCCAAAATTCACTGTTTTTTTTAAATAATAAGAAGGGTTAGTAGGTAGAAAAATTTAAGCATATTGATGCTGTATAAAATTCTGGTTTTAAGCTGTAGGTAACTTAGAATGAGATCATCTGTGATGTAAGGTCGCTGAATTACGCTCTATCACATAGAAAATTTATGTTATTATGTGTATTCACGTCTCTTATTACCTCTTAAATATTCAATGTTATGCCTGCATACACCAGGAATGAATGACAGAGATTTTTATTGTAAATGCTAACTAAATCTAAAATGCTTGCCCTGATTCTGCTTTTATTTTCACCCAGCAAGACTTGTATTTGGATGTAAGAAAGTAGATAAACAGAGGGATATTAACTAATGTGCATGAATTTATATGGTGGATGTTTCTGATTATTATTTATATAAATTTTAAGTTCAATACTTTTATAACATTATCATATAGACAGTTCATGTGTACACAAGGTATTATATAACAGTTCTGTTATTTGGGCAATATTATAATCTTTAATTATTTCACTAATTGCATGCAGGTGTTGAGGTACATGCAAATGATTTTTTTTTTTTTGAATAAAGAACAAAGCTTGGACATTAAGACATCAAATTAAAGCCAGAACAAAGCTCTAATTACTTCTTTATTGTATTTACTGTGATTTACAATTACCTAGAATTTGTTTATGTCATTTAAAATAAACTTGAATGCTTGTAGGGCACAGAGACATCTAAACAGGATGTCAATCTGAGAGAGAGGAGGAATTCTTTCAATACCCCAGGCTCTCCGAACAACAGTTCTAACAATGCCTCAGAGAGTCAACTCAAATACGAAAATGATCGACTTAAGTTAGCATTAGCACAAAGGTAAGGGAATGAATGCCCTATTGATTTAAAAGGAGATCCTATTAGAATCAGAAAATATTCCTTAAAAGGATTAAAATCCAAGAACTTTGAAATAAATTTTTGGAAGGTATTTTTATCACTTATACCATTGTTTTGTATTGTTAGTTCTACTAATGCCAAGAAATGGGAGGTAGAGTTACAGACCCTGAAGAACAACAATGCTCGACTGACGGCAGCACTTCAGGAGAGCACCACCAATGTGGAGGAGTGGAAAAAACAACTGGCTGCTTACAAGGAAGAGAGTGCCAAAATGAAGAAAAAGGTAGGACTTCTAATATAATTAACTGATATAATGATGTTTCTGATGTAAAGGATTCAGGATGGTCATTGAGAAATATGATGTGAAGTAAAAGAAAAACTGTCTTTTGATATTCATTTCAATTTTACCAAATACTGTAGTTTCCATAAATAATTGTTGTGTAATTATGGGAGAAGCACATCACTCGCGAAATAAAATTACTCACTTTTATTTTAATATTGCTAAAATACATATAAAAAGTCTAGATCAACAGTCCAATTGCAAATTCATAATCACCTAATTTGGCATCTTCGAGTCAATTCGTGATATTAAGTACTTGTGTAAAATAAGGAATCTACAGTACTTTGGTCCTTGCAAGATTTTTTTTTACTCCATTTAAATAAAATTTCAAATTTCGTCATCAATATTTTTATTTCTAAATCTTAGATTGTAGAATTAGAGAAGAGACAAAGTGGGTCAGAACAGGTGGCCGCCTTACAGACTGAGTTACAGCAGCTCACAGAGAGGTTAGAGAGAGTTCAACTGGATAACCAGGACAAACAAGATGTAAGTGGAAGTCCTAATTCATGTACTCTTCTTACGTGGAGGGTTAAAACAGCTTTTGTCAGTGATAAATCTTACATTTTGTATTGAAACATCACATTTTATATTAACACCATTTTGTAGGAAATTAACCAACTTAGTCTTCGACTTAGCGAGCTATCAGCCAGAGAAACACAAAGTTCTACAATGCAAAATAGATGCAAGGTAATACTGTACATCCAACTATTTTTTAACAAATTTCTTTTGTAAATAGCAAATTATAACTAAACAATTGAAGTACATTAGTTAAAGAAATTAGGTAAAATTAATTGTTTTTTGTACAGTCAATCCTTTATTAAGAAATCTATTAAAGAAATTTTTGAAATGAATACAGAGAAGTGTGTATTTTCATTTTGAGTTCTACTGGAGGCAGAAAATGATGGAAGTCAGAAGTGAATGACACTGCTTCATGAATCTGAAGCAAAAGTGACTAATTTTAAGTACAACACAACACAAACCTACAGACGAATCAAGGACTATAAAAAATAACAGATTTAGAACTCATAGACACAGGTTTTTAAGGCAATAAAGATTATTAAATTTTTTGTTAGCAAGTGGCTCATTAAGGCAGGCTTAACTTTATTTATATTCAGTTTACCATATAATATTTGTTAAAATTAATTTTTCAGAAATTAGAAGAAGAGAATGAGCATTTATCATTGAAGCTGGAAGATCTTCAGAGACAACTGACAGAGAGAAACATGTCACATGATCAAGAAAGTTCTGAGTTGCTTCGTCTGGAAGATCAACTCGGCAGTAAAGTGACAGAACTGTATGAAATCCACGAGCAAATTGTTTCACTTATACGAAAGGAATCTCACAGCTGATAGCTGGTTGTCTCTCTTAGTCATAATCCATTAAGAATTGACAAAGATTTTACTTTTATCCAAGAGTAAATGCTCCTCCACATGTATTTCAGTGATATTGACCAAAGGAGCTTGTTTTGTGGGAATGTATATTTTTAATGTGGGAATGAACAGAAGATCTGAGTTATGTTTCTTTGTTTTGACTTTTCTTTCGAGAAGATATTTTTGTTGAAAACTGGTATGAAGTTTTCCTTTTGTTGTATGTTTACAATCAAGTTTGTGCCGTGTAATTAAGACTGCACAGAATCTAAAGCATAGTCTTATCTTCCTGTAAATTATTTAACATTTTATATAAATAACCTTTATAATCCAATTCAATTTTTTATTAAAAGATCTATATGAAATGTTGTTATAGATTGAAATGTTTGAATCTTTTACTTGTGTGTTTTTATCAAATCATTTGGTTTTTAATATTTGCCATGTGTATAAAAGGCTTTTTTCTTGGCAAGCTAAGCAGTTGTGTGTTGTTAGATGCTTCAGTGTTTGTATGGTTGTGTTGTATTCTGTATTGCCGCATTGTATATTAAGGGCAGCAGTGCAAGTTATTTTGTATTTTTTTTTCTCTTATCCAGCCAAATTTTAACCAGTGTTGTGAGACTTAAGATTTATGGAATTTTTGACAGGAAATCACTGATTTCCCCAGGTGCTTGCTTATATGCATTATCTGTAATTGTCCATTACAATAATATAAGGATCTGGTTGTTGTGTTCTTTGTTTTCTGGATCTGTTCAACATTATATAATTCTGAACAATTATAGAGATTCCACTATTTCTTTTTAATATATGTACTTAAAGTTATTGTTGTCTTCTCATTTTCAGAAAACTGATTAATTTATCATACTGCATTATCAGGACAGAGAGAAAAAATGCTATGCAAGTCACTCGATTAATATACTGATATTTTGGTATCATTAACCAACATTAGTGCCTTCTTTCTGCTATCAATACCTTTTTAACATTGAATCACTTAATTGTTAAATGTCAACATTTTTCACGTTTTCAATCCGTCCAAAAAAAGAACGGTGGCTTGCTGATGAGGGTGAAGGGTTTATATAGAATTATTTAAATAATGAATACTGTATACGAGTGTCGAGAGCTGTGCTAATTAACAGTTTGTTCACTGTTGTAGTTCTGTATCATTCAAACCAAATTTTAATGTTAGATGGAAATTCATTGTACTCCTCTGAAATGCACTTTTGTACAGTGTTCTGTAAAATGTCTTTTGCTGGAACCGTTGTCATAGTGTTTGAATTGGTCTCGACATTTTGTGAGCATTAACTACAGGCTTGTAAACACATATCACACATTTAAATTGTATCAACTATATGTGCTTGTTATAATCCTAGGTAAAATGATACATCATTTTATGCATAACTGTTCATTTGATAGGTTAACTAGTGAAAACCAAAGATAACAGTACATAAAAAATACCTGTTGATATTAATACTTTCTAGACAAAATATGTAAAGTAGTTCTTGATCAATCAAGGGAGTGGTCATTGTACTCAGGGAGAATTAAGGAAGTTCAAATAAACCGGATACAGTATTGCATGACAATGCTACTGTAAAATGAACAAGGATATTTGAATTATTTAACTGGAAATTGCCTTCAAAAATTTTTGAAGGTTTGATTAAAAAGCCTGTGACCTTAAATTTTTACCTAATGTCAGCTTTCAAGGTTATGTATTTTGTTGCCTTGTTAATTGTCATTATTTCATTAAAAAGTTGTTTTACTTATTAATTGCCCATCATCCTAATGTATGCAATATTTATATACACATGTACTATATGAAATATATACTCATTAATGAAATGAATAAAATAAAGTAAAATCCACAATTTATGTTTTGTTTTCTTCTATAAACAATAGCTTCTATATAATAATATGCTTTAATACCAGTAAAGCATAGAAGACTGTACCTTGTTTTGAATATTATTAACATTGTATGTAATTTGAAGTTTCCAAATCGGAACTTATTTTTTCCCCAGATAGGATTAATTAATTAATAATCAACAAAAATGACTCTTGAAGATGGATCCCAGCAAAGTGTTATGCAGGTTCCAGAAAAAAAATCATTTCAATAATGGATTCCAGCGATCAATGTGATACATGTATATGCTCTAGAAAAGAAGCCATGCAACAATATACATTTATTGACTGGGTTTGAGGGCAACGTGTTTTGTCGGACCCAAGAACCAACTGTTTGCCTGAGGCCGTTCTGGAAAAAAATGAAGGGCCAAGTATTAATCCAAGGGGAGATAATCAAGAAAAACCAAAAATAAGGTGGGATCATTAAAAATCTTCTCAAGAACCAGTGGGCCAGAAGAGATGAAACTTGTGTGAAAGCTTCATGAGGTAGTATATATTCTAAATTGTTCAAACCATGGCCCCCAAGAATTGGGTGGGGCCATAATAGGGGATTAAAGTTTTACATTGATATATGTAGGAAAAATTCTTTAAAAATCTTCATCTCGAGAACCACTGGAGCAGAAAAGGTGAAACTTAGGTGCAAGCTTTCTGAGGTACAATAAATTCTTAATTATACACAACATAGCCCCCAGGGTAGAGTGTAGTTACAACTGAAAATTAAATTTTTATGTTGAAATAGAAGAAAAAATCTATAAAAATCTTCTCAAGAACAACTGGGCCAGAAGAAAAAAAAACTTATTCGAAAGCTTCCTGAAGTAGTGTAGATTCGATATTGTTCAAATCATGGCCCCCAGGGTAGGAGATCAGAGTTTTACATGGGACGATATAGGATACATGAAAATCGTCTCAGGAACTACATTTACACCATTCATACGCAAACATTCCAAAAGTGAGTGGATTAATTTCTTTTTCAATTTATGCACTGTGGGTTAGTTAACTAAAATAGGGATCAAATTTCACATAATGCATGTATACAGAAAAGAATTAGCTTCTCCATGATTGCAAGGCCCGAATAATGGAGAAGCTAATTCTTTTCCTGTATACATGCATTATGTGAAATTTGATCCCTATATACATGTAAAGATAATGAAGCATCCCCATGTTGTGCAAATACAGTGCCTTTTAGAATTAGAGTGGGGCTCTAACATGGAGTCACAATTTTTCATTGGAATATAGAAATCTTTTTGGAAATCTGATGAAGAACAGCAGTGCTAAAGTAACTCAGGTGAGCGTTGTGGCCCATGGGTCTCTTGTTTTTGACATAGATGTATCTTGTGCTGGCTTTTGTGATATAAATTTCCTTAACCTGCACTGCGGTAAAAACTTGGTCAATTCTGTTGCTGTTGAACACCAACAAATGCAGGCAAGATTTAGCTGATTCCACCCAGAGTGTGACATAAGTGGTCCAATATCTCATCAAAAGGACCAATATCTCTGCAGTCAAACATCAATTTTTTATGACTGTGCTCAATATAACAATATGCATTGCTGTGAAATGGATGTACATTTGTATATCTGTGAAACATTTTTCACTGGCTCAGTAAATAAAACTGTAAGATGCATATCTATAACTGAGCAAATAAAATTCAGAGTGGGTCCAGGAATATTTCCATTTCTCCTGGGGAAGGAAAAAAAATCTGTCTCAGAAATATTTTGAATTAAAAATAAATCAAATCCAAACATATTTCTTGAATAAGAACATTTTTGTAAAGATGACCTATTAATGTTTATTGTTTTCTGGAATGAACTCAAAAATATCTGAATGGCAAATGAAAAAAAAAATGCATGAATAAAGCACATGTAATTATGTCATTTTTTTTTAAGGTGCACTTAGAACTACTATAATGTGTATCTGTATGATTTTAGTATACAACTGCCTCCTCCAAGTAATAAAACAAGAGGCCCATGGGCCACACCGCTCACCTGAGTAACTTTGGCCTTACTGTTTTTCACCTAATCCCACCCCCTTGTAGTACTTATTGTGGCCCCGCCCTACCCAGGGGTTATGATTTGAACAATTAGAATCTACACTACCCCAGAATGCTTCCACATAAGTTTAAGTTTTTCCGGCCCAGTGGTTCTTGAGAAGAAGATTTTTAAAGATTTTTTCTACATGTTTCAATGTAAAACTTGGATTCCCTATTCTGGCCCCGCCCTACCCCCGGGGGTCATAATTTGAACAATTTAGAATCTACACTACCCCAGAATGCTTCCACATAAGTTTCAGCTTTTCTGGCCAAGTGGTTCTTGAGAAGAAGATTTTTAAAGACTTTTACTACAATTTTCAATTTAAAACTTGGATTCCCTATTCTGGCCCCACCCTACCCCCGGGGGTCATGATTTGAACAATTTAGAATCTACACTACCCCAGAATGCTTCCACATAAGTTTCAGCTTTTCTGGCCAAGTGGCTCTTGAGAAGAAGATTTTTAAAGATTTTTACTACATATTTCAATGTAAAACTTGGATTCCCTATTGTGGCCCCGCCCTACCCCCGGGGGTCATGATTTGAACGATTTAGAATCTACACTACCCTAGGATGCTTCCATATAAATTTCAGCTATTCTGGCCCAGTGGTTCTTGAGAAGAAGATTTTTTAATGACCCCACCCAATTTTTGTCTTTTCTTGATTATCTCCCCTTTGAAGGGGGCTTGGCCCTTCATTTTAACAATTTAAACTCCCCTTTACCCAAGGATGCTTTGTACCAATTTTGCTTAAAATTGGCCCAGTGGTTCTTGAGAAGAAGTTGAAAATGTGAAAAGTTTACAGACGGACGGACAGACAGACAGACAGACGGACGACGGACAATGGGTGATCAGAAAAGCTCATTTGAGCTTTCAGCTCAGGTGAGCTAAAAAACTACAAAACGTAATTAACTCTTAAGTATTTTTTTTTTAAATGCTTAAAACATTCAACTCAAATGACTTATTTCATTATGCTAATTGATTCACATCTTCCTCAACATGTGCATGAACAGGTTAAAGTCCAATATCAAAAATAAAGTTACATCCTCATACAAAAAGGCAGTAGTTATACTATTAAATAAACAAAATATCTGAATTGTAATATACAATCATATAGTATTACTGGGTTAAATCATACATTGACAGTATTATTGTATCGATACCTCAGCAGTCAGCCATGAAATGGACATGAAATCTAAATCATCAATATAATAAGAAGAAAAAGTCTTCTCTGCAAAGTTTGCAAGAAAAGTACTATAATTAATGTTTGTAATGAAGCCCTAATCATTTCAAAGCAGGGCCATAAAACAAGTCCTGTATTTTAAATTACAGATAATCACAGTTAATGGCAATTCTAGAGCCAGTATTGGGAATATCTCTGAACACAGCATTAAGACTTGGAGCCAATGTTGGAGAACCAGCTGGACAGTTCGGACATGCTGGACATACTGCCCAGTTTATTGTAGAAGGAGCTCTCTCTCTGTATGGCACTGGTCTGTGGTAGGACTGCCGCTGCCTTCGCAGTCAGTGAGTGGGAGCCTGTGTCTGAAGCCTGTTAACAGAATAAATTGGAATGGGTGACAGACAATATGTTACCATTGTTCTACAACACTGTGAAATCACTAATTTTGGTGGGAGTTTAATTTTTGTTGTTTTCGAGGTATGAAAAGACCCAAGAATTCATGCCCACAACAAAATTTAATATTTCATATACATAACTACTCATCAATTCTTCATCCATGAAATTAAATCCCAAAGGCACTGGTAACCCTAAATACTACACAGACATTGGTAACCCTAAATACTACACAGACATTGGTAACCCTATACACTACACAGACATTGGTAACCCTATACACTACACAGACATTGATAACCCTAAATACTACACAGACATTAGTAACCCTAAATACTACACAGACATTGGTAACCCTAAATACTACACAGACATTGGTAACCCTATACACTATACAGACATTGGTAACCCTATACACTACACAGACATTGGTAACCCTAAATACTACACAGACATTGGTAACCCTATACACTACACAGACACTGGTAATCCTATATACTACAGAGAACTGGCAATCCTATACACTACACAGACATTGGTAACCCTATACACCACACAGACATTGGTAACCCTATACACCACACAGACATTGGTAACCCTATACACCACACAGACATTGGTAACCCTATACACTACACAGACATTGGTAACCCTATACACTACACAGACATTGGTAACTCTATACACTCACTTTATTTCAAGTCATTTAAATCCTTATCAGAAATGATTATATAAATATCTTTGTAACAGGTAATTGACATTTGATATTTCAGTTATTTTCACAATTTGCTTCAAACAAAGGATGTTTGATATAATGAACATTAACATGTAGAAATTCCTGATTAAAAAAGATATTAAACTTTTCACTAAATACCAGAAAATAATGAGCTGATAACTAATTTAATGGAATACAGATGAAACATTATTTTTGCTGTCTCTGATGATGTTAATATATTTACTGTAATTTCACTATGACCATCTTACTGTATGAAGCTTGGTCATACCTTAGCTTTATAAAGAGGTTGTTGTATAACAGGGGCTGGTATAGACGATCTGATTGGCTGTGTACTGATGGGGAGTAGAGTGAACCGGCCAGGACACGAAGTGAGTGGTAACACATTATGTTGTTCACTCTGACCAGACTGAACTGGTCTCCCCATGCTGAAGAGTCCCAGACGATCCAGCGATGTCAATGCTCCATATAAAACCTGGAAATTAAAAACTACATATGTAGTAAAAAGTTGCAGTATACTAAAATGACTATTAAAGATTTAATTTTAAAATGCAATAATTCAAGATTTCTCTCCTCTGGTCCTCATGATTTCTAAAATTTTAAAGTAAGCACAATTTTTTTCTCAAAACATCCAAATTCATTTTGAAATCAAAAATCCATATGCCTTAGTTACTGATACTACATTATTCTCTTAATATTTATTATAGAATTACTGTTATCATATACCAGGAATTTTTAGCAACCATCTAATTTTGGCATTATTAGCAATGGTCTAATAATTAAATGAGAAATATTTTTATAGAAAATTATAAAAATTATTTCCAAAATCACATAAAATTGATTACACTAATAAAAAAATGCTCTTTTTTTAGGATAAAATCACTAAATTCGCCTGTCACTCAAATAACCCGTTATATTCCTTACTGCTGATCTCTGTCCCTGCTTCATTAAATGTGATTGCATATAGGGGGAGAAGACATCAAGGTCAAAGGGGTCAACTTTTTCTTCCAGAGTCTCAATAATTCTGGCAGCTGACTTCTGATAGGTTTTACTTTCCTACAAATAAACAACAAAAAGGTGAAGCAGCACAAACTTTGTATTTATTTCTACTTGGTCATATTGCATTTTCTGTTTGGTCCGCGGGTAAGAAATTCTGTGCAATTGTGTAAATCTAGAATTGTAAAATGCAGGACCGTTATCAGCTGTGTAAATCTAGAATTGTAAAATGCAGGACCGTTATCAGCTGTGTAAATCTAGAATTGTAAAATGCAGGACCGTTATCAGCTGTGTAAATCTAGAATTGTAAAATGCAGGACCGTTATCAGCCGTGTAAATCTAGAATTGTAAAATGCAGGACCGTTATCAGCTGTGTAAATCTAGAATTGTAAAATGCAGGACCGTTATCAGCTGGTTATTCTACCTCAAGTAAAATGTATTACAACCGCCAACCATGTTGTTAAAGGTAATACTACCACACATGAATATATTGTACATGTACTTATAAATGACCAGTTTGTGACAAATTAAGTGCATATGATTTCCCAACTGTGTGTGTACAGCACAATTACGGGCTGATGATAATAGGTAGACATCAGCTGTTTAAACAAACTTTGGGATTTGCTGATTGCTAAGAACAACACTACAATTAAAACTGAAAATCCACTCACAACATGGTTTCATTCAAAGAACACAGTTACTCATATTATGAACTGATATAGTGTTCTAGACATGATGAATACACTGTCCTTGTCCTTTAAACTTTTTGTCCCAGAATTCATAGGCTCCCCTTGTAAAACAAGACAGAAAGGTCAATTGATAACAAGTACTCTTTTTTATTGTGTACATTTATCACAGTCTTTGACCTCCACCTTTAGCCTTTAGATCCTAGAATCAATAGCTTCTTCTTCTGGTCACCTTGGATCTCTATTGTAACTATGAGACTAAAAGGTCAAGAAATTTTAAATCGTGTCCATGATTTATTTGCAACAATGACATATTTAAACTATGAACTTTGACCTTCTGTCCCTCTAATGTATAAGCCTGCTTCCTGTATCACCTACTACCTCTGTAGCATGTTTTAGTCTAAAAGATAAATTAGTACTCTTCATATTGATACCATATCTTTGTAATAAGTTTGCAGTAACTTTAATTTTAACTTTGACCTTTTCAACCTCTAATGAATAGGCCTGCTTCCTTTACATCTACCACATCTTAAGGCAAGATTAAGACTAAAAGATCAAATAGCATTCATGTCAACAACACTTGTTAAAGACTCAATGAAACTTTGCCCTTGTTCTTTCACATTTTGTCTTTAAAATGAGCAAGCATATGCCCCTGGTTATCTGTCTCTTCAGTAAAAGACCTGAGACTGAAAGATGAAAATAGTATTCTACAAATTGTGTCCCCAACACTTAGGGATGCAGATGCACACACATGCCAGGTTAATATATCCCTGTACAACTTTGTGGGAATAATAACACATACCACAGTGTCATCTTTCCTGGGAATGATTTGCAAGATGAATTTCATATCAAAGATGAGCTGAAGAGCCCTCTGTTGAGTCAGGGGAAGATAATCCTTGTCATTCTTCTTGCTGTTAGATATAACCTCTTCAAAGCATTTTATTACTGCATCTGATACTTTGAAGACAAGTTGTTGCAATGTTCCCCTGGAAGAAAACATATTTACATTATTTTGCTTATTATGGAATCATAGGGAATCAGTATTCATGGATTTTATGGGTCACCCTTACCCACAAATTTACATCCCCACAAATGAGGATTTAGTCAAAGAATTGACTCATTGAATCTTCTTTATAAACTAGTTCCCAAGAAATTATGTCCCCATGAACCAGGTAAATTTTGCTTGCCCACAAACATCGACCCCCACAAATTAAAATGATTCCACAGTATAATAGCTATTCAAATATTTGATTCTTTTGTTATCCACCAAGCAGCTACCTTTTAAAAATGAATTCCCAGATTTACAAGTACTGGTATTTCAGGTTTTTAAAACCGGTTAATTACCTAAATTGGACCATTTCATGAATAAATATTATTGTGTAGATATTAATAAATCTTATATACATGAGTAACTAGATATCATTGAGATGGTGGCCATCTCAAAGGGCCCCGCTTTCAGTAACAAACATGAAAATGTAAGGTAGCTGAAAAGGGTTTACTTTGAAGAAAAACATTTGTGTACTATTAAGGGATGTGTTGTTTGAGTCTAAAGGGCTTCTATGCCATCCTTGTTATAATAAAAAATGGCACAAAAATCATGAATGTTGCATATCCTCTATGAAAATTGTTGCATATCCTCTATCAAAATATGGAAGGAAAATCACAAATGTTCCGTACCCTAAGTCAACTGGTAAAGTTTGAGGCTGACTGGACTTATGGGAAAGAAATTATGCACCGAACAAAGATCTTAAACAGAGAGGCTATTTTTGACCTCGACCCTTGACCTAGAAACTTTGTTCAAGGTCACTGCACATCCATTGACCAATGGCACTCTGTGAGTGAAGTATGAGCCACAATAGACCAAGAGGAGAGAAGATATGCTCCAGACAAGGATTTTTCATATAATTCTGCTATGACCTTAACCTTAGACCCAGAAACATGGTTCAAGGTCACTGCACACCCTTTACCCAAAGACACTCTGTGGGTGAAGTATGAGCCAGATTGGGCCAAGGAGAGAGAAGATATGCTCCGGACAAGAGATCTCTAAGGGCCCTAATTAATTATAAGCATGACCTAGAGAGATGAATTACATGTAAATGTCAACATCCAATTTATCATAATTAATTTAATTTATATCTTTTAAATGAGAGTAGTTAGTATACCTTTGCACTGCATGACCTCCCACTCGGTTGATTTCTCGACACAGACTGTACAGCAGATCTTGGACATACCAGGAGGCCTGTATAGTACAATCAAACACACAGTTACTACATTAACCATAAGAGGTCCAAGATTTACTGGAAAAGTAAGATGAGGTAAGGGTATCATATTTGTCTTCCAGTATTTATGACTAAACCCCCCAGTTTACATAACAAAGCATCCTTAGATGAAGGATTTGTTTGATTTCTTAAATCAATGGCCACATCCATTTTCAAGGGGAGATAATTTGGAAATATTGAAATTTTGAGTTGAATTTGTTTCTTCAAGCTCATTGTTTACGCTGAGAAGATTTATCATAATTTTACCATTTAACAGTTAACTGCTCTTGGAAGGATGACTCCTCATTAGATAGATAAAATTTAATCCTCTTTACTAAGAATGCTTTATCGAGCTTGGTTGAAACTGGCCCAATAGTTCTGAAGAAGATGTTGAAAAATTGAAAAGGTAACAGACAGCCAGGTAGTTAGACCATATACACACTTTGATCAGAACATCTAGTCTTTGGCTCAGGTGAGCTAATAAAGCCATCAGGAAAATATGAACATCCCCAGTTTATAAATCAAAATTCTGTTCTTAGAATCAACATTTTGAGACTGGAAAAATAAATATAATCAAATTAAAATAACAAACTTGAGACCCTATAAAACACATGCAAAACATACAAGTCAAATGGAAGTAAAGAAAATTAAATCTATTATGTAAGAATTCCAGGATTACAAGTTCTTTACCTGCATTGGAACCCTGATTTTGGAGCTGATCTTTTTCCCATCTTCTGTTTCTTCCTCTATGTTGACCTCATCCCATCTCTACAACAAACATTCATCATATTGTGGTCATGATAGAGAACAATTTCATTTATTTGTAAAATTTAGCAAGAAAAAAATTAAATGTACTACAGAACTCACTGTACAGTAAATGAGGGCATTCCTATGTTCTCTGGAACAAACTGCATTTCTAAATCTGGACACCACAGTCTGTGTTAAATGGTCCACCCAAATTCTAAATGACAGTCCAAATTAAAGTTTTCATTTCTAGTCACTGAAATTTGCCTGTATTTTTCATAATACTGCATGTACATTGATTTCTCTCTATCCATATCAATTAGATTACATGCAGATTTTTTTTTTTGCTCCATATTTTACATGATTACAATATCTACATAGTTGTAATTGAAATTAAGAACCCATTCTTATTTGAAAATTAAAGTAATTTTAAATGAAATGTCAGCACCAATGAAATGGAAAGTAGGATATCCAGGAAATACCATCTTTATGATAATGTTTTTGTTTTCTAGTATTTAGAACATCATTGTACTAATTAGCATAGCATTTTATTTCATTTTGAAGTACACCTTGGCATTTAAACAATGACCTACTTTTCAGAAGTGTCCTTACTTAAGTTGGATCTAAATGTGTATCACAAGGATTCAGGTTACACTGCAGTATTAAATTTTGCTATGGATTCTTACAAAAAAAAATGCTTAAGAGGCAGTATTAAATCAAACAAGCAAATTCAAAGAATTGTGGTCCCCAGCTTCCGTTGTCTTAATGTTTGTGATGCAATTATTTATGGCATATTGTAAATGTTCTGTCTGTATGTTCTATCTTGTCTGTCCATCAAACAAAAAGATTTATATTTGAATTAATAAAAGTCACAGCCAAGATTTTTTTTAAACTGCATCAAACTTAAACATCAAGGTAATGAGGTCAAATATAATACAATCTGAAAGGTCTCATCACAAGTAATGCTAATTTGGGAAAAAATATGAAAGCCCCATCTCTTTTAAAACAAAAGTTAAGACCAAAAATAAAACTTTAAATAAATAGATCAAACTTCTAGATCAAGGTACAGGCCTCTGAATTTCTATCAATAAGCTGTTATATGATTGATCAAAGTGATATAAATACCCCCTCTATATATAAATACACCAGGTGTATTTATATATAGAGGGGGTATTTAATCATATAATGGCTTATTGATTCAGAGGCCTTTAATCAAGGTCATGAAGTCAGAATTGATCCTATTCTCAAAGGTCTTGTCATTTGATACCGGTAGGTAATTTACATGTAAAATATGAAAGCCTTATCTTTTCTCATTCAGAAGTTATGACCAATGTTAAAAATTTTGTACTGTAAACTTCAAGGTCATGAGGTCAAAAACTGTAGTAAATTCAAAAAGATCTTGTGTCAGGTAATGCACATGTCAAACATGAAAACCCTATCTTTTCTCATTCACAAGTTTTCACTAACGTTAAAATTTTGGAAAAGTACCGGTAGGTCAAATGTCAAGTTCAGTGGGTCATTCGGAAAGGTCTTGTCACAGGTAATGCACATGTCAAACATGAACACCCTATTTTTTCTCATTCAAGAGTTTTCACTAATGTTAAAATGTTGGAAAAGTACCGGTAGGTCAAATGTCAAGGTCAGTGGGTCATTCGGAAAGGTCTTGTCACAGGTAATGCACATGTCAAATATGAACATCCTATCTTCTCTCATTCAAAAGTTATCACCAATGTTAAAATTTTTGAAAAGTATGTCTGTTGTACAGCCCATGAATATAGATTCCCTGCATAATTGTAATGTGCTTCTTCATTTGTGATGGTTCAAAGCTTTTGAATGAAGACTAAAATGTGAATGTCACCAGACTATTTCTGAGCAACACTGTAACACAGCATCTGACCATGGACTTACAATATGAATATTAACCTATATGTCAGTTTACAAGAGTTACAAAGCATCTGTACAAAGACTGATAATATAAATGTTACCTATATGTCTAACAATTGACAATTATACAGCCTCTGAATATAATGCACATGTATACTGTATATCTGTTTTAGACAGTTACATATAACCTGTTAGAAATAAGAAAATTAAATGTGTCTATTTATGATAATTCTGTATCCTCTGCTTCTATACTGACTGGGTGAATGTTACCTGAATGCCTCTCTATGACAGTTACACAGCCTCTCTTTTGTCCGGACCCATTCAGGATTCTCTATACTTTTACTGCTACTATGAGAAGATGGCTTCTTCTGTCCCCTATCATATTAAGAGATATATAAATAGAATTTTACAGTAATCAAAAAACAATCAAACAAAAAATCAAGAGATGTTTGTGAAACACTTATGCCCCCCAACCCCAACCCCCAAGTAATTGGAATTTTTCTAATTTAAAAAAAAGATTAAGTGACATGACTCAATAAACTATGTCATAGTCTATGTTAATGTAGATTCTAGACATCAGTAAATGTGTAATTTATGTACAACTCATAGATATATTGACTCAAACGACCTAAAAAGCATATTAACTTCTATGTTTACTACTACTGTTTTTATAAAACAGATTTTAAACTAAATCTAAAACTTTACCTGTGACTATCTGTTCCATGGATTGCAGATTTACCCATAATGCACTGCTGCAGAGCCGGTACCATGTCCCCCAGTGCAGAACACAGTCTGCCCACCAGCAGCACTCTATGACATTCCAAACAAACAGTTAGAAAAGACACAGGATCAGACTTGAATATCTCAGCAGATGTAAAATCATTGACTCAACTATAAGACCCTCCCACACCATACAGGAGTAGACACTAACTTTTAAAGCATAATATATCACAGGGCTAGAGACTTTGAATTGTTTAGCAGCCCAACCTCAACTTTCAGTTGTCTTTGGCTAGCCGGCTACCGTTAGCGTTGAACCCTGCCGTAGAATGTATTCCCCACCCGTCAATTTTTTTCCTTCCAATAACACCCCTAATGAAGCTATGCTATACAGTCAAAATTCATCATCTTGAACTCAATGGGAACTAGAGGAGATATCTGAGGATTAGAGATACTGAAGGTCAAAAATACTTAAAGAATAAAGGGTTGAGACTCCCAGATCACTTTAAAATATCCATGATATTAGAGATATCAGTGTTCAAGATACTGAAGTCTGTATTTACCTGATAAGCTGATGCTGTATCATGAAACACCTTTATCAGTTCTTACTTGTCTTGTGTTAGCTGATTAATGCTCTCATCTTTTATTTCTTGCAATGATTTCTCCCAAAGCTTTAAATGTTCACAGAGGTACTTTAATAACCTGAAATGAATAGAAAAGAAGAGTTGGAACATCTCAGATAAAGCAAGAATTTCTTGACACATGTATAACTAGAAAAACCCAAACAGCTTAACAAATATACCAGTTATCATAATCCCTTAAGCAAGAAGCATCATGAAAATTTCCCTTCAGTGGCAACCTTCATATTCCCTATGATGACAATAAAAACATACTTTATTGCTTAATTTGTCCACTTATAGTGTTAACGAATTATCCATTTAAATTGAAGAATTTGGATAATTTCAGTATTCTACAGGAAGGTTCTTGGCAAACCTTGCTCTTTTAACTTTCTTAACATTCTGTCTGCATATCTATAAAGTAAGAGATTTAGTTGAAAAGGGACTTGAAAACTGACCATTTCTATTGTACATTATGCAATAGAGATACATTGTCTATTTATATACTAGCCGTCTGACAGCAATAAACTTTATGAACAAATGCAGTTACAGAAATATGAAATCCATGTAAAAATAACATTTTGATGTCTTGAACGTAAACTTTTCTCAGATTTATGCTGAACAAGTATAGTTCCACATATGTCTTAGAAACAGTGAAATTCTCACATGGAGGGTAATTTTTTTGGCATTCTTGCCAAAATGAAAAATGAAAAAAAAATATCTTCTGTTTGTTGTTGTTTTTGGAACTTTGACAAAGTCCCTTTAATTGTGAAGACAATGCACCATTATTTAACTTTTTATCAGTGAAATAATTCAGTTTCATGAAAACTCTTACTCTTCTAAGCAAGCTTTACAAGTTGTCTGGATGTGTCCACACAATGCATCTGTGTCTGAGAGCCGATCGAACGGCTCAGGCCCTGTCATCCCAGAATCATCCTCACACAACAAGGAAAGATAACTCAGAGAATCCTGCACCATACCTTGTAGTTTCTCATCAAATGTTTTGCACAAACTGCAAGGAAACAAGGAAAAAAGAAATTGTTCATAAAATCAAATTCAAAACTAGACAATGAGAAAGTCATTTTATATGCTGTTGCTACAGAGTTTAAAAAAAATCATGTCTGCAGTGATGAGGGGTGATCAAAAGTTCTTAAACCATGTATCAAAAATACAAATGCTTTTCAAAACATAAAACTTACAAACTAGCTGAGTGTATAAAAGTTTTTGCTGTTTAATGATTAAATTCAGATACAATGGAAAAACTTTGAATTTTTCCCCTGTTTTTATTATTTAAGTATACTAGTATACACATTATATATTTTTTGTTTTGTTTTGTTTGTTTATTTCTTTAAGCCAAAGGCTCATCAGATTTTACATATGTATACACAATATAAAGCATACAAAATAAAGCATTTTCCAACTGCACAATATACAAAACAAGGACAAATACATATATATCAAATAATAATTACAAATTGGATTTTCAAAGAGCTGTAGCTTTGTATAAAAATTTACCCAAATTAGATAGCTCTCTCACCTTTTGACTACACATTAAATTTATAAGTTTAAATACACTTGGTTTAACATAATAATATTTCTTAATATACACACTTCTCAGAGTTTCATAAAATGGACATTTTAATATAAAATGGAATTCATCTTCAATATCATTAGAAGAACAGAGTGTGCATACTCTTTGAGGATATATCCCCAAATATATAGAAAGGGCCTGCTAGCTGCAAATCTAGACTCTCTATGTTAACTGTATACTACTGACCTTCTACTGCTTATTTAATAATGATTAAATAATTAAAACTCATAGGGATTAAACTTAATTGGCTTCAAAGGGGTACTAAATATACAGTGAAACCTGTCTCACACATACTGTGGGAAATAAAATTAATGTCAGATTAAACAGTGCATTTGGATTGCACAATGCTGAGCATTTTCTGTTATACATGTAATTAGTGTCGGATCTGACAATTTCATTGTACATCACAGTGTTTAATTGTCAAAGTTTTTGTAAAACGAGGTGTCTGAAATAATCTTTAGAATATATCCTACACTGCTATTCTTTATCGATACATGTAGCACTATTAAATTCTGTGCTAATGCCTTTTAAAGTCTGTTGATGACCTTTTTTTTTTACTAAGATGAAACAATGCAGAGTTTGTACAACTTTTGATCACTTAATTTTCAGCCTTTCATTTCTTATGTTTTCGGAACTCAGTTCTTTGAAATCTTTCAAATGGGAGTTATATGAGAACTCCCTCCTTCATCTGCCTTACCTACATAAGCATATAAATTTTGATTGCAACACATCCTTTGATTGGATAGAAAATTTAGTTTGTATCATATAACATGTTGCCTACATTACAATGACTTGCATAAAAAAATGTATCGATTTGCCTGACAAAACATTTTAATTTGTACAATTTAATGTTCTTTCTCTGGTAATTGTCTTATTTTTACTCTAAATGAAAGAAAATTAAATTATAAGGCACAAATTTAAAGCTATCCAGATTATACTGTGGAGCACTCTACACTTTTTTTAAAACCACTTGGGTAGCTATTAATTCTTTCCTTAAATGATTCTTTTTCCAATCCATGCTACTGTTTTCACCAAACCCCCCCCCCCCCCCTTTATTTTCCCTGAATAAATGGGCCCGCCACTTAAAAAGATATTTTTTGCTTTAATTTATAGATTTCTTTCAATATTTACCCTATTTTAAAAACAGCATATTTTGAAAATATTTGGAAGAGTAAAATATTTTCTTTAGGCAAGATGCTGCTTAATCAACACTGTATAATCCCCAATTTTAACCCTTTATACATATATATATATATATAATATACATATATATATAATAAAGATTTTCTATCTCTATCATTAAATCTAATTAATTATCATTGAAAATGTTTAAATATGTCCAAGTATGATTATTACACTAATTGTAAAACTAGATGGAATCTCAAATCCAAATACTAGTATGGCGAAAAGTATCCAGAAGGTTTCCAGGACTGCTTGATTAGTATTGCCAGTGTGTCAAATAGAGTGAAAGACTAACAAAGTTTAGCAATTAAAAATTCAGCATTCTGGGGCACGTTTTACAGAAGAACTTACGACTAAGAATATAAACTTCAGTTGAATGTAAAATTTTGCAAACTTACAAGATTCTGTATAAAATTGCCAGTGTAAAAATATTCCTTTTAAAAAGATTCAAACCATTTTCAATATAATGTAAATAAGAAAGTTATAAACAGAATTAAATTTTGGTCGTAAGTTCTGTTGTAAAATGGGCCCCAGCTTTCTAATTTAATGTAAAGATAGGGAATGCCTATCTTTAATGAGTGTTAACAAGTGAAAACAACAAAGATTGCACAAAAGCAGAATGAAAAAAATGACAAGCTCAACAATGGAGCCAGAAGTCTCTGTTGAGACTGCAGCTCTACTGGTTTGTACTTATAAAAGAGGAGAAAAGTAGAACCTGAACTCAAAAAAATATTTTTTTAGTTTTACATGTATTGGAGATTACACAAACAAAGGCTCCCTTAGCATGAAGGAATGATGGAGAGAGTGAAGCAGTCACTAGAACTGCAGTTAGTCTTGGCAACATAGGTAAAAATAGTGTATTGAAGGACAGGGATATCACTTCAGAAAGACAGATCAAAATCAAAGATCAATTATAAAGTCTGACAGATATATTTGTTAATTGATTTGAATCATACTGTTTGTGGCAAAACTGTTCAAAAACTGATCATAATAATTCAAGGCCAAGTTGAAAATAAGCATTTAACAATACATGTAATAAATTAAAATGTGACTATTAACACCTTCATATTTCATGCTTTAGAAATTACTGAAAGATCACAATTACATAGTTACATAAGCGTTACAGTAAAACTTGTCAAATCCTGACAACACTGGCTCCATGGATATTTGCCAGAATAGACAACATTATGGATTAGACAACATTTAAACAATTATATTTACTAAAGGGGACTAAGATTTTCTTGTGAAGTCAAAATTTCAGAATACACAACAAGTTTTACTGTATATACAGGTATCACACCAAAGTCAAATTACAATTTCTTTTTGGTTAAATGAAAACTGAAACAGTGAAAAACCTCTGAATGACGGGGGTAAATGCCTTGGCTTTCATGATTAGTCCTCCAGGATTATCAGAGGTGGATCTGGAAGTGGCGGTAGTCCAAGCCATATTAGCTGGAATGTCTCCAGGGGATTCCTGCCAAATATATCCTGCCAGATCCGTGTCAGCAATACACCTAAAAATAGATTCATTCTATGCTTTGAAATCATTTTCCTATTTAATTACACTTTCATGTTTTTCAATAGGCTCACATTCTTCAGTCTTTGTAAACAATTTTGTCACTTCATCCAATCATTTTCTGCGTTGAATTGTCATTCATATTTTTTTGTGGCTATCTGCATCTTTACTTCAGTTTTCATTTAAAGATATGTCCAATAACAGTAGAAGTTTGACATAGGAAATATCAGTTGTATTAAGTATTTTAAGGGTTCGTTATAAATCAAAGAACAGACAGAAAAAAATTGACTTTATACATGTATGTATATTAATAAGCAGTGTTAAAATATCCAAAGCAGTTTTACCATATAACCATTACCTTTAATATAACATGTTGATTGCATCAAGATATTTATAACACAGAAAATTTAGGCATACCCCTCTTCTGTGGAGCCAATTGCCATGACAACCTTAGTAATCTGTCGCTTTGTTAGCTCAGTACTAGTATCCAACTGGAACTTAATCAATGCCTGAAAAATCAATGGATAATCAAGTGTCTGGGAAAAAAATAAAAAATCAGTAACGGTTACTTCATTTTTCAAATTTCACATTTTCAGAAATATTTGTTCTACACGTATAGCTCTTCAAGGATTTTCCTTTCATACCTTGACCCTATTGATGAAGAGTGGTTGAAGAAATCCATGCCAGATGGACAGTGGTTTGTTCAGAATCCTCTGACAGACTGAGTGCCAGGCCTGCATGCTGCTATCCTGTAAAAACACAATGCTTAATAATACTTCCACTTATGTCTTATGTGATAGGTTCTATGCAGACTTATGATAATTCTAAATGTAATGGTAATGTATTGCAATGCAATTCTTTAAATCAAAGTAATAGTAGTAAGTTTAATAGTTAAAAATTGTGCATTACATGCAATGTATATGTAATGCATTACTTTCTAAAATCTTTGTAACTCTGGCATAACATGGCTTTGCAATGTATTTGTGCATACTCATTTTCTTAAATTGAATATGGATTGAAAATGGACATGGAAATCATTGTTAAGATAAAAAGATTAAAATTAATAAAAAAAGATCTAACACTTCAAAATGTTCACACTGTCCAACCCCATATACTTGTTAATATAAAATATTGTTTCAAAAGGGACAAGACCAAAAAAAATGATGTCTGATAGAAAACTGAATTCAAACATATATAGTTACAGAGAGGGAGTAAAGAGCTTCATAGTTTTTGTTGTTTGACCAATAATTACACAGAAACTGTATATTGTACATGAGATTTTATAATAAAATTGATAACTGAGATGCTTTTTTAAATGAATAAACGAAAGAATTATGTGATTTAATGGTTCTTGAGAAGAAGATTTTTAAAAGATGTCATCATATTTTCACCAATTCTTAAATCTCCCCTTGAAAGAGGGTGTGGCTCTACACCCAAGGATGCTTTAATTGAGGCAAGTTGGGAAGAAATTGGCCAAAAGAAGTCAAAAATGTTAAAATTTAACTGATGGACTGACATACTAACTAGCACACGTCTGGACATATGGACTCTGGACAAAATGTGATCAGAAAAGCCTAGGTGAGGTTAAAAGAATAAATAGAATTACATGTATTTTATTGTACTCTACTTGTATCTGTTTTAGTCAACTTGTGTACCAAGTCTTACTGAGGGACCAAACCTGTAGGTCCTGAGGAGTAGCATTTGAAAGAACTTCACAGAAGATTTTTTATATTTAGTAACCATGACAACACCTATTTCAAAATCAAAACCAATAAATAGAATTATGTATCTTAATATAGTCTTCATATGTACCAATTTCTACCGAAATTGGACCAAAACAGGCAAAAAAAATCAAATTACATGTATGTATAGGTTCCAAGGTGCATCCACTAACGATGTCAAGTGATCCTAATCCTTATGGTGTACTAGATAGGTATCATACCTAATGTATTGTGTATATTTATGTATTTTATGTATAAGTACATATGTATATGTCTTACTAATCATGTCGGTCAAAAGCTCTACAGAGCTTCTGTTATTTGTTTGAAAATCAGACTTTAAATAAAATTTTCTGATTCTGATTCTGGGCCAATCAAAACATTACAAAAAGCTGTCAATGAATAGCCCTATAAAATTCCAAATTGTCACACCCTAAATTCCTAGGGTATATCAACATTACATTGTTTTCTTTAATGTTTTTCTTTGGCATGTTTTTTTAATTACTCTTAGCCATTTTGAAGGTGAAAACTGTCCTAAGCTTATTAGGAAAATAGTTTACCCACTGTAAGCATTGAACTAGCATATGAGCTCTTGAAGTAATGGCCCCTATAATCATGCAAAATTCCAAATGAAGTACCTACCAAAGTTATTGTCAATAATCTTTAATTATCTAAACATAAATCATGCTATCTAATTGATAAAACCTTTAGGTGTGAGACATGTGAAGCATTAGCTGGTATCATTTAATGAATTTGTAATTTACATATCATTGTGCGGTAGATCAATGGTGTAGTTATCATTCCCATGTCTGATATATAATCTAATGACAATTTTTAGAAAATAAATGAATAAGGTTAGAAAAACAAGAGACCCATGGGCCTTGACTGTCATCCGAGCATCATGAGTTTTTCAGGCTATGACCATTTTAGCAACACCTGGAACTGATCTGGACTTCTGACAAAAATTTTAACATCTTACTGAGGACTCTTATCATTATCAAAATCATGCAACGTCTCCTAAAAGTTCAGATGAGCTAATTCAGAAGATCAACCATTATCTACTATTTGGTTATTATACTCTGAGAATCCAAGATGCCTCAACTGATAAAGTTTGATGATTCTAAGCCAATTAGAATCTGAAATATTTAAATAGAGCCAAAAATTTTCAAAAGTAGGTCACTGTGACCTACTTTTTGGTTGATATACTATGAGGCCTTAGGATGCATCAACTAACAAGGTTTGATTATCCTTGGCTTCACAGTGTCCAAAATATGTCTCTAAAACTATTTGAAAATGAATACCTGCAGAATTCAAAAAGTAGGTCACTGTGACACACTTTATAAAAATGCCCCATGATACATAAACTGACAAGGTGATGCCTTGAACAATTTTTAATCTACAGCATATTCTCATCTTTATGCAAGTTTGGTAATAATCTTCCCAGTGGTTCTTAAGAAGATTTTTTTAGCAACCACTACTTTTTAATTACATTTGCAGGGCTTAATAACCCCTGCATCTAGGTCCAGTAAAAGTACCTTGTCCCTATTGAAAATTCACTCTTTTTTCCCCAATTTTGCGGAATTTTTCAGTGCTTTTTTTTTTTTTAAAAAAAATTGAATTTTGAGATTTTAAGGATTCATAAAGATGGGAAAAGGGAATAAGCCTTCACTATAACTCTAAATTCACAGTTAAACTTAGTATAAGACAACATTATTTCCAAATTTTGCCACTTTTTCGATTCAAAATTCCCAATTGAAAGGGTACAGGACCTAATACCAAAAAGGGTCAATTAGGCCCTGCTTTGTTTAAGGGTCACATGCTTATTTTTTTTAAAGTATAAATGAAAGCCCTTGGGCCAAGGATACTCTGTGACAAATTTGACAAAAATTGATGAAGGGGTTCTTGAGATATGGCCCATATTCAAAATGTTTACGCATATGTTTGTCCATAGCATTAGCTCTTTACGCCTTTGGCTCATAAGAGCTAAAAACTAGAGGCCTACGGGCAACAATGCTCATCTCTGTAACCTTGGCACTGCTGTTTTTCATCAGAGGATTTTTAAAACATTTGTTTTTCCCCTTATTCACACAAATAATTTTGACCCCCATACTGTGGCCCCACCCTAGCCCCAAGGGATCATGATATAACCAAACTTGAATCCACACATTATGGACATGCTTCAATATGATTTATGTGGTCTTGCTGTTTTTTTAAGAAGATTTTTAAAAGAATTTTTTTCCTCTTGTATACATGCATTTGGTCAAATTTGGTTCTTGATATCAGCCTAACCTAAAGCCCAATGTTTATTATTTGAAAAAAAAAAATAATAGTTGAATCCACATCATTTGAGAATGTTCACATATGAATTTGATTTATACTGGCCCTGCATTTCTTCAGATTTTTAATTTCCTATATATTTCCATGCAAAATTTTGATCCCCTATTGTGTCCACACCTACCCCTAGTAACCATGATTTGTACTTGCTACTGGATGTTTGCATATGAATTTGATTTTTACTGGCCCTGCAATTCTTCAGAATGTTATATATCCTATATGTTTCCATGTAAAATTTTGTTTCCCTGTTGTGTCATTGTGTCCCCTTCCTACCCCCCCCCCCCCCCCCCCATGATTTAAACAAACTTGAATTTATACCATGTCAGGAAGCTTTCACATAAGTTTCATCTTTTCTAGCCAGTGGTTTATGAGAGGAACAAGTTTAGCTGAAACTGGCCCAGTGGTTCTGGAGAAAATGAAAATGTGAAAAGTTTACAGATGACCATAACAGACAGACAGATGGACACTATACACTCTTTGACTCTCTGACCCTTACCCTGAGGGCCATGATTTAAACAAACTTGAATTTACACTATGTCAGGAAGCTTTCACATAAGTTTCATCTTTTCTGGCCCAGTTGTTCTTGAGAGAAACAATAAGGCCATAACTACCATTGAGGCAAGTGAGGCAAATGCCTCACTAAAATTTTAGAGTTTTCTGAAAAGTGAAAAAGTTTTACTTTGAATTTTAATTAATTATGTATGTCTTTAAGCTAAATTAATATTTTCAACTTTTGTTCAATTTCTGTAAAATCGATCATCTCACCAAGTGCTTCATTATAGCTAGTTTAGAAAAATTCAAAATGTGAAAACTTTCAAACATTAAGTCTTTAATTTGCTAAAACCCAGGTTTCGGGAACTCCCTCCCCCCAAGAACCCCCATCAGGATTCTTCCCTGGACCCACTTGGGATTCGTGTGGCCCCAGATCCCTTACCTCACTAAAAATTTTGGCCTAGTTACGGCCTTGAACAAGTTTAATTTATATAGGCCCAGTGGTTCTGGAGAAGGTAAAAATGTGAAACATTTACATTTGATCTTCACAGACAGACAGATGAAAGCTAGACACTCTTTGTTCAGAAAATTTCATGTGAGCCTTTGGTTCAGGTGAGCTAAAAATCATATAAGCCTCAACTTACTTGCTTTAAATATAGCCATACTTGATCCCGAATGTCAGCTAAACGTTTGACAGTGTTGACAAAGCTGAGAAGTTTTCCAACACCACTAGTCACATTACTCATGCATCTGACAGGGAAAAAGGAATTACATGAGCAGAATTGCAATGAAGAGAGAAACTGTGCAATAACATAAAAAAACCTTAGACTTTTGAGGACTTTGGTCACGAGACCTGTAGCTTTCAATATTCTGCTACAATACTCAAAGAAAATTTTTCATCAATTCTACTTAAAAACTACCCAAGATTACTTTCACTTTCTCTAAGCTCTTTACAAAGAACTCAAATATTATAATTGTATGGATGTATCTTATTATCATCAGCTCTGCCACTGAACTAAGAACCATATTATATTTCCACAACTGTTTTTCTGTGTGACAGTTAAAAAGGGTTTTTACCGGGATCAGTAAATGATAATACAATGGGACTAGCAAAGAGAGTGATTTAAGTCACATGGGATTGTTAATACAGCAAAACTTTAGTATGTGCACGGATATTGCGAATTTAGCGAAGTTTTTTGGGGATCCCCTAAATTTCTTGAAAAAAATTTGCTAATACTGAACTCTAATATAACAATTTTGCAGATATATTGTACTGATTTCAGTCTCATAGAGACTAACAATTATGAAGTTTACATTTTTTTTTATATCAAATTGTTTAAAAGATCTAAAAATATAAAATTTGAACTGACATTATTATTCCTAAGAATGTATATTTGAAATTCATTGGAAAACTTTCCAACCCCAAAATAATTTTTCTATTTGATACTTCCCAGAACCTTTTTGGTAGCTGTACTTTAAGGCAAAAGAATATTGTGAAATCACCATATACATGTATATTCAAACAATTTTTATATGGATTTAATGAATTATGGATAAAGAGGAGTAAATTCACAGGTCAGCAGGACTTCACTATAACTGAGTTTTACTGTTTAACATGTAATTCAATATGATTGCCTTCCAAAGTAATTTCAATTCTATAATTGTTTTAAGGACACGCGCAGTATTTCAAAGTCCCATTTACTGACTGACTGGGTAGATTTACTTACGTGTTGATCCATTGCTGACAGTTATCCTGGAGATGCTGAACAGACACTGGTACTGCATGGGACCGCAAGGTAGGCACAAATTCTACAATATCAATGTTACTAGGTTAGGTTTTCTACTCTTCAAGTTAATAACATCCATTTTATTTAAAACCAAGAATCAATGGGCTCAGTTGATACCTAATACAGATCTTGGCAAGCATTTGGCAGACATGGACCCATGATTCTCTAATAATCCACTGTCTGTAAAAAATAACATTGTATATTAAAGAAATTTTGAGCATAATTTATTTTTAAAAGTTGCAGATATTGTACAACAGTGTGCATGTTGAGTGTCATTGATAGCATATACAGATAATATTCACACGTACCCTGCTGTTTTTCAGATGTAATCTGGGTCAGGATTCTAAGAAGCAGATTGCAGGGTACTGAAAAGAAACAATGACAGTTGAACTTCAGTTTCTTTAGCTTTAGTATGACCCCAACATGGCTGTCAGTAGGTGAAGTTTTTAAAACAATTACATTTCAAGCCCAAAGAGGGTTGTTTTGAACTTGAAAAGGTAAATTAAGTTACAAGACTAGGAGCAAAATATATGTTTGATTAATGGATTCCATACTTCAGGTGGGGGAATGCACATAATGTGGCAAATAATACCTGAAAGTTGTGACAAAAAAGTGTTGACATAAATCAAAGGTTTTACAATGGATGGGTCTGTAGCTCTCTGGTATGAATTTTTACAGTTCTGCTTTATATCTGATGATAACAATGACTGAATTCTCAGTTATCCCCCAAGACTTACTGTCTGATGGACTTTCTGGGCTGTAGAAGACTGTATGAATCTGGTGGACAGTGGTGGTGATCAGCTGAACCACTAGAGAAATCTGATCCTTCACACTGGCACTCTGCTGGCTCGGGTGGAACAGCTGTTGTACTGCTGTCTGTACAGAATATTACAGACTACTATAAAACAGCAGTATAACAGTAAATCATACTCTAACATACAAGCTTCATGCAAAAACAGAATTTTTCCTTATGAAAGCAGTAGAGATGAAACTATACGCCTCCTTCACGATACGATACTTATCATATAATTTTGTCACGGTATGGTTATTTTCTATAAGATACATTTTGCTAGAAGGAAACAAATTCAAAGTTATTTTATGTTTTGTTTCACTAAAACCAGAAACTTAATCTTCATGCAAATCAACTGGAAGAAATTGATTAGAATGAATTGTCCATTAATAATTATTCTACAAACTATTAGTCCTCAAAAATAACGTTTTTAAAATTTAATCATGCTGTGTTGCATGTTTTTATGAATGCCAAACCAGACTGAACAAAGATAACGACCAAAAATTGATCCGAACCAAAAATGGAGATTTTGTACCTTGTATTAAACGACAAGAAACGCTGGGTGAATTAATACCACAGTGAACTTTTTAACTCCTAGAAAGCAGAAAAAATTTAATATTCGAATATCACTAAAAGTTTCTCATTTGGAATAGATGTGTTTAATCTAGTATTAAATATGCAGATGGAAATATCTGACCACGTTAAGCTCTTTACTTACAGTTCTGGCTAACAGGAACTCATTGAATACTTGTCTTGGTGTGCTGTCTTCCAGTACAATTATAGAACACAGGGCTCGGGCTATTTGCTAAAAAGAGTATTATTTTATTAACATTAGCAGAATTGTGTGGAAACTATCAAAGAAATTCACAAAGCATTTGCTTTGTGTGCATGATAAATATTTTGCAGAATAAATGTGGATTTATAAAACCTTGGTTTGGAGCAGGAGTTTGAGCAATTTTCTCTATACTAAATGTGCCTGTGAATAGGACAACAGCCAATTGTAATTGTAGTAAATAAGTCTCAATACCTCATCTGTAGCACCTGCTTGCTTCAAAACATTTCTACATCCCTGTCAAAATATGATCAGCTCAGTTAAAGATATGCAAGATGAATAGAAAGAAATCTACCTCTATACAGTAATAGGCAATAATCCTAAAACATACCTGGAGAATTGTAGACCTAAAGTGGCTAATGGCCGCCCACTGTCGAGTTAGTACAGGGAACATGGTGAGTAGATTTCCTGACTTCTGGGACTCCAGTTGTAGGCCTGTGTGAATGTGACGTGACAACAGGAAGTGCCTTGTTGCTGTTAAATAGTCCTCCTCATCCAACGCACTCCATATCTACCAAAACAAACTGACAGGTCAAAGTCACAAAACACACCATGTCATCAATCAGTGAGTCAAAGTCTTCCACCATACAAGATAAAAAGGTGTAATAGTTTATTTCATTGCCATACAGTTTTTTTTAATTAGTTACTTTATATCTGGAAGTTATAGGACACATCAGGTTCATTGCATGACTGATTCATTTTTGGTCAATTTTGAGTTTTAAAACATTAATAATTTCAAAGTAAATTTCTAAAAACTTAAAATTGGACATTCCTATAGAAAATATATCAGATGATTCATATAAATGATGACAGATGGTACATAATCCTTGTTGAAACATAGGTAATCAAAGATTACAAAGCACTTTGAGGAATGTTTGCTATGTGAAAACAGAGTATTGATCAAGTAAATGTTCTGGTAGTGTGTAAATCAAGATTCAACATCCGTGCAAGTTTGGTCTGGGTAGGAATTATAATAGTTCTAAGGAAAGAACCTGCTCCAAAAACTTTTACTATTTCAACCACCTGAAAAATATAGGTCAGATCATCCAGGTGGGTCAGACGCAGCATCTGAAGAATGTCTTGCAGTGTATATTCCGATATGCATCATTCATTCAAGTTTGGTCACTTTGGAATGAACATACTCAATAAATTTTCACTCATCTATTGAATGAGATCAGATACAGCCTGGTATTGAGCATATCAAGATACATCATCCATGTAAGTTCGGGCACCATAGGTATTATTATAACTTACATGTAGGAATGGATCTGCTTCAAAAACTTTTAACCTATTAAATCGTCTTGAAAAACATCTGGAGCAAATCTGGTATTGTGCATCCCTAGATGCATCATCCAATTATATTAAGTCATCATAGGGCTTACAGTTACTTAGAAATTGACCAGCTACAAAACTTTAACCTGGTGACTCATCCAGAAAATGTAGGTCAGATACAGCAAATCTGGTAGTGTGGATCTCCTGATGCATCATACATGCAAGTTTGGTTTTGTTAGGATTTATAGTAACTTGGGAATGGACCTGTTTTAAAAAGTTTAACCTGGTCAATCATCTAAAAAATGTAGGTCAAATCCAGCATCCGGAGCATGTCTGGAAGTGTGCATCCTTACAAGTATCATCCATGCAAGTTTATTCACCACAGGGCTTATAGTTACCTGGGAATGGGACTGCTCCAAATAGTTTCATCTGATCACTCATCTGGAAAATGTAGGTCAAATCCAGCCTCTGAAGACTGTCTGGTAGTGTGCATCCCTAGATGCACCATCCATGCCAATTTGGTCATCATAAGGCTTATAGTTACTTGGGAATGGACCGGTTTAAAAACTTTAAGCTCAGACAATGCAGGTCATAACCAGCATCTAAACCAAGTCTGGTAGGTCAGATCCAGCATCCAAAATAAGTCTGGTTGTGTTATAACTAGATGCACCATCCATGCACCATCCATGCAAGTTTGGTCAAAGTAGGGTTTTTAGTTAAATGGGAATGGACTTGCTCCTAAAACTTTAACTGGGACCCCAATATTTGTACTTTTTGTTAACGCTTAACTGTGTTATGTGAATAATTTACTAATTAAAAAGTGTCAGTTTCTTTAGCTGAATCAAAATTTTCAACTTTCATTTCTTTACAGATGATTTAGACTCCAGAGGATAACGTCATGGTTCTGAAAAGTTTTTTTTCCCAAAAAAACTTTTCCTTCCATATCCTTGTACACTAGACACCATCATGATGGTATAAGCATATCCACTCTACATAAGGGGATGCTTATGTATCAATGTGAAACATTGTAGCCTGTTGTCTTTGACTGGGAAAATATTTAGTAAACTTTCCAATACAATATTATGAAAAACAAGAGGCCCATGGGCCACATCGCTCACCTGAGTAACTTTGGCCATGCTGTTCTTTACCAGATTTCCCCCTTTTAATATACCTATTGTGGCCCCGCCCTACCCCTGGGGGTCATGATTTGAACAATTTAGAATCTACACTACCTCAGGATGTTTCCAAATAGTTTCAGCTTTATTGGTCCAGTGGTTCTTGAAAAGAAGATTTTTAAAGATTTTTTAATATATTTCAATGTAAAACTTGGATTCCCTATTGTGGCCCCGCCCTACCCCCGGGGGTCATGATTTGAACAATTTATAATGTACACTACCCCAGGATGCTTCCATATAAGTTTCAGCTTTTCTGGCCCAGTGGTTCTTGAGAAGAAGATTTTTTAAAGATTTTTCCTATATATTTCAATGTAAAACTTGGATTCCCTATTGTGGCCCCGCCCTACCCCCGGGGGTCATGATTTGAACAATTTATAATGTACACTACCCCAGGATGCTTCCATATAAGTTTCAGCTTTTCTGGCCCAGTGGTTCTTGAGAAGAAGATTTTTAAAGATTTTTCTTATGTATTTCAATGTAAAACTTGGATTCCCTATTGTGGCCCCGCCCTACCCCTGGGGGTCATGATCTGAACAATTTAGAATTAACACTACCCCAGGATGCTTCCATATAAGTTTCAGCTTTTCTGGCCCAGTGGTTCTTGAGAAGAAGATTTTTTAAAGATTTTTCCTATATATTTCAATGTAAAACTTGGATTCCCTATTGTGGCCCCGCCCTACCCCCGGGGGTCATGATTTGAACAATTTATAATGTACACTACCCCAAGATGCTTCCATATAAGTTTCAGCTTTTCTGGCCCAGTGGTTCTTGAGAAGAAGATTTTTAAAGATTTTTCTTATGTATTTCAATGTAAAACTTGGATTCCTTAATGTGGCCCCGCCCTACCCTCGGAGGTCATGATTTGAACAATTTAGAATCTACACTATCCCAGGATGCTTCCATATAAGTTTCAGCTTTTCTGGCCCAGTGGTTCTTGAGAAGAAGATTTTTAAAGATTTTTCTTATGTATTTCAATGTAAAACTTGGATTCCCTATTGTGGCCCCGCCCTACCCCCGGGGGTCATGATTTGAACAATTTAGAATCTACACTATCCCAGGATGCTTCCACATAAGTTTCAGCTTTTCTGGCCCAGTGGTTCTTGAGAAGAAGATTTTTAAAGATTTTTCCTATATATTTCAATGTAAAACTTGGATTCCCAATTGTGGCCCCGCCCTACCCCCGGGGGTCATGATTTGAACAATTTAGAATCTACACTATCCCAGGATGCTTCCATATAAGTTTCAGCTTTTCTGGCCCAGTGGTTCTTGAGAAGAAGATGTTTAAAGATTTTTCTTATGTATTTCAATGTAAAACTTGGATTCCCTATTGTGGCCCCGCCCTACCCCCGGGGGTCATGATTTGAACAATTTAGAATCTACACTATCCCAGGATGCTTCCACATAAGTTTCAGCTTTTCTGGCCCAGTGGTTCTTGAGAAGAAGATTTTTTAAGATTTTTCCTATATATTTCAATGTAAAACTTGGATTCCCAATTGTGGCCCCGCCCTACCCCCGGGGGTCATGATTTGAACAATTTAGAATCTACACTATCCCAGGATGCTTCCATATAAGTTTCAGCTTTTCTGGCCCAGTGGTTCTTGAGAAGAAGATTTTTAAAGATTTTTCTTATGTATTTCAATGTAAAACTTGGATTCCCTATTGTGGCCCCGCCCTACCCCCGGGGGTCATGATTTGAACAATTTAGAATCTACACTATCCCAGGATGCTTCCACATAAGTTTCAGCTTTTCTGGCCCAGTGGTTCTTGAGAAGAAGATTTTTTAATGACCCCACCCTATTTTTGTCTTTTCTTGATTATCTCCCCTTGTAAGGGGACTTGGCCCTTTATTTTAACAATTTACACTCCCCTTCAACCAAGGACACTTTGTACCAAGTTTGGTTAAAATTGGCCAAGTGGTTCTTGAGAAGAAGCTGAAAATGTGAAAAGTTTACAGACGGACGGACAGACGGACAGACGGACGGACGGACGGACAGACGGACGGACGACGGACAACGGGTGATCAGAAAAGCTCACTTGAGCTTTCAGCTCAGGTGAGCTAAAAACTTTGGATCTTTAAGATAAAGATATTAACAGCATTTGTTCCTATATTCTTAGTACTAATCATCAATCATCTGTTTTTGTAGGTAGCGACTTGCTAATTCTGATACCACAACGAACTTTCAGTGACATTTATTGTGTACTTTACAAGCAATGTTAGCATTTGAAATGTCAAATCTCACAGAGGATAACTGCTGCAGTGTTTTCTACTCTCAGGAGGAAATGCTCACATATCGTCTTACTGTTTGTCAGCAACACATCAAAATTGTAGCTATTGTTGGAAGTGTCCCAATATACAAATAACTGAAACAAACTTCAAACACCTCCACTTGAGACCACTGGTTCCTTGTTGTAAAATAACTTTTATATTTATATATATATTTAACATATCTCCCACTTGAAAAGTTGGGGTATAAAGTGATGGGGCGTCCATCCATCCGTCTGTCTGTTACATTTGTGGATAGCCATCCCTTATCCACACAACTCCTCTTACACCACTGAATGCAATCTAATGAAACTTTCATGAAATCCTTATTACACAGTGTCATTGTGCATCTCTTATGTTGTATTTTGTTCGGACACATTTTTGGGGTTTACCATAAAAAAATATGCACACTATCATTCTTTCTATAATATTTTGGATACCCTTTTCTAATCTGCAAATTCTCCTATACCACTAAATAAAATTAGATGAGACTTTCACAGAATCTATGTTATATAGTGCCATTGTGCATCCCCTGTTTTATATTTTGATATACAAATATTTGGAATTTCCCATAGCACAACATGGACTCTGCAATTATGCTCAATAAAGGGGTACTCATTTTGTTAATGCAGCTCCTCCTAAACCCCTGAATGAAATTCAATGGAACTTTCACAGTATTTCATTTACATACTGTCAAGAAATGCACTTTGCCATTGTACTCATATGGGAGCAGAAGGTATCATTTTGTGAGCTCAGTGCTCACAATACCTCTAGTTTTATTTGTAAATCCCTTTTTGTCACTTATTCGCTATATTCACAGTATTATTACATCCGTGAATCCAAGAAACAGTGAATAAGTTTTCAATTAAACTTTTATTTTGTTTCATTTATTTGGAACTTTGAGTGTAGGCTACCAGTAGATATATTTGTATGTAGTCATTCAGTAATTACAAGTGGTACTTGTCATTCTATTACTTTAATTATCACATTTTCCTTACGTTCAACTTAGCAGATAATGACCAGTATTTATTGTTTAACAGCTGTTTTAATGGCCAGTGGTAAGAGTATCTGCTCTAGAGTCGCAAAGTAAGGAGTTGACCCTTACGTCGCAGGTTTCAATCCCACTGAGGGACATGGAGACTGGTCCTTCAGATGAGACCGTATAAATCTAGGTCCCTCACTGCTCAATGTCCATGAGTGCCAAGCATATGTCAAAATTTGCAGCTCTCCTACAGCAAATGGTGGCATCTCCATATGAGTGAAAAATTCTCAGAGGGACGTTTAACAACAAACAAACAAAAGCCACTGCTACTTGTTGATCAATCAAAACACAAGGGTTGTGGGTTTTGATTACTCGTGCACAACTAACATTACCAGGTGTATTTGTTACCTGATCATGCATATAAGTTTTCATCGACATTTGGCTTTTTAAAAAAAATTGTTCATTCAAATAACCCTTGGACTTGCTTTAGATATGGAATGATATTATTTCGTCAATGTAACACATTTATCCTCATGGTTTTTGCTTTGATGTTTATCCCTTCAGAAAGAACTTGGAGGTACATGTACTCATCATAACAGCATACGGAAAAGTCATTCGATGTTTATTGTTGAAGCCATTGCATGGCACTTGTTTCGATTAATTTGTAAATCGATTACCAAATCTAACCATGTATTTAAAATCCTGTGCTTTGTTCATGAAGTGAATATGTCACACTGATGGACGCTAGGTTACAAGTTGTTCTAGCTATACTTGAGATTACATAGATACAGACAAGGGAGGTAACTCTTATTTTATACTAATTCTGCTAATTCATTCAACGTCGATCGTGTCAGAGGAGAGAAAAACATGAAAATTACAACCCGTGGAATTAATCCCCTATACAGTATTTCATCAAAATGTCTGTGTATGAAGATGCCCACCAAAAAATTGCATGATGTTTTTGAGATTGAAAATTTTCCACAGATATTTTTATGGAGTCATTATGGCCCGATATTGGCAAAACACTCTCTGAAGTGTTTTGGCTTAAGAAAACACTGAAAATAGAACCAGATACAGACATACAAATTAAATAAATATGTCCTTGATTTATAAATATTCATGTAGCTGCCATAAAATTTTACCTTCTCTGGCATGTCCAAAAGTAACTTAATTTGAGAAGCAATGCCATAGAAATGAACTTCCTGTTTTTTCCTGTAAATATTAAAAACAAATCTCTTAAAGAATAATCTGGCTCACCTGAAATTCATCTTAAAGAGAAATTTTGTGTCAAATTCTAGAGATTTCATACTTACTTCCAAACAAATACTTTCTCTCAAAACTTTGAAAAATATTTCAATTCTGAATTAAGGCTATGTCCATCAGAGCACTAGCCTCAGTAATGTGATATAATTCTGGAAAAAAAAACTCCAAGTATTCCTACCCTTCCTGTTGGCCTGGACCCTTCCTCTGCTGGAAAGATGTACCCTTTATCATGTGCCTCTGTTTTAACATTTTACACATTTCCTCCATTTTGGCTATAGATGACATAACCTGAAATGATTATAAACATCCAAATAAAACTTGCCCAGATGACATTGGGTCAAGGTTACGACATACCCTTAACTGACATATAATCTTTGTTTGAGGTATCAACATCCAATATTTATTTATCAAGGAGTAGTTATGAACTGTACTCAAATTTTACTCTTTTTCTGCTTAAGCTTGCATTTGCCAAATGACCTTCAGTTAAGGTCATATACAATCTTTGTACTAAGTAGGAGTTTCTTTTACATGTATTTCTTCTCTGTATAGTGTTCAAACAAGAAAAAAATCCTACGTTTTGTGCACTGTTTTTCATTTCAGTGATTGTGTCAGCGGCCTCTATCAAATCTCTGTATCTCTCACTGAAAAATAAATTTATTCCCATGAAATAAAAGCACTGACAGATTTTTATTTCTCTTTAATTCAGACAAATTCAGAATACTTCGAGACCATAAAATCCATGCATTTTTAAAATACTATCAATTCAATGTTAGCTTTATCTGAATTCTAAAAAGACAATTTTTTAAAACAATTATCACAAATTTCCATTCAACAGCTCCTGGTATTCCTTTTATTAGACACTTTACATACACAGCTGTGATTTATATTTTGATATCTATTACATGTAATGTATACAGCTGTTAATACATGATTTCATATCTATTACATTTAACATACCCAACCATTATTCGCAAATCCTCTTTCTTTCGCTCTATATCAGCTCTGAAAGTTTATATAATGGATTTTATAATGTATCAAATCATATAAGTTAATAATAATATTAGAGATATGAAAAAATTAGCAAACAGAATATTGTTGTAATTGTACTTCTTTCAACTTTTTTCTCATATAAATTTATAAAATTACACAGATATAACATCAATCTTCAACATATTTTTATTGTTTTATTTCCATTAACCACATTCATATTCAAACACTTCAAACCTTGTTTTCTTTTCAATTTCTCTAATTTCCTCCACTGTGAATTTCTCAAACAATATGTTGGTATCCATTTCATGAACTGGCAAAGCTGAAATTGAAATGTTCATTTATACTGTAAAGGTACATTAATTAGCATGCTCAAAATTTAGCACAATCTTCCTCATCAACTAAATTGGAGTTATCATGAATTAGCACATCTGCTTTAAGAAGGGATTCTTCTCATATTTCTTGTATTTAAAAATTAATGAATTTTTCATAGATTCAAGAATACATTATCACTAAGTGATGGTATCAATAAAATTGAATTTGACCATTTTATTTTAGAAGCAATGTCAGGTCAAGGTCATTATCTTTTTCCTTGACATTATGTAATGAAAAATTACTGTTGCCAATAATGTGATGCCTATACTTCTATTTCAAAAGATTAAATGTTTTTCTTTTTGCATAAAAAGATATTACTATATAGGGTCTATCAGATGATACTACCAAATTGACACAAATGATTTAACTAAAATAGATATTGGCTAATCCGAATTTCCTCTATTTTTCTTAAATTTTTAGGATGTATTGGTTATTTTTACATACTTCGTATTCTTAAATTTTTATGATTTTCACATATGGTAAAGTAATCATATAAGATATAAAATAATACAAAAAAAACCCACTTTTAATTGATTTTTTGCTCAAATCTATACCTAGATTGGAAGCTTTTCAAAGGTAATAAAATTGGAAGTTTATTTGGAAAATTATATTTATTTGATACATTTTAAAAACTTTAGTCCATTATTATTAATTTTACCTACATTTGAAAATTTCTTTAAGTCTCTGATTGTATTTAAGTTTTTTAAAACTAAATTCATTGTTCTATAGTACTGATAATTTTGAGAAGCAGAAAAGGAGATATTGTCATACGCCACCGTTCCACCAAAAATATAGTCCCTGCTAAATTTCAAACTCTGTTTACCATTTCTATTTAAAGTTGTACAATTGTGATGAGGAAAGCAAAATATGATCTTTTAAATTCCTTACATCTAAATATATAAGACATATAAGCACATATACTTTGAATATTTCATCTAGTCAGAAACCAGACAAGAATCCCTCCTTAATCATATATTAGTGTGTTCTTAAATTAGAAGACAGGGAGTGGGTGCTAAGATATGATTGACACAAAATTAAGTACATTTACAGTATACAAATACAATAATCCACATATAAAATCTTTTTAAAATAAGTATTTTATTACCCTAAAAGATCACTAGATGTAATTTGATATGAACTATTTTACAGGATGTTATGTTTCGTGACAACGTATATACAAATACGTTGTATACAAATACAATAATCCACATATATAATCTTTTTAAAATAAGTATTTTATTACCCTAAAAGATCACTAATTTGTTATGAACTATATAACAATAACAGGATGTTATGTTACGTGACAACGTGACATCGTGACCCATCATAAATGGTTGACCAGCAATCTAATTAAAATTAGATGTTCCGAATCTGCTACCGCTTCTCAAACATCTAACAAGATCCCATTCGGGGTCACGTCAGAGCGACCTTTCAATTATGAATAAACATAAAAATTTTGGCCAATCAGATTCAACCTTCTGTATACAATTCTAAAATTAGTTCCACGGCTACTTCTTTACATTATTGATGATCAGTAGACTGTCTTACGATGAATTAAAGTAATTTTGGTATAAATTGAACTATAGTCCGCCAGTCTGGCATTCTTACCTGAATAACGCAAACGAAAATGCACAAACTACTATATATCCCGCACGTCACATTCATATATAGCACGGTCTTTACCATGCATATTTTGTTTACTACGAAACCCCTCGGGCATTTAGGTTTGGCAGTAAAAAAAGAATCGCATCCGAACTATAAGCCAAGATTTCGACGACGGCGATTTCACTGGGTAATCGAAAGGTTGCTCTGACGTGACCCCGAATGGAATGTTGTTAGATGTTTGAGAAATGGTAGCGGATTCGGAACATCTAATTTTAATTAGATTGGGTTGACCAGATGACATTTTTTTGTTTACAATGGGGCGTTCGATATTGAACGCCTACATTCGGAATGTTTCAAGGCATACTCATATATTGCAAATTCAGCATTCAATAAAACACCAAGATATTGAACGCTAAAATTCTCTAGGCTTTAAGTAGTTCTTTATTATTAGCAAGCGCAGCGAGCTCAATAGACTTACGTATAGGAACAGAGAATCTATATATTCATCAAGCAAATTTTTCTGTTAATCCTACCCAGAATTCCTTTGCTACCAGGATAATGGCCATTTAACAGTCCCCCGGTTATCGTGTATTAAGATTTAGTTCTTGCAGAGAGCTTAAACGAAACAAATAATAATGGCATCTACTCTTATAAAAATTGTAAAAAGCCTATTTAGACTAAGTTACAGAAATGTAACTTACATATGACATCACGTTCTAGACTGTCTAGTGCAGTTTGAAGTTTGAAGAGGCGGATCAAAATTTAAAGTGTAAGCTATGTAAAGATTTTTTATGGTACATGGTATACAACTGCACTTGTCCCAATGTTGGCATTGTAAATAGGGGATATTCAATGTTTTGTAGTTGGATATGGAATTTATTTCACAAGTGGACAGGATTTTTTTTTATTTTCTCGAGTGTGAAAAAATACTGAATTTCTATATTAATATAACATTTTGAATTCTTTGATTTTCCATTTGCCTCTGTCTTTTCTTAACACAGCCATAAGCTGTGACGTCATAGTTGAGCAGTTGAGATGTCATAGCTTAGCAATTGTGAGATTGAAAACATTGTAACATGGATTTTACAAATTTAATTGGGAAGAAATTGGCAGATTTAGTCTCTATTAAGACAGTTTAATTACTATCTCTATATTATGACAGGCCAGAAATTATTTTTTATTTACTTTGATGTCCTTTCACACTGTGAGAGAATATCACTTTTATTCAATAAATAAATCACTGTATCTCACTATTGGAAATGTAATAAAAAACATTAGACTATTTATTAGCTAAATAATAAATTCCTTCATTTGTATTCAGTAATATATAGTACTTTAGACAAAAAAAAAACAATAAAAAATGACAAACAAAAGACAAAAACAAAAAAAATCTCGTCATAATCAGGTTATCGCTGTTATCAATTTCGTTATAAACGTGTTTTACTGTATATAGCCTAGTGTGGATAATGGATTGAAAGTGCTCTGCAAATGTCCCCAAATAGTTATTCACATTGAGCTAAATATAAAACTAAAAAAATCAAGAACAAAATATAAGGAAATAATGAATAAATCAGCTTACATTTTGCAGAAACAACCCCTCGCTCTTGTTTAGCCATGTTGGCATCTGTGGAGAGTTCCGTAAAGGGGGACAATCCTGATTCGTTTTATCCGATTTCCGAATTTTTACACCGAGTTTATTTTGATCTCGTTGTGGACGAGATTTGTTTGTTTCCTGTAAAATTTCCAACACCAAAGAAAAAAAATAAACTAAGTATTTTGATAATTTCTGTATTCGTTAGGAAAAAATTCGTATGTCAGCATCATCTACAGTGTCCCCAGGACCATCTGGTGCTGGTGAGTATATCCTGAGAGTAAAAAAATACCTGCAATCAAGGTATATTTACCATGTACTTATTTTGACACATAGGCACTAAATATTGTACCCTTATGAATGGTGCATAATAATGACAATACAGACATATCTTATGTACTGTTCATATTTGCATAATGAAGACAGCCAAAATATATATTCTTACACGATGATATCTTACTATCCTGATTAAAGCAGGGGTTTGAATACTACTGTAGGTATTAGATAATCCGAGACTCCTCAGACTCTAACCCCTGCTTTTATATTGAGATGTGCGGGGGGAAAAGTACATGTCCCAATTTATTAAATCTTGGGTAAGAGTCAGATGAATCTCTGATTAGTTATTTAAAAGTATGTTCTATCATTAAAATGAAAGTGTCCAATAGACCTGGTTTAACGATAGAATGTACTATCATTAAAATGATCTCCACATATACTATGAATAATCTAGAGATTTCCGAATGTCAACATGGCGTGTAAATTCAAGGCAAGAAAAATACACTGAGTAATCAGTCTAGACGAACTCCAAAAAAGGCGTGAACTCCGAAAACAAAATCTGTGGCTCCATCATGCATTGCGGCAAAATGGTGTCCGATGTAAACAAACGATTGATTGTTGTTTGCTTTCTCCAAATATACTGCTGCATAATGGCTGCATTTAGTGCATCGTGACTTAATTTTTGTTGAATGGGTAATTACATTTATAAAATTATTTTGTGGATATTAGCTTATTTATCGCTTCAAACTCTTGCATAATAGTAAATTGGATATATGACATAGAATTCAATATACTGTCTGTAAGAATTATTTTCATATTTGATTTATTGTCTCCTTGATTTAAATTTTATGTCGTTCCTACAATAAAGGTGCTTTTATTTGTTTTTGAGACACCCAGCATATATTTATTTTCATCAGAAAATGCATATTTTTTTTACCAGAGATATTCACTTGTTCATTTTTAGAAGACATGTTATGACCTTAATTTCTAGAAGAGTGGTTTTAAAGTTTTCATATTGATAGATAATAGTTTTAAAATGTTTTCACAATAATGTCATAATAACATATCTGTTCGTATGTGATAAAAAAAATTGGTAAATAACGATGGTAAGAACTTAGGCGTTCAATTAAGATGCCGTACACAAATAAAAAAACGGAATGCTAATTTTTGTGTAAAATTCAGTCAAGTTTTGAACAGTTACAATATATATTGTCCCATTTTGCACATATATCCCTTTTATTATGCATATTTACTTCTCAAACGTATCATTTTCTCTGCAATTGATCTGACTTCAAACGTCAACTTTGGAAGTAAATACATGTATCTCCTTTTTTGCAAATGAAATAAAAAAAAATCTGACAAATACAATCTCTTCTGAAGTCTTTTATTTAGCATTTCTGAGTACTGGCAAGTTTGCCATATTTTCCAAAACTTTACACGGACAGTTTTTGTAGACCCATCATTTTTGCCAAAAAATCATCATTTTTTGTGTGTGTGCACAGAAAACTACATCTTCTAACATGATGATATAAAATTAAAGTAAACAAAAAACTGTAATTTGGATTACTTTATTTTATAAACAGACTGATTTTTTTCAATTTTTAAATTTTGCAAATAGGTTTTGTTAATTTTGTTAATAGATTGAAATTTTTGGGACTTACAGAGTGACAGACAGGCAAATGAGATTTAAGGATGAAATTCTGTTTAATGATATTTCCTTTGAAAGCAAGTCAAAATTTACTTGTCTGATATCTTTTCAAATGTCGATGAAGCCCTCATGTGGGACAAATGGTACAATCTGATTAGTATTGAAAATATTCATCAATAAAATAGCATGCAAATCATGAAACGAGCCAAACTTAGAATTGTTAGACAGTAAAATGTTTTATGGTGTGACCATTGGGATGAGCACAGCTGTATTTTAGGCCAAGGTTTTTATTTTTTTTGGTTTACGATTTTCTGTCTCCAAAAAATGCATTGGGTGGTCGAAAAATAAAAATAAAAATAATTTAGGATTCAACAATTTCATTTTAAAATACCAGCAATGTTTACTTTAATGAAAATAATACACGTCAATAGTACTTTTAAGTTTTATTGTCTAGATCACATAACTCTTTTTATTTAATTTTAATTCATTTCTAACTTTAGACTGAATGTCATTTTCATTTAGTTCTGATTTTTGTTTATCAATCAGTGCTTGGTTCATGATGTTCAACTTCTTTTTGTGCTCTTCAGTGATATGTGATGTGTTATAATCTCAGTATCCCCACAAACTAAAAATAAGGATCCAAAGTTAAGTTAAATTTAGATTGAAGAAAAATACAATTTAATTGTTTAACAATATTGAAAGTAATTAACGTTGAATTTAAAGTTATAATAATTTGATCATGCAGCTATCAAATTTAATGTTCCAATAATTTCTCATTCAAGTCCTTCTTTAAATTTTGTTATGTACCTGCACAGTAGGCAATGCTCATTATTTACTTTATAGTAATTCAGAGGGCTCTGATCTCAATTGAGTATCAAATTTGCAAAGATTTGTATATTAAAATTACTTCTATAAATTAACAAAATGTTTTATACACATTGGAATTTATCCAGTGAAATACCAGTCAGCTTTACTTCAACTAAGATGTACCTCTCAACACTAAATTGGCTTCACTATTATCCATGGATTTATCAGCCTATGATTTTGGGAAACACCATTTTTGGGGAATTGGGAAAAAATTATCGGCTATTTGATGAAATTGGAAAACTTTTTAAAATGTTGCTTAAATCATGTATTCAGGGGTAATTCATTTAACATTTCAGCATGAACTCTAATTTGGGCAACCAAACGACACTTAAATATGATCCATCTTCATCATACAATGATACAAGATCAATTATGAATAATAGACTAATTAAGGTAAAATGGACTTCAATGAGTATAAAGTATTTTTACAACTTAGGGTAGTACATGCACATGTGTGTATGAGATTTCAATTTAGGTTATTATAGTATCTGTTTCTGGAGATTATAAACCTCCTGGAAAAATTATACTAAGTACACATTTTCTAAAAGTCCCCTTCACTTGCAGATCAATAGAGTAGGTGGAAATAACTTAATAAATCTATATAATTACACAATATCATCATTTTTAGAAAAACGGAGGAAATTCGGATTAAAAGTTGGCGATGTTTTTTCAGTGTTTTTAAACATGTGTTATGACTGTAGCTTTCCTAAATGAGTTAAATAGATGAAAATTACAGACAATCTGACAATTTTACTTTTTTCCAAAGATAATTAAAAATAAAAGCATTGTTCACCAATTGGGAAAAAATACTGCCAAATTGGAAAAACTGAACTCATTTTCAATTGGGAATGAGGCCGAATTTCGGCCCATGAGAAGGCACTGATAAATCCCTGTTATCTATAGGTGTATCCGTGTCTGCTAGGTCGATCAGGGTTGGGCATACACTCTCCAATATTACGGTATGAATTTAGCCAATTGAGACATCGCAATTAGAGAAAGGGATCATTTATCCAAGATTTTATTCACTTTTCCATGCAGAAAAAGTTCTTTAAGTGTGTGTCATTGCTTTCAGTGAGGAATTACCTTGTTACATGACAGAACCGCCATTTTTGGTTTGCACATGTGTTTATTTACGGTCACCTAAATGTTTGTAAAGGGCTCATATATTTATAAGCGCTTATTTGACTAAGATGCATTCTAAAATTTAAAACCCACCAGTTCAGCTGAGAAAAATCCGGAAAAATATTTCGGAAAAAGACATTATTTTTATTTTCATGATTGGTGAAAATTAGGGTCGGCGGAATCGTAAACCAATTGAAAAAAAAACTTTGGCCTTAATATTACTGGATACAGTGGATACTATCAAAAACCTATGTATACACATTTAATTTAGATCCGCCTCTTCACCATTGGAAAAACTGGAAGGTTAAAGGTCAGATGCACTTATAGTCTAGACTGTGAAGTCACATGTTCCATAGGGTTGCAAATAACAACTCACCCACTCACAAATGCAAGTAAATTTGCCTGTGGGCGACTAACTTTTGAGGGTGTTATTGACCACATGGCGAGTAAGAATTTTATTGAACCTTTTCTTGAACCTGAGTGGCTTTGGTTCCGCTATTACATTCACTTTTGATTTCGCTGTTTTCTATCTTTAAATCATTTTTAAGACACAGAACCATGTCAATTAAACACTTCTTTAAAATCTTTAAAGTTTATTTTTGATTTTTTTTATTTCATTTTCCTTTTATATATCAATGCTAGTGAGTTTTTATCCTTATCTTATTAAGATGCACGCTATTTATTATTTACAATAAGCAGCCATTAATTATTCATTAATTTCCCGTCTGAAATGTATTATGAAGATGTTTTCTGATTTTTTTGGGGGGGGGGGGGACTACTACCATTGGTAAAAATATTTCACTTTTTAAACTTTGAAAGTTGGTGAAGTATGCGCTCTGTAATTAAAAATAGAAAGGTATAATTCAAAATACATGAAGTGAATGATAACATAAAATTTCATACAACTGATGTCGAAATTTGTAGGAAAAATTTAAATGAAAGACTATGAACAGCATATTCCTCTGAGATTATGATAAGAAACTGAAAAGATCGAGGATTTTTTACTATGTGAACAGAAAATTGTGGAACCCAAACTTGTGAAGATGGGGGCCCACATGGCCCCTTTAGGTTTTAAATGTAATTTGCATCCCTGTTCCATCATATGATAGTTGCATTTCCATAATAGAGTCTAAATGGTGCATATTTTTAAAAGAAAAATATTGATTTTTTTTAAAGAGTAGATGCAATGATTTTTTTAATTTCCTTTAAGCTCTCTGCAAGAACTAAACCTTGGTCCCCTGTGTGTTTTTCTGTGCCATTTGTGCCACTAGCTGCGTTAACTGTAACAGTTTTTCCACATGAGAAGGAAGTTGCTTCATTGTATTGAAAACAATTATTCTAGTAATGTTAGGTAATAAAAAAAACAGTTTAACAGGAAAGGAGAAAACCCATGGCTGGAACGGGAATTGTACCCATGACCAGTGCATCAGTAGTCAGGCATTCTACCAAATGAGCTATCAAAGCCAATATCCAGGGCCAAAACCATTACATTTCTCCCTCCTTAAAATTGTCTTTGCCCTCAAAGACACAACCAAAGTTCTTTTTGCCCCTGGCAGGACTTTCACATGCAAGTCAAGCTTTGGTCAGTAGCACCTAATTATCTAACGGGAAAGGAGAAAATTGTGTGGCTGGACCGGGAATTGAACCTGGGATCTCTGCATCACTAGTCAGGTGCTTTAACCATTGAGCTATTTGGCCAATGGCCAATCTCTCTGACTGCCGCTTTTTAGTTCCTTAAAAGTGCTCACCAACCCAGGCTCTTCCCTGGCAGGTTTTTCACCTGTCACTCCCAGGGCATGACACCAAAAAAAAAAATTTAACAGGAAAGGAGAAAAATAGGGAATTGAACCCAGGATCCCTGCATCACTAGGCAGGTGCTCTATCCAGTGAGCTACCCAGGATTATATCCAATAGAATTATTGGTGTTAATTTTTAGCTCACCTCAACAAAGTTTGGGGAGCTTATGTAATACCATCGGTGTTGATGTTCCAGGTTAAAGTTTTTGAAGCAGATTTCTTACAAGTACTTCTGTGCCCTATATTTTAACCAGAGATGCATGAACGATGCTTCTAGTATGTTTTATTGTACCAGTCACGTTCCAGTTACTGCATTTTTAGCCAAAGAATGATCAGATTAATGTTTTTGGAACAGTGAAATTTTGTGGAGCAGGTCTTATTTCCAAATAACTATAAGCCCTATATTGACCAAACTTGTAGGGATGATACATCTAAGGATGCACAATACTGGATTTGTTTTGGATCCTGGATTTGGTGTACATTTTCAAGATGAGTGCATGACTAGGTTAAAGTTTTTGGAGTAGATATACTCAGTGTTAATTCAAGCCCTACCTGGACAACATTTGGATGGATGATGCATCTAGGAATGCACTTACCAGAATTGTTGCATCTAGGGATGCACACTGATAGATTATTAGTTTAATGTGGAACTTTAATTAAAGATAACATTTGTTGAGGTGAGCTCTGTAATCTTTGATTACCTACCTTGGTGAACCACTGGACCTGTAAAGATGAAACTTGGGTGAAGCTTCCTGATGCTATGTATATTCTAAATAAGGATAGGTCTACAATAGGGGATCTCAGTTTTATATGGGACTGGATACTATCTTTAAAAATCTTTTTTTGAAGAACCACTGGACCTGATTCTAAATTGGTCCCAAGGGTTAGGGTGGGGCCACAATGGTGGATCAAAGTTTTAAATTGGACTACATAAAAACAATTTTTAAAAAATCTTCTTCTAAAAATCCACTGGACTAGAGAAGAATCTTATTTGAAAGCTTCCTGATATACTTTCTTGGAAACCCATGGTTGTTTAATGTTTCATTCCATTTTCCATCATCCTTGGGTCCATTCATGTTAATTCATGTTCTCATGAAAAGTTAATGAGACAGTTTGATTTGTGGCTTTGGACGATCAAAAGTTTTGTGAATCTTGGACATTTTTAATTGGATACAATATATATTCTATATTTAATTATTATTTACATGTATATAGATATGTGGCCACAATAGGGAATCAGAAGTTTTACATAGGTACATGTAGGGAAAAATCTTTCAATATCTACTTCTCAAGAAGACCATGACCACAATTAGTCATTTTAAAATGCAAGCATACCTAAAATCTTGTAGTTTGATTTCAAATTTGTTCAGAGCATGGCTCCTAGGCCTAGGATAAGATGAAGTTTTATATAAAGATTTATGTATAACAAATCCACAATCGACATCAAGCCTCAGTGTATAGTAAATTAAAATTATTGGAAGCATGGACTTCAAAATGAAGGCTACAAAAGCAGTTTTATTTATCTACATATTTATAACTAATAAGGAAGAGAAGGGTAATTAAGGTGTCATAATATGCTCCATAGGCCTATTATTACTGTTTACTTAGTACTAGGTTGAAAATAAGTTATGATAAACAAAGATTAATTTGCAAGCAAATCAATTATACGATATTTTTCTGTCTCATTACGTTTTCACATTTTGTATTTCTTCGCAAGACTTACAGAGCAATTTTTACCAAATTTGCCACAAATCATCCTGTGCTAAAAAGTATGAAGTCATGGACACATGATACAAAGTTCCTCAAAAGCAAGAAGTCTATAGTTTGTTCAACACATAAACAAACAATATAATTTGATTTAAATTCTTGAGAAAAAGGGCCCTTTTGACTTATTTTGTGGCCACAAAGGGGATTATATTCCTTGTATGTATTTACTTGTTCATTTGTCAGAAGAGTTTGACTCAGATGAGCATTGTTGCCCATGGTCCTCTTAATAAAAAGTGTCAGTATATTGCCGATTATTATTCCTGAGACCGTGATCTTTAAGTTTAGGACCTGAGTAAAGAGTTCATATTCATGTATCCACACATTTTGTCCGGAGATAAAAGTAATTCAGGTTAGCAGCTTTGCCCATGGGCGACCTGAGGGAGTCCTGATATTTTGGTTAAAGTTGTTGTTTTTCTTCTTTTATGTATGACACAGGAGCAACCTCATAACAAGGTTATTGATTCATCCTTCAAAACATGTAATATGTTAAAATAAAAATTAATAAGTAAAATTAATTTTATATATATATATGCTATATGATAAAGTGTTAGTTAATTATTATGCACCTTGAGAACTATAAATAGAAGTTCATGACAATTGAGTCAATTTTGTCATGTCTCACCTGATAACAGGTGAGAACTCCAATACACAGACATAGCCCCCAGTGTTCAAAGAAGTGTTCAGCTTAATGATCAATTAATGAAACAGGATATAGCAGATAATCATGAAATTATCCAGATTTCTACAGTTAGAAGGTTTGTTTTGGTGGTGGATACCTTGTGTTGGATTAAAACTTGTAAAGTCTTGCATTAGAAAGATCTTCCTGTAATAAAAAATTCTACATAAAAGATGACAACTATTATATGAAAAAAACATATGTTGAATGAAGACCAGTAAGTGAAAAGGTATATTCTGTTGCATCATTCTGGCTTTATCTTTTGGTTTAAAGGTATTGTTTACTGCATTAATTTTCATATGGTACATGAAAATGATGTACAAAATAAAAGTACCAAAGGAATTACGAGAGTTATAAGATGATTTTATGTTAATGACATGACCTGTTGATGTTTGTACACATACTTGGATCGCTGAAGTGTGACTGTGTGTAGGAGTGCAGTTATACCTAGTTCACCAGAATTCGTGACTTAAGTTCAGACTCTTGGGTGGCAGAAATAATTAAAGAAGGTCACAAGGCAGTTTATGGAAAACAATGTCATTCTGGGCCATTTTGATAACAAAGTTTTCACTGAATATTTTACTAAATCAAGTAACAGGAGGCAGTCATCTAATAGTTGTATTATATTTGGTTTGTACAGATATAAAATTAATGAAAACACTGACATTTAACAAATCAGCATGCCTGAGACTTGATAGGGTTCCATGAAATAGAGTTGGAAGCAAATTTTACCAGGGAGTGAGAAAGCAAAATGTTTTTTTTTATTTGCATTAGTATACTACATCAGTTGTGCATACTCTTAGGATGTGTTTAACATTCACCATTAAAGTTGTGAACGCTGTAAACTAGTAGACTGAAATTGAAAACCAATAATTTTAAGTGGAGCTGTACTAGTGATACACCAATAAGTGAAGACCTACCTATGATGGTGACATATATCTGTATGACAGCTGTCTACCTGTGGTAGTGATTGAGTCGTCTCAGCAGTCGCAACAGGTGTGTCGTCTGCTTCCACACAGAGATGTAAAAACCGAAGGAGACCTCCACTGTCTGCACTCTAGCAAAATTGCACAAATATTCTTATCTCAGGATATTTTTTTTCTTAGTTTTTACATTTGAAAAATATTTACATCTGTGATTTGGGCTGCACTTGGAATATTTGAGAAGAAGAAATATTTATCAGTAAGGTTTGTTGGTGATAAAAATTTCATTTCCATTGGCACTTGAAATTTGACTGGCGAGTTTGAAGACAAATAATGGATTACTCTAATTATCGATATCAAGGACCTTCAAAGCACCTCTATGACTTTACTCAGGGGCAATGCTCACAGCCTTGTACATTTTCAGGAATAGCACCCATTCCTGTTGTCTATACGGAAATGGCAATCTATGGTAAGATTTGCTTAACAAAGAGGAAATACAATGTACTTGGAAAGACAAAAAAGTTATTTGTTGGTTTTAGGTCAGATTTTGTACATATAACTTCATTTGGTGGGGGGGGGGGGGTCATGTTGTACATATGTATTTTCAAAAAAAAAAAATTTTAATGTTGTCTTTTATGTTAACACTTACAGCATTTGATAAAATTGTAGAAACAGTCAGAGTATTACCTCAATGGGGAAAGGGGGGGGGGGGGGTGTACCCTACAGACACCAAAGGACATGGCTGTACAAGTTCATAGTTCTGATTGTCTGTCTCAGTGTAGAACATTACCTGATGATCATTTAGCCTTAAACCTAGATTTAACTTGATATATGTATGTTTTCCTCACAGTTTGGTGATATTGTTTTTTGTTTCATTATTTTGAAAATTCAGGGCAGATATAAATAGGAAAAATAAATAAAACTATCCTTAGTAAATAGAGGAGTTTATGGACTGTTGAGAATATCCATCTGCTGTCTTTGGACATTTCTTTATGAAAATATTCATCCCCCATCCCCCTTCCCCACACCTTTTTGGTTTTTCCTTTTTGAAGTAAGAAAATTTGTTACTAAATGTTACTTGAAAAAAGAATTATGTGTTAAAATTCATTTCAATTCCCACAGAATTATCCTGATTCAATATAACTTGATAAATGATTATGTAGATATATCAAGTTAGATTCTTAATTTCATGTATTAGTTCTAATTTACAATGGATGGTGTTGTCATGGTTACTGAAGATAGAATTATATGTTAAATTTATGTGAAATACTACTTCTTCCTCAGTTTTGGTATGATTTCACTAAAAGTACAAGTGTAGAGAATACTTAGTGCTTGTTTAAAAAATCAATATATATATAATCTTACATAAATTTTTAATTTAGATGAATGGTGTTATGATGGTTATTGAAAAAATCTAATATTTGAAATCCTATATATATATATATATACCAAGATTGGTCTGAATAAACTTAACAAGTCTAGGCAGGATAAAGATATAAACATCCATAGATTAATTGGTGTACAAATTTTCACAAGACCTTATTTTTGTGAGGTACTTGGTATACTTATATGCGAGACAGAATTTTCGTGACTTTTGGTTTATATTGCTGTATATAAATTATACTTAAAAAAATATAATAACAAAATGTTTCCAAGCAGATAGTCTCACGTGATTACACGAATATAAAGTTCTCTTGAATAAAAAGTGATTTACAGTATTGTTCTGGTGAGCAGTGTTGATAAAATTTATTAAAAATTTAATAATTGAAGTATTTCCTAGTGCTGTTTCTTCTGTTGTTTTCATTGGATTTGAGTAAATGTAGACTTTCTCAAGATGCCTATTTCAGATCTGAGTGGATAGTGTTAGTGTTGCTATGAAGAATAAAATATGAAAATTTATTTCAAACTATGGTTTCTACACATAGTTCAAGTATAATATTCATCAAAGTAATTTTTTCTATATTAGTGACTGTCAATTAAAATAGAAAGAAAAAAATAGAAGTATTTTTTTTAATGCTTCAAATTTATTAATATTTTAAACTGTTGCTCCTTTTGTTAGGTCACCTGAGTTTACTCAGGTGACCTATTGCTATCTGTTTTCGTCCGTCGGCATGCGTCGTGCGTCGTCCATCGTGCGTTAACATATGAACATTTTCAGCTTCTTCTCTGGAACCACTGAACCAATTTCAACCAAATTTGGCACATAGCATCTATATGTGAAGGGGAGTAAAAATTGTGAAATTCATGACCCTTACCCCCCTGGGGCCTGAGGGGTGGGGCTAAAACCATCAGAATTAATGCAATCTTTAAAAATCTTCTTCTTTACTCCTGGGCATCAAGCAGGCAAACTGTTGGCATGAATGTAATAAGCATTGAGCCCTCTACCTAAATTGTGAAATTTATGGCCCCAGGGTCAGGGGTTCTGGTGCTAGGGTGGGGCTCTGTTGAATATGTAGTGAAAAGCATTATTCTTAAAAAATCTTCTCCTCTGCTCTTCGGTATTTAGGAAACAAACAATATGCATAGTTATGATGAGGAAAGGTGTCTCTTCTAAAATTGTGAATTTCATGGCCCCTGGGTCAGGGGTTCTGGTGTTAGGGCAGGTATCTAATGATTATATAGTGAAAATGCATTAATTATTCAAAAATCTTCTCCTCTGCTCCTGGGTACTAAGCCGATGAACTAAGTACATAGTTATGATGAGAAAGAGTGCCTCTTCCAAAATTGTGAATTTCGTGGCCCAAGGGTCAGGGGTTCTGGTGTTAGGGTGGGGCTCTGTTGAATATATAGTGATAATGCATTATTTCTTTAAAAAGCTTCTTCTGTGCTCTTGGATATTATGAAAACAAAATAAATACATAGTTATGATGATGAAAGGTGCCTCTTCCAAAATTGTGAATTTCATGGCCCCAGGGTCAGGGGTTCTGGTGTTAGGGCAGCGTTCTGTTGAATATACATGTATAGTGAAAATGCATTATTTCTTTTAAAAATCTTCTCTGATCCAATGCAAACAAACTGAAGGCATAGTTATGATGAATAAGGGTGCCTATTCTTATGTTGTGAATTTCATGGCCCCCTGGTCAGGGGTTCTGGTTTTAGGGCGGGGCTCTAATGATTACATAGTAAAAATGCAATAATTCTTTGACAATCTTCTCCTTTTCTCCTGGGTAATAAGCCGATGAACTAAGAGTATAGTTATGATATGTAAGGGTGCCTGTTCCAATATTGTGAAATTCATGGCCCCTAGGTCAGGGGTTCTGGGGTTAGGGTGGGGCTCTGTTGAATATATAGTGATAATGCATTATTTCTTTAAAAATCTTTTTCTTTGATCCTGGGTATTTAACAAATAAACTGATGCATAGTTATGATGAGTAAAGGTGCCTCTTCCAAAATTATGAATTTCATGGCCCCTGGGTCAGGGGTTCTGGTGTTAGGGTGGGGCTCTAATGATTACATAGTAAAAATGCAATAATTCTTTGAAAATCTTCTTTTCTCCTGGGTATTAAGCTGATGAACTAAGAGTATTGTTATGATATGTAAGGATGCCTCTTCCAAAATTGTGAATTTTATGGCCCCTGCATCATGGTTCTGGTGTTAGGGCAGGGCTCTAATGATTACATAGTGAAAATGCATTAATTCATTGATAATCCTCTGCTCTCTTTCTGGGTATTAAGTAAGCTTACTCAATGTAAAATTATGATGAGCAAGTGTGCCTCTTTCGAAATTGTGAATTTCATGGCCTCTGGTTTAAAACATGAATCCATTGTGGCGAAGTTGTGGCATGATACTCAGGTGACCTATAAGGCCCGTGGGCCTCTTGTTTTGTTTGAATTAAGGGAGGAAGTGTGATTAATTTTCAAGGAAAAATGTCAAATTTAAAAATGGAAGGAATTAATCTCTAAGAAATTTACAGGATAAATCCAGTAGAGCTATAGGCTTGGCTATGTTTACATTTTTATTTTAATTTATTATTATTATTATTTTTTTTTTTTTTTTTTGGTATATTTTTCATTAAAATGCTGACAACAACAAAATAGATTTTCAAATCTAATACAGTTAAATGGTTTGCATATACAAGTATACTGGTTGGTATATCAAATTCTTAACTAGATATTCTATGATGTATTTTGCACAGTTTTCCTCTTGAAACAAGTTGAAATTTTGAACAGTTTTCCTCTTGAAACAAGTTTAAATATTTTAGGTATGACTCAAGTAAGATATATTATAATGGCATTCATAATCTGCTCTTCCATGATCAGTGACAGTCCATGAAAAAGTAAAGTGTATAACATAAATGCCCATAAAGTTCAATTACTGAACAATAATCGTAGGTGAAAAAAGAACAAGTAACTTATTGGAAAAGTATAATATTTCTGCTTATAAGAAAACAAGGTAATTTAGTAAAGTGCAAGCTAGTAGTTTGTCACATGACAAAAAGATGAACAATACACTTCTGTGATTGCATGAAAGTGATGTCTTCTGAGAAGCCTATCCTCAAAGATAAAAATTGAATTAGTCTACATGGGTTAAAAATGGGGTCTGCAAAAGTCATGTGTTGATTAAAAGTGTCACTGAATCACAGGGTAAGCCTTTGACAAGTGTGAAATCTTGGTTTGAGGTCAGGAAGTTGCAGAAGAATCTATATAAAGCTTCAGTGTTAGGAAGCTAAAGACAAAGCAAGAGTACATTCTGGAATGAAAATTTCATGATTTTAACTTCTGTCCAAATGTAGATTTTTCAAGAAGTCTTTCAAGAAAGGAAGCCATAAGACTATAAATATTATGCCTTTCAACTTTGAAGGCTCATGGTAATTTATGAAGCAAAATCATGGAGCTTCAGTGTTCAATTTGTCCTTCCCAAGTGATTTGATAGAAGCCCAAGGCATGCACAATTATGAAATTTGCAAAGATTTTGCACTTGGAGATAGCTATGACCAGTTATGCTTCAGATGCTGCATGTGACCTACATTTTAGAGCAGAAGTATTAGACCAAGCTAATGCAGCATTCTATACTTACGTACTTATAATTCAAGACATAGTGAGTCCTATTTATTCTGAATTTGCATAACCTATGGAATACTAGTATTTCATTTGCTTAAGTGAGCTAAGCAAGGATTTTTTTTAAAGAGACATTTAGTGGGATATAAATTGATATTATAACTATTATCCCTGGCAGTAGATTCTGATTTTTTAAATGACCCCTAGGAAGAATCTCTTGGCATATGTGTTTAAATAGTTTAAAAACATGATGTTGTTGTAGAAACAATCCATAGACATTTTCAGAGTTAAAAGTTGTGTTGTTTTAATCACTTTTTTTGGAGGAAAAAATGGATCTTTTACTGCTGTAGCCTTTGCAAGTTTTTGGTTGTGTTTGACAGTTTTGCATTTAATTAAAATTAATTGCTTTTATTTATCTGACTGCCCCCAAGGTCAGGCAATACATACATGTAGCAACATTGTATTTACTAATGCAATTCATGCACTTACTGGACCTAGCTTCATTTAACGATCTAGAACAACCTCATGTCTTCTTCTATATTTCATTAATCTTGTGACAGGGTGGACTTGAATGTGAGAGATTCAGAAGAGAATAAAAAATTCTCTAAATTCTTTTTAAAAACAGAATCATTCATGACTTCACTTCTCACAAATTGCATGTTCTCAAGACCCATTCATAGAAGCCTTGAGAGATGAGGCAGATGGGTGGAGATAAGCATTATCTTTGTCAAGAAACTCTGTACAACTTCAAGATGATGAGTTAACTTTACAGAATCGTATAAGTTCTGTTTATAAATATTGTGTCTGGATTTTTTTCAGGGACACCTGATAACTCCAAAGGAGGAAATAGAAAACGCAAGGGAGGATCGGGGAGGGAGTAAGTAACATGAGATAACCTTAGGTTTTATCTGGGAACTTTTCATATACAGCCCAGACTAGATAGAAAATTAATCAGAGTTAGGGTCTATTTTATTGTACAAAGCATTTTTTGTATATACATAGAGCTGATGAAAATGCCAGAATGCACACAAAATTATTCAGTCTCTGTTGATATTTGAATCACCAATCTTATAGTTATCTGAATACATGAAGCTTTTTTTAAAAAAAAAATTTTAATGAACATGATATATACATGTAGTTGAATTAAGAAAGTTATTGAGATCTGTGTTTGGTAAATTTTTTAATGAGAAAAAATTGCATAGCAATCAATAACTGTGTAATTTAATTTAAATTACCGTAGTACATGTTCAGGGTTGTCCCCTAAGAATTGAAATAGTAGAGGACATTAAAAAAGTAGAAGGGGGTTTGGGGTTCCTCCCTAACAAGGGGTTGAAGGGGAATACCAGAATAACTGGGAGATTATGTCATTATAGGCAGGGAAATTCCCCAGCCCCTGGGTCTTAGGGACAACCCTGAATGTTGGTTAAATAAATTAGATGTATGTGTGATGTTTTCGTTATTTCCTCAAGTCTAAATGATGCTCTGAAATATCATACTTGATGCTAATTCTTAATCACAAAATTGGTTTGATAATTAACCAATGTCTGACTGTACGATTTATGTAGGTCATGATTCCATTCTTTATTAGGTCAGATGAGGAGGATGGTCAAGGTGGGGGATACAATCAGGAGCAAGCAGACAAAGAGAGGTTTGCCAGGTAAAGATAGACTGAGAGCAATTATCCACTTAACACTATCTACAGTCCAAAACAAACGTCATGATGAACATGTTAACACTAGGCTCTTCTGGTGAATATAAAATGTCAAAAGCTTATCTTCATCTTTTTTGCTCATAAATGTTTTTATTTTTAAAATATATAGAAACAGGTTGAATTTTTCATATTGGAACATTGATATTCATAAATTATATTGTAGAGGAGTAGGTTTAAGTTTGTGAATCATTCTGAAGCTCTTCTGTTAAATATAAAAATTACAAGTCATGAAAGATGTTGAAACTGTGTATAATTCATCTGACTGTACACAATAGGATAACAAATACTGTACATGTATAAATAGAGGTTCTAAATGATATTTTTTTTTTTCATTTCTGTAATGACATTTTCTATTATGGTCATATACAGGAAATAGAAGTTTTACATAAGGTTCTTATTGATACGCTGACTTTGATTTCCTTGACATTTTCTGTACAAAGATTCAGTCAGATTAACTCTATATAAGTGGATACTTACCTATACATTGGATCATTAGGGAGTTGTAGCTCTGCTAATCGGAAACACTTATCACAGTTAGGCCTTTATAATGACAGACAAGTAGTTTTCATTTTCCTAGTTACTGTATCCTGTTCAATTGGTTTAAACAATTACATTAAAACTTATTTTCTACTGTAAGCAGTGAGGAGAAAAATGGGTACAGACCAGATCAGATTTGAACCTGAGCCCCCTGAATCACTAGTCAGGTGCTCTACCAATTGAGCTGTCTGGCTACTGGTGATTGAACCTGTCTAACTGCCACACAGTAGTTCTTATTGTCATGGCCGTAGGAACCGAGGGGACACGGGGGAGCCGTGCCCCCCCCCCCCCCATTTTGCCGATATATAGATTACAATAGAAAACATAGATACTATATGCTTGTGCCCCTCAATAAAAACATCTGATGACTTTTTTTTTTTTTTTTTTTTTGCTTGTCAAGAAATTTTTGGTAGTTGAAAGTGCCCCCTCAACTGAAAATGTATGGCTGTGCCCCCCCAAACTGAAATTGCTTCCTACGGGCCTGATTGTTGAATAACAGTTTCAGTTCTTTAATAATTTTGAGATTTACTGCTCCTCAGTACAAGTAGATACAAATAGATATACATGTACAAGTAGGTTAACAACAAAACAAATTGATATTTTGATGGTAATCTTGAATTAGTGCAATAAAAGATTTCATATAAGGCACTTTGATAAGTACATACTCAAAATTTACTATTAGATATAGATACCGGTAAATGACACCATGAGCAAAGGTGAAAAGCAAAAAAAACAAAGGAATTTGAAAATGAGAGTCATCAGCTAAGAAAAATAAGGGATTTGGATTTCACAAGATTTTTCAATAAATTTCTTGTTAGCACCACAGGTGCTTAAAGTAAATTAGAGATATAGCTGGTGTAAATTAATGCTATATTCTCTCAGATTTATAATGTAATAAAATCTACTTATTTTATTTACTTGAAAGTTCATATTTTGTAGAACTTAAAGGTGCTTTTAAAATAAAAATCTTCATTTTCTGTCAAACTTCAATTTTTCTGGTATTTTTGGTACATGTATTAATGATTTTTCCTTAAAAATTTTTTTTAAAAAGACAAGAAAGAAACAAAAAGTCAATGCCAAATACTCTGTAATGAAATTGGACAGTTGCAGTACTATTGTATGATCATAAGTACCTAACAGTACTTACTGCTCCTTGCTTTTATAGAGAGAGTCATTGTGAGATAGAGAGAAGAAGGAGGAATAAGATGACCTCTTACATTAATGAACTCTGTGACATGGTGCCAACCTGTAGTACACTGGCCAGAAAACCAGACAAACTGACCATCCTCAGAATGGCTGTGTCACACATGAAAACTTTAAGAGGTACAGGTAATATTAAGTGTGAAATGTTATCAATGCAGAAAAAGATAATGTTAGAGGTTCAGGTAAATTTTTTATTGAAAGAATGTATACTGTACATGTATTTAAAAAGAAAATGTCCAAGAACAATACATATACAGAAAGAAAACCGTTGAAGAACTAGTCCATAATAAAGTCCTGCAGTATGCTTAATTAAATCAGTATAGCTGAGATTGTGACCTAGATTTAGATCAAGTGAGAGCAAGATGTAAATGTGTCCTCCTTTAATCATCTTTCACAATTGCTTGACGTGCTACTGATTAAGCCTCTTTTCCTGCTCCAAGAAATAAGAAAATTATTGTTTTATTTTTATGTGTGGTATACACAGTTAAGAGGAGACTTAAATATTCAATAGTGCTAATACAAATTTCATGCATATGCAATTTTAGAAGTGCAAAATTAATACCTATTTCAGTTTCACACTAGATGAAATCCCGCGCAAGTGCGGGGAATTGAATTTATACCACTACCGACAGAAAAATTCTAATAATATATATTGTAGTTTCTACTGACAGCCTACAGGTTCTAGCTTCAAGAAATACTTTGTTCAAAATCCCGCATTTAGTTTTGGAGCAGAAGTAGATGTGCGCCTTCAACCCCCCAACCCCCCCCCCCCCCCCTTTTGTAAAAACTTGAAAAATAACAATTTCATTTTATTATTGACGTTTATTGTAAAACCTGGTATATTATGTTATGGATATTGCACTTCAGGTGCTCTTATTTCATTTCCGTCAAGGAAAAAAGTAGGGAATATGCACATTTTACTTATAAATTGTTTTTTCCTTTCTTTCTTTTTTTGTAAAAAAATAGCTTTTAACGTCCTATGAATAGACCAAATATTTGATCAAAAGACTGTATTCTAAAAAAAAATGTATTGATTAAAGCACAAAATTTTAACAGCTTTAATTGTATTTGAACAATACTTTATTGTTTAATTTTCTTTTTTCATGTAAGCAAGTTTATTACGAAGTACATATTGTACTTCGGGTTCGTTGCCACGATGCTCATAGTGAGGAATATACTAACAAATTTTACCGATAAATTTATTAGGAAAACCTAACTAATCGTCTTTCGATATATAAATATATTTACAACTTATAGTGTTATCATTGATTTACCATTATTTCCATATGACCATTTTTTAGCTCACCTCGACGAAGTCGAGATGAGCTTATGCTATACCCCCGGCGTCGGCGTTGGTGTCGGCGTCGGCGTCCCAGGTTAAAGTTTTAGGAGCAAGTCCCATTCCCAAGTAACTATAAGCCCTACCTGGACCAAACTTGCATGGATGATGCATCTAGGGATGGACACTACCACACTTGCTTCGGATGCTGGATCTGACCTAGATTTTCCAGATGAGTGACCAGGTTAAAGTTTTAGGAGCAGGTCCATTCCCAAGTAACTATAAGCCCTACCTGGATCAAACTTGCATGGATGATGCATCTAGGGATGGACATGGCCACACTTACTTCGGATGCTGGATCTGACCTAGATTTTCTGGATGAGTGACCAGGTTAAAGTTTTAGGAGCAGGTCCCATTCCCAAGTAACTATAAGCCCTACCTGGACCAAACTTGCATGGATGATGCATCTAGGGATGTACACTACCACACTTGCTTCGGATGCTGGATCTGACCTAGATTTTCAGGTGAGTGACCAGGTTAAAGTTTTAGGAGCAGGTCCCATTCCCAAGTAACTATAAGCCCTACCTGGACCAAACTTGCATGGATGATGCATCTAGGGATGGACACTACCACACTTGCTTCAGATGCTGGATCTGATCTAGATTTTCTGGATGAGTGACCAGGTTAAAGTTTTAGGAGCAGGTCCATTCCCAAGTAACTATAAGCCCTACCTGGACCAAACTTGCATGGATGATGCATCTAGGGATGGACATGGCCACACTTACTTCGGATGCTGGATCTGACCTAGATTTTCTGGATGAGTGACCAGGTTAAAGTTTTAGGAGCAGGTCCATTCCCAAGTAACTATAAGCCCTACCTGGACCAAACTTTCATGGATGATGCATCTAGGGATGTACACTACCACACTTGCTTCGGATGCTGGATCTGACCTAGATTTTCCAGATGAGTGACCAGGTTAAAGTTTTAGGAGCAGGTCCATTCCCAAGTAACTATAAGCCCTACCTGGACCAAACTTTCATGGATGATGCATCCAGGGATGGACACTACCACACTTGCTTCGGATGCTGGATCTGACCTAGATTTTCCACATGTGAGACCAGGTTTAGATTTAGGAGAAGTCTCGTTCCCAAGTAACTATAAGCCCTACCTGGACCAAACTTTCATGGATGATGCATCTAGGGATGTACACTAACCAACCTGCTTCGAATGCTGGATCTGACCTAGATTTTCCAGAATTTTAGCCATATTTTAACCGAATTAGCATGGATGATGTATCTAGGGATGGACACTTCCAGACTTGCCTTGGATTCTGAATCTGACGTACATTTTCCAGATGAGTGACCAGGGTAATTTTTTTGGAGTAGCTATATAATATTATGGCCTGTTATGATTAGACTTGCATAGATGGTGCATCTAAGGATGAAAACTTCCAGACTTGCTTTGGATGTTGGAACTGACCAAAATTTTCTTGATTACTAAACAGGTCAAAAGTTTTTTGAGCAGGTCTATAATTAAATCAAACTTGCATGGATATTGATCTTGGGATGTACCCTAACTAGAAAAAAAATATGATGTGAAATTTGTCTTACATGTAGATAACATTCGTCGAGGTGAGCTTCGTAATCTTTGATTACCTATGTTTTATGTTCATGCAGCTATAATCGCCTCGTTTTTTCTATTTAACATCGGGATCAATGCTATATGATATTCTAGAAGTTTCTGTCAATATTAAGATCAGTGAATGATGAAAATAATTTGCACATTTCCCTTTTTAATCAGTTATCACAACGTATTTCTTTTATATCATTTAAATTAATTTTTGATTGAATAATTCGGTGATGGCGTTTTATGAAATAAATAAACGATTGCGTGTTGTCAGTTTCATTAAAAATTGCCAGTAACTTAAATCCACCAACCAGAACCGCCACCGTACTCACATTTTTGCTATTTCATGGCTGTTTATAGAAAATGAAAGTAGACTTTTAATTTAATGTACAATACTTACTATGTGAATGAAATCTAAATATAGTTTACGGACATCATCTTGTACCTAGTGTATTCATAGGGGATTAAGAAAGAACTCTGGTGCAGGCGTTTTGGAGTTTATTTGCAAAATTTATTCATTTATAAGTATAGATATTCAAACTGAATTTACAGAAATATATTTCTTACATTGAAATCACAGTACCTGTCCAAGTTGGTCTAATCATGAAACATTGAATGATTATGGAAAGTTATAAAATAGTGGATTTTTTTGTGAAAAGTGGTGAAAATATTTTTGTCTATACAGTAGAGCCTTGAGAAGCTGATTTCCCCTCTGTGGAATTATTACTAAATGTTGTGAAGTTTGTCTTTTCAAGTTATTTTTCCCCCAATTTATTCATTGTAAACAATGTTTTGTAAGAATCCTGCTAATTGATGTATAATTTTCAGTAGCTGGGAACACCAGTGTTGATGGCTGTTATAAGCCCTCCTTCTTAACTGATCAGGAGCTCAAACATCTTATTCTGGAGGTAAATATTATACTGTTTATATGGAACTGCAGAGGTTAATAATTTATTGTTTTTATGGAATTCTATAGGTAGCTTTTTATTTTCCCCTGCTTTTGCAGAAGCATAGAGACATTATTTCTCATTCATCTGATAGTCCCTCCATCTGTCTATCAACTTTAACCTTGGTCATAACTTTTGACTGAGAAAAAAAATAGGACTTTCATATTTCACTTGTGCATTTCCTGTGAGAAGAGCTTTCCAAACATACTGAATTATTTTTTTTTTACCCTGACATTAACCTTGAAGTTTGACCTCCTTTTCAAAATTTTTAACATTGATAATAACTTTTGAATGTCAGAGAGAAGATAGGACTTTCAGATTTGAATTACTTGTAATGAAATTACTCTGATTGTCAAATGATTTTTTGCCACCTTAACCTTGACGTTTGACCTACTTTTCAAAAAATCTTAATATTGGTCATAACTTATGAATGAGAGAAGATAGTGGTTTCACTTGTGCAATGCCTGTGATAAGACTATTTTGAATGTAGGTTTTGACCTCAAGGCCTTGAACTTGAAGTTTAACTTACTTTTCAAAAAAAAAATTAACATTGGTCATAACTTATGAATGAGAAGATATGGCTTTCATATTTCACATGTGCATTTTCTTTGACAATGCCTTTCATGGAATACTATAATTGACCTTAAAGTTTGAGAGTCCCCTACGGGCAATCGTAATCTGGTTTCCATTAAAAATTGAAAATGCCATAATTCCGTCAAAAATCATTGAAGCGAAACAAAATGCAAACTTGATCTATAACTAATCAAGGTAAAGTCACATACCAAAAATCAGCTCAATATCTGCAAGCGTTTAGGAAAAAAGTGTGGAAAAACAAGTGGGACAGCCTGACAGAGGGACAGACAGACAGACAGATGCACAAGAAACCTATAATCCCCTCCAGTTTCACCAGTAGGGGACTAATTATCTTTGGCTGTAGCTTTTTCACCTCAAGAGGTTGGGATTTCTATTTTTGATGTGCATTACTTCTTACAAGACATTTTTGAATGTATTTGACTTTTGACCTTATGACCTAGACCAGATTGACTTTCAAGAACTTAGAATTGAGTTGCAAATTATAATTTTAAAATATGCTATTTTTTCAATGCCTGTTAACGAATCAGTGATAATTTAACCTATGATATTTTTGTGTGTTTTGATTTTTGAACAGAAATTTGATTTCATTACATATAATCTAATGACACATATTTAGACAAAAAAAATCAATTTCAACTTTTATGTCTAGTAATATGTTCAAAGAAATGTGTTGTATTTACAGGCAGCTGATGGGTTCTTGTTTGTTGTTCAATGTGACACAGGCAGAATGATTTATGTCTCAGATTCCATCACACAGGTTCTAAACCAATCTCAGGTAAATCCATTATATCCAGGATGTGAACACCATATGATACATTTCAGGTCAACTACAAGTCTTGTGTACTTTGTTCTGCATGGTAATCCTCAAGGACAGCTAAAGTATTCAGTAAATAAAACAGTTTAAATATTTGTTGTACAGTTACATATAAATTAATGTACTTAGACATCAGGTTTTAGGGATTTAGATAGTTTATTATGACTTGTTATTAAAAAGATGCAACTATGGATTCAGAATGTTTTTGTAACATGTTTTGTTAGGATTGAATTTACTAGCTACCAAAATTATACTTAATAACCTGGGTTTGGGCAGTTTACACTTTATAAATTGCGAAATGGTTCATAAAAAAGCATTAACTGTTCCAACCCAGGTCATACCAGTATAACTTGGGTAGTTATAAAATGCATTCCTTATAATTTAACTTTCCATCTTAAGTGTAGAAAATAAGACAATTCCTCCTTCAAAAATGCCTTCAAATTGTACATATTTTAAATGTAACGTCAAGCAGATTGATAGGTTTTTGACGTAAGTCATTGTGACATAGGCAACACAGGTTATAATTAATTTTTTTTTATCCAATCAAATGACGCGTTGCAGCCAAAATTAAATTATTAAAATTTTATATGCAGGCTGATTGGTTTGGAAACTCCATGTATGAACTTGTACATCCTGATGATGTGGAAAAGGTTAGAGAGCAGCTGTCAACATCTGAATCTCAGAACACTGGAAGAATTCTAGACTTAAAAAGTAAGTTACCACAGAGCTCAAGAAGAATTCTAGACTTAAAAAGTAAGTTACCACAAAGCATAGGAAGAATTCTGGACTTAAAATGTAAGTTACTACAAAGCATAGGAAGACTTCTAGACTTAAAAAATAAGTTATTTCAGAGCTCAAGAAGAATTCTGGACTTAAAAAGTAAGTTACCACAAAGCATAGGAAGAATTCTAGACTTAAAAATAAGTTATTGCAGAGCTCAAGAAGAATTCTAGACTTAAAAAGTAAGTTACTACAAAGTATTGGAAGAACACTAGACTTAAAAAGTGAGTTATTACAAAGCATAGGAAGAACCCTAGACTTAAAAAGTATGTTATTACAAAGCATAAGAAGAACTCTGGACTTTAAAAGTAAGTTACCAAAGCATAGGAAGAACTCGAGACTTAAAAAGTAAGTTATCACAAAGCATAGAAAGAATTCTAGACTTAAAAAGTAAGTTACCACTGAACATAGGAAGGATCCTAGACTTAAAAAGTAAGTTACCACAAAGCATAGGAAGAGTTATAGCTTTTAAGAATAAATTACCACAGAGCTCAAGAAGAACTCTAGACTTAAAAAAGTAAGTTTCAAGAAAGCATGGGAAGAACTCTAGACTTCAAAAAAGTAAGTTACCACAGAACATACAAAGTATCCCAGACTTAAAAAGTTAGCTACCACAGAGTATTGTAAGATTATAGATTTTAAAAGTAAGTTATTACAATAATAGGTATTAGGTAGAATTCTCGACTTAAAAAGTAAAGTTACCACTGAGCTTTGGAAGATTCTATACTTTTAAAAAAGAAAGTTACCACAGTGTAAAGGAAGATTCTAGACTTAAAAAAGTAAGTTACACCAAGCATATATTGGAGGACTTTTAGACTTAAAAAGTAAAGTTACCACTTAGCATAGGATGAATTCTACACTTAATTAGTTATCACCAAACATGAGAAGAATTCTAGACTTAGCAAAGAAACCATTCTACTTACTGCAGAGCAGTTGAAGAATCCTAGACCTGGAAAGTACATTACTGTAGAAATTTGGAAGAATTTTAGATATTGAAAAATAAAAAAAAATGTTTGATATTTCAAATTGGGAGAATCAAAATATTAAAATTGCCAGTTCTATTGTCAGTGAAATTGTATAAACTAGCCTTTATTTATTTTTTTCTTTCTAGCTGGAACGGTAAAGAAAGACAGTCACCAGAGTAAGTATTAAAGTTTTAAAAAAGTAAAAAAATTGCATAAATATTTTCCAGTTCATTTCTCATCCAATCAGATTTTAAATACCCAGTACATAGAGATTTAATAATTTGAATTTGTTGCTTTCAGCGTCTATCAGACTGTGCATGGGATCCAGACGAGGCTTTATTTGTCGTATGAAGATGGGTAATGTAGATGTTAGCAGCATGAACTCAAGTCACACTCACCGAGCACGGCAGCGAAATACTCTAGGGCCCTCTCCTGATGGCAATCATTACACTGTAGTCCATGTAACGGGCTATATCAAAAACTGGCCACCCTCAGGTAATGTAAACTTAGTGTTGAAACATTGAAATAAAAATAATGAAAGTATTATCTTTTCTGACTGCTTAACAAATGACTCAGATAATAATTCTATGTCTCAGTATAATTATAATTTCTGTGTATACAACCATAGGAGTCCAGATGGATAGAGACTCAGATGAGAACTCAAGCACACACTGTTGTCTGGTGGGCATTGGTCGACTCCAGGTTACCAGTACACCTAACTGCAGTGATCTCATGGGACCCAATGGTAGCACAGAGTTCATATCCAGGCATAATATTGATGGAAAATTCACATTTGTAGACCAAAGGTAAGCAATATTAAGTAATACATGAACTTGAATGTACAAATTAAAATTCATAATCCAGATTTGCTTATTGCCTTGAAACATTTTAAAAAATTAATAAATTATTATTACCATAACATTTTCCTTCCTACATGTATGGTACAATGAAAGCAATATTAAAGGGATTTTTCAGGATAAAAAGAGACAAATTGTTGGATAAGCATATTTTGAAGTATTATGTCCATAGTTTAAATATTGAATCCCATGTCTTACTGCTTTTTAATGGCTGCAGTGGAGAACATTGATGGATCCTTTCTCAAGAAGTACAATTGTAAAACCATGTTGTATTGTAGAGTAACTCCAGTACTTGGTTATCAGCCAGCAGACCTTCTAGGAAAATCTGCCTTTGATTTTTATCACCCAGAAGACAAAGCTCACATGAAAGACACATTTGACCAAGGTATGTGTATTGTGTGATTAAATAGACTGAAAGCAGTGTGTCATGCAAAGTATGTAAAAGTAAAGTTCTGCTGTTCAGCATAGATTTTCAAAAAAATAGTCTTATGAAAAAGTCCTTTTTTAATGTTTATATTGTTTTATCTTTTATTAATATTATCTTTTTTTTAAATTGTTGGCGGAGGAAGGGAGACAGTGTTGTGATTTAAGAAGCAGAACAGCATCGTGTCATGAATCTTGTACTTCAAAGATTAATCTATCATTCAAATCTTTCAGTGTTGAAGCTAAAGGGGCAGGTGATGTCAATCATGTACCGGTTCAGGGCCTCTAATCATGAGTGGGTGTGGTTAAGGACCAGTAGTTTCAGCTTTCAGAATCCCTACACTGATGAAGTGGAGTACATTGTTTGTACAAACACATCTGCAAAGTGAGAAATGGGCTAAAATTGCACAATCATATGAATTATAGGAAGTTTAAGATAACTCTTTTTTTTTTTTTTTTTTAAATAGTGACAAGATATATGTAGATGGCTTAATTGGACATTATTTGATATTAGTATAGAATATTGCTTATTTTAAAATTATGCATAAATCTTTTATAAGTGTTGTTATTTTAGATTTAATAGTAAATTATTTAATACATGTATATGTAACTGTAAATGAAAGTATTTCAAATGGATTCAGTACTGTTGCATTGAACTGCAGTTCTTTTCTAGAGTGATCTTTTTCTATACCTTTTAGAAGTGTCCAACAAGGAGCAGGTGCATCTACTGCTCAAGGAATGCCAAACGAACAACCCCAAGATCCTAACCCGTCCATGGCCTCATATAACACCCCTCCCAGAGGTCCAATGCCAGCAGAGATGAATATCCAGCAGTCTGCAAACAAGCATGACTTCCGAGAACCCTTCCAAGACTATGGCTCTGTCCTCACTGGTGAGTCCAGAAGTTTTTTTGTCAGACTAATTGCAATGTAGAACTTGTTTATGTCTGTCTGTGTCATCATTTTTGTTTAGCTTTAAGGATTGTAATATAATCTTTTTAAAAAAAATCTACCCAATGTGACAAATACTGTAAACCAACTATTATATTGAAATTTTTGTTCTTGAATCCACAATGAAAACCCTTCTTTGACTATATATTTTTCCTTTCCTGTTTTATAAAACTTTTAAAATCTTTAATTCTAACCCAAAATATTATCAAATTTGTAACGGAGTTGTGTTAATTTGGAGTGGCAAGTTTAACAGTGATCTGTTGTCAATGGAGTGGCAAAGTGTGAACTCTTAGTCCATTGTTTACACAAATATACAGGGGAAGACAAATAAAATGGAAACAACCTAGACCCCAAACTTAGGGAGACATCCACAAGCACTTGTTCCTGTGATAAATATTTTACTTGATAGTGTGTTATTATTATACTAAGGGGTAAATTTTTTTTTTAAAGAAACAAATTCTTGTGGAGACATCATTTCTCCCTCCTAGTAATTTGGGAGAAGGTTTCAAATTCTAGGGAGACTTAAGCATGCCCAATTATTAAACTTAAAATTATAAATACATGTCAATGTATATACCTAAAATATGTTAATTTCTCTGTATTACTCTAACATCCTCAGAATCGAGGAGATTAAAAAAGGAGATCTTTAACAAATGTATTTTCTAATTACTATACATATAAATATCATGCATGAAAATAAAATACCAAAAAAAATCTCTCAGCTGATAAGCTTAAGTTTAAAGAAATGATTTCATTACTTGCATGGGGTGCACCATCCCTGTTCATTATTTAGATGGTAAGACTTACATTTAAGATTCAGTTTTCTCTCCATATTTTCAGGACCTTGGTAAAGTCAAGGTTTTAGAGAATTCCTTACTTTTTAAAAGAAAAGTAGTATTAAGTTAAATGGAAACAATAATATACCAGTATATATTATTTTATTATGAAAATCATGGCTATTGAATGCTGATTGAATGCTGATTGAGTGATTCATGCAGTTAGCCTTGGTTGTTTATTTTTTCATGTATATGATCAAAGTGATCGCATAAGACAGTCATCAGCTACATTTACCGTATTATATGTCAGTATTCACGGCATGAATTTAAAATATTGACAATAAAAAGGTCTAAAATCCTCTTAAAACATCTTTGACATGACATAGATGTTTTGACTTTGACCTTGAAAATAATAAATAAAAATGACAAAATTGTATTCCTAGTGTAGTTGATGAGTGAGTTTATCATCCCCTTGCTTTACACAATGATTAAGAAAGATGTTTTAACAACCACCACTAACAGTGACTTGGAATTGACTCTTTGGCTTGTTATTGGTAAATCAAATGTTTTGTGCTGTGAATGTTTTTTTGGTCGTTTTGCTTATATAGCACTTTTAGGATGAGATGTTTTGAATATAGTCATAAATAATTGACTTTGATTTTAACTTTTGTATTTGCTTCTTTCTGTTCAGTATGACATTTTTAGGTCACCTGAGTCACTCAGGTGACCTATTGCTATCCGTTTTTGTCCGTCAGCGTTCGTTGTGCATCGTGCATTAACATTTGAACATTTTTAGCTTCTTCTCTGAAACTGCTCAACCATTTTCAACCAATTTTGGCATATAGCACCTTTGGGTGAAGGGGAACAAAAATTGTGAATTTCATGGTCCCTGCCCCCCTGGGGCCTGAGGGGTGGGGCTAAAACCACCAAAATTAATGCAATCTTTAAAAATCTTCTTCTTTACTCCTAGACATCAAGCAGTCAAACTGTTGGCATGATTGTAATAAGAATTGAGCCCTCTACCAAAACTGTGAAATTCATGGCCCCAGGGTCGGAGTTGTGGTGCTAGGGTGGGGCTATATACATCATATAGTAAAAGTTATTTCTTTGAAAATCTTCTTCTCTGCTCCTGGGTATTAAATAAACTAACAAAGTACATAGTTATGTTAAGCAAGACTGCCTCTTCCAAAATTGTGAATTTCATGTCCCCAGGGTAAGGGGTTCTGGTGTTAGGGCAGGGCTTTATTGATTATATATTGAAAATGCATTAAATCTTTAAAAATCTTCTTGTCTGCTCCTGGGTATGAAATAAACTAACTAAGTACATAGTTATCATGAGCAAGAGTGCCTCGACCAAAATTATGAATTTCATGGCCCCAGGGTCAGGGGTTCTGGTGTTGGGGGGGGGGGGGGGTCTATTGATTATATAGTGAAAATGCATTAAATCTTTGAAAATCGTCTTCTCTGCTCCTGGTTATGAAATAAACTAATTAAGCACATAGTTATCATGAGCAAGAGTGCCTCTACCAGAATTGTGAATTTCATGGTTATGATGAGCATGGCTGTCTCTTCCAAAATTGTGAATTTCATGGCCCCTGGGTCAGGGGTTCTGGTGAAAGGGGGGAATCTATTGATTATATAGTGAAAATTCATAATTTCTTTCAAAATATTTTTTTCTACTCCTGGTTATAAAGCAAAGAAACAAGTGTATAGTTATGATGAGCAAGGATGCTTTTACAAAATTTTTAAAACTTGTGGTCCCAGGTGTTCTGTTGTTTCTGTGAGGGGAAGGGGGGGGGGCTCTATTTGATTATATAGTGAAAATGTGTGAATTCTTTGAAAATTTTCAACTAATTGTATAGTTATGATAATGAGGGTACCTCTTCCAAATTTGTAAATTGGGTTCTGGTGTTAGGGTAGGGCTGTGTTAAATAGTAAAAAAAAGCATTATTTCTTTGAAAATCTCCTCTGCTCCTGGGCATATTGGAAGCAAACAGAGTAAAAGTTTTAATAAGCAAGGGTATTTTTACCAGAATTTTGAACATCTGGACCATTTAGTCAAGAGTTCTGGTCCTGGCCAGGGCTCTATTAATTTGTATTCTACTGATTGAAGTTATTCCCCTTTGCCATTCACCTTTGATAATTAATCACTGTAGATAATGTATTTGAAAGGTTAATAGAATAAGAGAATTATGCAAGAACATTTATTGTATAATGCAAAAAGTACTTTTATAGTTTTAATAATCAGGTAGACTTGAAAATAATAGATGAATAAAAATGAAACAAAAATAACTTATCTTTTTAAATGTTCTTCAAAGGCCAAGTTAGGCCAATGTGAGAGATGATAATATAGACATTTTGTTAAAAGTCAGCATGGTAAAAGTGATAAATGGGGGACAGATAGAAAGACACTAGACCAATTATTTTGTTGATCTTAATCATACTATTTTCCTTGCTATTGGGCAACAAAGCTTCATTTATCAGTTTATGGATCCTCTAAATTGTTGTACTCAGGTGACCATTAAGGCCCTTGGGCGTCTTGTATGATTATCACTTTAAACTTTGATTTTCTAAAGGTAACTCTTTTATCAAAAGGAAGGAACTTTGAGACTGATCTCAACAATGAATATCTCATTTCATTTTCTCAGAGTATGATTATTGTGCATTGTGGTCTCATAAAAGACCATGCTTTTTAAAAAATATATTGGCTGACTGTTTTTGCCTATATGTTTTACAAAGAAATACAACTATTTTCATTATAGGAGCCAGACAGATTGGCAGACCAGAGATGTATAATTACAACTCGCCTTCTCAAATCAAATACCCTGGACAGAATGCAGCCACTAGTATGCCTACCGGTATGTCTCAGGCATCTGGTGTAACAGGAGTCAGAAGAAGCCCAAACGCAGGAGGCTGGGCAGGACCTGCAGGGTTTCCACAGAATCAGGTTACTTGCATATTCATGGAATGATACAGTTGTAAAAAAAATTTAAATAAAATTTTTGTATAAAAATTAATTAAGTCACTGAAAGCCATGTACTGTAAGTTATATTGATTATCTGATAAAGAAATTACCTGGTAGTTTTTAATTGCTGCTAAGTAGAGGAGTGTAGAATTACAGTAACATGGTTATAGCAAACACACTAAATTCACGCAACCCTTACAGCAAAGTGAATTCCATTTCCCATGGTTTTAAAAGGTTTTGTGAACTAAATGTATATAATGAATTATGTTTACAACAAATCAAAATTATTGGTTCCTGGCACTTCACTATAAGTGTGCTTTACTGTACAATACTGTTTTCATGCCAAATACAATTATCAAAGGGTCTCTGCTCTTTAGAAAGCCAGAGTTTTAAATGTCACTTTGAATAACTTGTTAATTTTATGTTGTGAAAGAGTGAGGCTAAATTATGTGTATATTTCAGGGAGGCACTGACTTCAGCAGTAACCCGGCCTCTGGTTTCTCACAGATTAGTCCTAACAGCTCTTCTCCTGGTTAGTGTACTTTAAAGTTAAATTTAATTTTTAAAAGTCAAGATCTTGGCTTGTTTTATCTGATGTACTTTTTTTGTCTCAGGATAATGTAATTTGAAAAAAAAAATACTATGCCCAACCATGAATATGGCAAAGGTATGTAGTGTTTGTCATCTCTTCCATCCCTCTGTCCTATCTTCATCCCTCTGTCCTTCCAACCTCCTGTCTGTCTGTCCATCAAACATTTTGCTAAGTTTAGTTTCAAAAAAAAAATGTTCATCGACAAAATATTTTTATCAAGCTTCATACAATTACTGTATAAGCAGAAATTTTAGCCGTGATTCAATTTTGGCATTTTTAGTAAGGGTGTGGAGATTGCTAAAATTGAACATCACCAACAATTCATTCCCACATTGAAGGTTACTTTAATCTTTCTATACATCATAAAATCGCTAAAATTACTTCTCGCTAAAATTAAATACCAATTTTTATGGAGATATTGCTAAATTTGCATCTTGCTAAAAATTCCACTTATACATGTTGGTAAGAGCAATTCAACTGTGTCTCAATTTTCTGATGTTGACCTTTCCTATGACTTGAACTTCACTTTTTCAAGATATTTTTTCTCAAACTTCAAAGGTGCATATTGGTGAGAGCAATATTCTCTATGACACAATCTACTGTGTCATAATTCTCTGACCTTGACCTTCACCATGACCATGATTACTAGAATCATTCATTACTACGAGTGTGGGATAGTGAAATTCCACTGAGGGGACAAGATTCACGGTCTAGGACTCGGCAAACCCATATCAAAAAATAATACATAAAAGTATATTTTTAATATATTTTTAATACAATCATTTTCGTATTGTTTAAAATTAATACAGAAAAAATATATTATTTTTGTATCACCAACAAATAGGTAGATTATTTTTGTATTAAAATCTGACTTTGATTTTTTACAGGGTATTATTTTTGTATTTTTTGGGACTTAGATTATTTTCAGTATATCATTTTTGTATTTTTGTGGACTTAGTTTTTTTCAAGTGTATTTTTTCTGTATTAAAATTGAACTTAGTAATTTTACAGAAAATTACAAACAGTTAATCTGTATTATTTTTGTATTAAAATTGAACTTAGTAATTTTACAGAAAATTACATACAGTTAGTCTGTATTATTTTTGTATTAAATTTGGACTTAATAATTTTTCAAAAAATACTATACAGTCAGTATGTATTTTTTTATATTTATTTTGGACTTAGTGTTTTCTTTTACTGAAATTTGTATTTCTTTGAACTTAGGAAAATTTACAGAATGTCCTTGCAATAAGTCTGTTGGAATTAATATTTTTTCTCAGATTTTATTAATTAAGACCACTGCTATAAAGGTTGCTTTTATACTATTTACATTTAATTGCTATTTAGAACAGAAAATTTCAGTAGTTTAAATTTGTTAACTAAACAATTTCATTTTTAAAACGTCTTTACTAGGTGTGAAATTGTCATTTGGAAAGAGATAGATACGTCTAAGGGAACACCTATGCTGTACATGATAGTTGTAAACACGCGGTAAATTTTGAAGTTTCAGAGTTTCAGACTTTCTTTTTGTGTTGAAAATTTTACAGCGTGTTTACAACCGAGTGTTTACACTATCGCCAACAGCACAGGTGGCCACCTGCAGGCTTACAATAGACGAGTACATGTTATACTACTCAAAGAAATAGTTCATGATTTACCCGTGAAAACACATCCCAACCAAAAAACAAAAACAAACAACATGGAGAGTTCCACTAATTACAGTACCTACGATGTTTTCTTGACTATACAACTCAATTTAGTATACATTATATTTAAATTCAGTACGTATTACAATTACATGGAATAGAACTATTTAATTATCCGCTTTAAAAAAAAAAAATAAATAAGAAATTATTACGAAAGAATATCATAAAATAATATAGAAAATGTTGTGAAATTGGTGTAAAGGATAGTTGTTAAACATTATTTCAAACTCTGGTACCGTATGTATGAGTTAAGTTGTCCGTCAAAAAGGCTATATATTATGTATCTCCCGCTCGTTTTGATCATTATATTTGAACTTTATGGTCTACTTCACAGGTCAACTTAAATATAAAAATGGCTGCTCTCAGCGGAAATGATGACCGGAAATAACGATGTTTCGTAATCGGTAAATTCCGTAAGGAATAAAAAAAATGATTCTGATGATTAAATTGAACATCGTTTTTTTCTAACATAATTTTAGGTTTGTTCAATTGATTCAAGATATTTAAAACCATGTAAATATGTTTTCTCTAACTGTTCCGATCTCAACATCGGTAATTTTCGTATATATGACACAATATGATTGGTCAGATTTTAAAACTCTTCCGTACTGTTCTCTGATTGGTCAACAATATTTCACCCACGCCATTTTGAAAATTCTTCCCGGGACGTGTTGAGAAAGCTGGAGGTGATTTTGAATAAACTCTCATTTGCTCGCGAGTAAAATGGATCGAAAAACAGAAGTTCAGCATAATCATGGTACACAGGATCATATATATGAACCAAGGAAAGCAAATACATAAGGAGACTGACGTTTTTTAGGCATCATATCCGGACTTTTCTGGTGTAAACAACGACAGTTGCGGTAAGATTATGTATATTTTAGCACATTAAAGTTTCAGTTTTTTAAATAATAACTTAGTACAAAGATAGAGGAACAAAGAATGCCTTTTTACCCATTTTGTAGTATTGTAGAAAGATAAAATAGTACGGTTATTGGCCATGTGGGGAACAAGGGTTTTTGTGATAAATTCTGATTGGGGAGGGAGGGGTGGAAGATGGGGGTAATTTTCAAGCCTTTGGCTTCCTATTTCTAATTCATTCCAATTTTTTCAAGTTTACCAGAGACGAATTATTTATTTTCCCTTCAAAAACAATTCTGTAATTTGTATAAACTCAAATTTTTTCGAGGGGGGGGGGGGTAGGTTGGGTTCGGGGGGGGGGGGCAGTTTATTTAAATAACATTGGGGCACCGATTTGTTTACTCTTTCAACGTTTTCAAGGACAGATTGTTTATTACAAATATTTTTTAAAAAATATTATATAAATCAGCCCCCCCCCTTTTTTCTTCTCCAGATTGTCAAATCAAATGGTTGTCCCCTAAGAAACACCCCAGATTAAAGAAAAGTAATTTCAATGGTACAATTGTATGGAATTTGGTGAACTCCGCTGGATCTTTTGGAATTTCAATTTATAATTATTGTTAATTTCAGTCAGCAGAACATTGAAGAAAAGCTGATTAGTCATGGAGGAAGAAGATCCCTCTCAAGAAAGTATTGCAGGTGTGTGAGCTTAACAAAATCTATAGAGAATTATTTTGGATGTGAAAATGTGTGTTTTGTTGAGGTAATGGTTCATTAAATTTTATTATTATATCATTCTGTTCTATATTTCACAGTGATGAAGTCAGATGAGATGACAGGTTGTGTGATTTGAAGATGGACTTCTGCAACAAAGTAAACACTCCTCTACCTTTTCCATACAAAAGAAACAGCAAAGCAGAGAGATCGAAACAGTTGGTAAAAGTACAAAGAAAACAGGATTAGTTAAACTTGTGAAAAATATCAAGACTATTGAAGAGCAGATTATATGTAAAAAGAAAGATCAAGACTAGAATTGGTAGCTGAATCAGTAGCCTGGCCACATTAATTACTTTTTAATTAGCTATTTGTACATTTAAGGTAATCTGACTGAGTTACTAAAATTGTTATTTAACAAATATTTCAAATAAATAAAAGATTTTTGAATAACAATCAATAGATGCTATTAAGAACCTCAATCTCCAACCCCTTTTCTTCAAATAACAATTTTTGCCCATGATCATTTTTGTAGTTTTTAAAACTCTGTTTTGTATTATTTTAAGCATTTAAATGTATTTTTTGTCTATCATTCTTGTACTTTTTTGATATTTTTGAAATACAATCTTTCATGCTGATAAAAATACAAAAACAATACATATTAATACAAAATTAATACATTCTATATTTTTTTCATACTTTTTTGTGTTCTGTATTATTTTCATATTTTATATCTTTTTTGTACTTTTAATTGTTCCAGATGAAAAAATACAAAAATAATATATGTGATACAAAATTAATATATTCTATATTTTTTTTGTATTTTAATTCTTAAAGGTGAAAAAATACAAAAATAATATATGCTAATACAAAATTAATACATTCTGTATTTTTTCTATACTTTTCTATGGACTGTATTATTTTTATACTTTGGAGAGGAAAATAGAGAAATAATACAAAAGTACAAAAACAATACGTTTTTACAGGTCATGTGTATCATTTCTGTATTATTTCGAAAAAATAAAATATATTAAAAATATATTTTTCTGTGTTTGGCTTTTAAAAAGTCTATTATTTTTGACCTAAATTGGAACCAAGATTTAGAGGGTTCCAAATTTGGTCATTAAAAATATACTTTTTTTGTATTATTTTAGTATTTTTTTCTTGTATTATTTTTGTATTCATTTTCGATATGGGAAGCCTCGTCCTAGACAGTGAATCTTGGCCCTGAGGTGGAATTTCACTATCCCACACGAGTATGTAAGGAATGATTATTTTTCTCGCATTATTTTATCCAAAATAATGGCATGTCATCACCATTGAAAAATTTATATTTTTAATTTAGTATCCAATTAAAAATCTGAATACACCATCAAAGAAATCGTACCTGAATATGGTTTACACAATGTGTAAACTCAGAAAATAAATTTCAGTTCACTTAAATCATTCTGAATTATATAAACTGGATTTTAAAAAAACAACAACAGTGTAACATTTCAGCAGAATCCTTTCGCGACCTACAAATAGTGCCATTTAGAAAGTGAAAATATGACAATCTTTTGAATGAAAATAAGTCTGATTAAATAAGTTATACAACAACATTTTAAGAATATGTGATTTTTTTAGACATCTTTACAAGTATTATATAAGTAGGAATGTTTACGTTACCATTCGCAGCATAGTAATACACAGTGTAGGACAGAAAAATCTCACACTTCTGTCTCACACTGGACAGGTCTATCTAACACTGCTGATTATGCGTGAAAACACTGTTCTACTTTAAATTCAAAAAAAAGGTTCAAGATTAATGTATAGTATTATTTTTTGGCAGGTTGCTAACTTAAGCTTATTTTAGCAGTTTGGTAGAAGCCTGCTAAAATTTTAATTACTAAATTGCTCTTATATAATGACAATTAGAAAAACCTATGAGGAAGTAAATAACACATGGTTTCAATTATTTTTGCTTAAATGATTTTTTTTTTTTTTTAGAACAAAACAAAGATTGAAATATATATATTTATTACATTTTAAACAGTGGAATACTGTAATTAATTTATTGAATAAAAGTGATATTCTGTTTCACTGTGAAAGGATATCAAAATTATATTCTGTCACAGTGTGACAGAATATCAGAAATGTGGCAAAACTCAAGATTTTCTTTCCTTCTCTTCATGAAGAATTTAGTGCTGTGTACTCATGAAAATATATTTTTTTAAAAATCCTATCCCACTTGTGAAATAAATTCCATATCCAACTAAAAAACATTGAATATCCACTATATACAACAGAGTTTTCCTGTTGAACCTGGTTTAGCTATGGCAATAACAGTATTTTTTTTTCCTGTGTTGCTTCAGATGACAGCAAAATGGTTTTAATAAGGAGAAAGTAAATATATTAAAAGGACCATTGTATTAAAGTATTTCATCTGTTTTCAGCTGGGCCTCCCACCTACACTCAGCTTGGATCACAGAATATTCCCAGCTCACAACCAAATAACTTTTCTCATTCCTCTCCTCCCACATCTACTGGTCAGGGAATGTGGCCTCCCCACTGGCAGGGAGGAGCAGCAGAAGCCCCACAGAACCCCCAGGGCCAGCAGGCTCCCCCTCCTAATGGTCAGCAGAATGAGGAGTTCAGTGATGTTTTCCGTATGCTGGACCCTCCTGGACAGGAATTTAATGATCTCTCAGGGATGTTTAACACTTTCCAAGACTAGTGTTTGTAGAGGGGCTATCAATATCATATATAGAAACAAGGTTCAGTGTTTAAATACCAAGATCTGTCATATCATTTCACTTCCCTGTTGTTTTGTTTGTCAGTACTGTATACTGCTTTTATATTTTGCTTGTGGCTAATTACATCTTTTCTTAACAATATCCTTTTGTAATTGGCAGTTTTTATTCCTTTTATCATTTATCATTTATTTAACTTGTTTACTGTGAATTTCAAAACTGCGAGAAGAAAGCTTTGTACAGTGGTCATTTTTTATTATTCATGAACTTCACCTTTGTAATCATCATTCATCTAATTTGAAAGACAGGAAGCAAAAATGATGGACATAATAAATTTGGCTTTATACTTTGGTAAGCAACTGTGTTGGGGTTTAACGTGTGACAATTGCATGATAGGAAGCTGTCATACATAGCCAATAGCCATTGTACTCTTGGGGTCAACCTTGTGTTTATTTCACATCAGTATTTGCAACATCGCAGAACTTAGTAAAGTGTCACCACTGTGTCCACTTTTAAAATACATGTAGTTTTGTTGATTATTTTGCAAGGTCTTTTGATTTGCTTTGTTTTGTTAAATATGATTAAGATATTAATTGAGTAGCTAATTAATTATTGTTATTGTATGTTTTGTATGTTTTTCTCTCTTTCTTCGGTGCTTAACTTGCTTATTGTGTAATTTTTCTTTCTTTTTTTATACAACTAGGTTTATAATAACAAAATTAAATGTGCTGAAAATATTTTTAGTGCTGACAAAAGAAAAATGAAAATGATTCTTTGAAATAAGTATACATACAAGTGATAGACATAGAAAAACATCAAAATGTACTATTTGAAAATGCCACTGACATCTAAGAAAACATCAAAATGAATAAAGAAATTGAGATAAAACATATTTGGTTTCTTTTGTGCCCATGTCAGTTTAAAATGCTTACAAGATTTTGCCTCTGTGGTTTACTCTTGTAGGGTAAATTGCTGATAAACTGATCTAAGTATTTGTCAGACATATGAAAAGCAGGAATATTTTTTTAACCAAGAGAAGACTGTATAAAACTATTTTGGTGAGTAATTGTAGATACATGTATTTGTTCTGTACTGTAGACAGATAGAATTGTAGATTGTTTTTATTGCCATAATTTTGTACAAGATCTGCTTCAATATGTATGTCCATTGGTTTCAGTCATTTTAGATGCCTTAAGTAAACATTTTTCTCTTTCAGTACACTATGACAAGTATGTGTACTACTTAGAAACTATACCAGACTGCATGATGGAGAAAAAAGTTGATGTGCAATGTTGATAAACTCACTTTAGATTTAAATGCTTCAAGAAATAAACTGAGATGTAGATGTGTTTTAGCTTTTTTTAAATATAATTTTGCATTCCCTCAAACTTTACGGTATTTATTCTGGCAACTAATCAAAATTAATTCAATTTAATCTGCTTTTTAATTCATCATTGCATCCCAAATATGAAAATGTGTCTTGAGCAGCAAAATTCAATGTTTGTATTTTTAGCTGTCACAAATAAAGCAAACAGATACAAAGTTTCAAGTTTTAATCTTAAAAAACAAAACAAAATCATGTATATATATATGACATTGTAAATAGTCATTTTCACAGATTTGAACATTTTTGATTTTTTTTTAAGTACATGCTGCCATATTTTGAATATCTCATCGGTTTCATCAAACTTTCACATTGAATTATTTACAGGAATATTTACAGTAACTTATATTTTGATAATACCTTATCCTCATGATAACATACTAACAACTTTTTAAATACAGATTTTAAATATTAATCTGTGGTTCTAGTAATGGGTATAACCTACAGAAATGTGCCATACATACACATTCTTTTGCAACAAAGTTCACCATTTCATTTGCATATTTAACATTGGCAACACTGCATTTTTGGAAGAAGAAAAAAATTTTTTTGTTTAATTCTGGTGGTCACAAAGTCAGAATGTAGTTTTGGTTATTTATATGTATTTTTTTTATATTTATTGAGGCATGTCCTCTTTTAAGATTGAAATTATTCTTTTTTAGTTAAAAAATATGCACAGTCTTTATGTGTATGTACTTTGATTTTTTACATATCTCTCAACGTTCAAAGCTAAAATCAAAAGAGACACTTCAATAGATTACTTCAGAAGTATAATTGTATAGATTTATATTGTGTATCATTTTGGCATTCAAATAATTCATATTTAACCTCTGTCCTCTATGGTCTCCTTGTCTCTATAGATTTATAATTAGTATAGTAGAATCATTCAAATTATGGTGTAGTGATTTTGTTGACAATGATTTCACAATTTGCTGTAAACCATTTCTTAGTTCTATGTTTGAATGATCATTTAACAGTAACATGAACTAATATATCACAGGAAACATTTTATATAACATATAAACCCTTTTTTAGCATATTTTAGTAACAAGTTTTAATCAGCAGGTGTCTGTAGAGACTTGGATCTTTATTAAGGAGAAGTTTGTTATACATATATTGTTATTTCTACAATTTTATGAACAGCAAGTCTGTACAGCTTTGTTTTGTACATGTTCAATTTTTATTTGTTGTCATTCCTTGTAGTATATTAATAAAATCATTTATATGTAATTTTGGTACTTATTTAATTGTTGATAAGTATAGTTACTCTGAAAGACAACTGCATACTGTAATTTTTAAGAAAGGTTTTAAAGGTGCATATAAATTATAGGTGCAGGTGATTAGAGATTAGTCTGTTAGTCTGTCTGAGATCTGGTGTCTGTTTCTACTAAGAGTTTGTTATGACCTTAAGTAAGCCAATTTTCAAACTCAGAGACCAAAAACAGATATATTTTACTTGGTCTTATCTCATTCAGGCCATCCTCACAATTTATTTGGAAGCTGCTTGCCCCCTCATACTTCTTGTTGTGGACACTGGCAAATTCCAGCATTTTAATAGAAAAAAAATGTACTGAAAAATTAGAGAAAAGTCCAACCCCACCCACCTTCCCCCTCCAAGAAATAGGATTTTCGAGTTTGGGCAAATTATCTTCTTTTTTTTTTTTTTTTTTTTTTTTGCTTGTCATTTTTTAGCTCTACTGGTCAGAGTCCAGGAGAACTTAAATGCGATAGTAATGTGTCTGTCATCAGTCCCTCTAGCTGTTTGTCCGTCTGTCTGTGAACAATTTTTCAAAACACTACTCCTCCTACAGTTTTGGTCTGATTTCAGTATAACTTGACATACAAGTAGACTACACTTAGATACATAATTCCGTGTATCAGTTTTTGATTTCGATGAAAAGTGTTGCCACGGTTACTAGAAAAAGAATTTTCTGTGAAATACATCAAAATGCTACTCCTCCTACAGTTTTCATCTGATTTAAAAAGATGCTCGAAATTCTGATTGACAGTATCTATGTAGTTTTTGGAGATCAAGTGTGCCAACAATCTGTTGGAATTCCCATGGGTACCAATTGCACCCTTTTATTAGCAGACCTATTTTTGTATTCATATGAAGCAGAATTTATTTAATTCTACATGAGAAGAAGAAAACACTTGCTGTGGCCTTCAACTCGAAATAAAAGATACCACAGAGTCTGACACATCTAGCTGTTTCATATTGAGATATTTTACTAGAAAAAGACGTTAATGGTAACCTAACAACAAAGCTTTATGATAAAAGTGATGACTTCAACTTTTCAATTGTCAACTTCCCTTACTTATGTGGCAATATACCCTTATCATCTGCATATGGGGTTTATGTTTCTCATTTGATTCGATATGCAAGAGCATGCTCTACGTATGAACAATTTCTTAAACGAGACAAACTATTGACAAACAAGGATATCAACAGTCTCGTTTGAATTCATCATTTCGCAAGTCTTATGGTTGATACAATGACTTTGTCAGCACATACAATCTATCATTGAGTCAGAGGCTGACTGACGTTTTTCATACTAATTATTGGGCCATTATTTATACACTGAACTGTCAACGGATTTTTCCGTTTTTATGCCCCCGTATCGAAGATTCAGGGGTATATATTTATGTCTGTCTGTTTGTCCTCAAAAACTTCAACATTGCCCATAACTTTTGAGTGGTTGGAGCTATGGCTTTCATATTTCACATGTGTAGTCCTTGTGACAAGACCTTTCTTTGGGTACCATCATATTTGACCTTTGAGTTTGACCCAGTTTTACAAAATTTTACCCAACTTTAACCCTAGCCATAACTTTTGAACAGTTTGTTCTAGGGCTTTCATTCTTCACATGTGCAACAACTTTGACCCTTTGACCTTGACCTAGGAGTTTGACCTACATTTGAAAAACTTTAACCTTGGCCTTAACTTTTGATCGGTTGGTGCTAGGGCTCATACTTCACATATGTAATCCTTGTGACAGGACCTTTCTTTGGATACCAACAACTTTGACCCCTTGACCTTGGAGTTTGACCTACTTTTAAAAAACTTTAACGTTGGTCATAACTTTTGAACAATTGGTGCTACGGCTTTCATACTTCACATGTGTAATCCTTGTGACAAGACCTTACTTTGGATACTAACAACTTTGACGTTTTGACCTTGACCTTGGAGTTTGACCTACTTTTGATAAACTTTAAACTTGGCCATATCTTTTGAACTTTTGGTGCTAGGGCTTTCATATTTCACATGTGTATTTCTTGTGAGAAGGCCTTTTTTTTGGGCACCATTAATTTTGACCATTTGACCTTGACTTTGATGTTTGACTTACTTTTGAAAATTTTTTAACCTTTTCCATATCTTTTTAATGGTTGCTGCTAGGGCTTTCATATTTCACAGGTATATTCCTCGGGACAAGAACTTACTTTGGGTATCAACGTATTTGATTTGCATTTGAGAAAGTTTAACCTTCGCTATAAGTTGCCATACGTGGGCATCAGTGTTTCACAAACACATCTTGTTTTTTCCAGTCATGACAAGGAGCACACGGCGGGTGTGACCGGCCGGCAGGGGATGCTCACTCCTCCATGGCACCTGATCCCACCTCTAAATTTTGAGGTCCATGTTTGCTCTGCTCCAAATTTGTATTGTTTCATCGGACTTATAAGATGAATACTATTTGTTATCTTCATATTTCATTCAATATAACTTGGGACACAAGTAGATTACTCTAAGATACATAATTCTGTTTATCGATTTTTGATTTTGATGAACGATGTTGCCAAAACTAAAAATTTCAGTAAAATACATTTAGAATGCTACTCCTCCTACAGTTATGGTCTGTTTTCAGTATAGCTTGGCACACAATTAGTCAACTCTAAGATACACAATTCTGTATATCAGTTTTTGATTTCGATGAATGGTGTTGCCATGATTACTAAAATGGTAACTAATAAATTTTGCCCTAAAAGAGACTAAACCAAGGAACATTATTCTATTCATTGCTGTTGCAAAGTTGCATGTCCAAGTGCTTCTTTTCTATTCCTTTGTTTTAAGTACAAACCTGTAGAGCTACAGTCTCAACAGAGACTTCTGGTTTTGGAGGTTGCCCCCCCCCCTTTTGAAACACACTGCTACGGGTCTGTTTTGACAAGATTCATTTGCCGTTCTCATTTTTAGGTCAGCTGGCTTACCACTTTTGTCGAAGCTCAACTCTCACGTTTATGTTGCAAAAGTAAAAACAGCAAAAACAAAAAGGATCGAACCACCCATCTTCCCCTGCATCAATGATGACGCAATTCAACTGAAAACAGACCTTGATGTAATATATGTATTTACTAGAATCAAATATTCTAGTCATAATAAATATTTGTGTAAACTTATAGACTTTTTTCCAATACAGCTTCACTTGCATTATCTTGTCCTTTGATATATGCATCCGAAGACAGTGCAGATTTGTATAGAAAGAGTGCTCATCACAACATCAGGGGATGGTCTGTTATGGCATGTCAATTTCCACTATATATTGATCTAAATGATTATAAGGAAAAACAAACAACAAAAAAAAACAGTAATTAAGCTCGTCATAAAGTCACCCGATTAAATCTTCAGCCTGCAGCAGAAAACTAATTTGTGACGATTTTTTTAAATTCAGGCCCAGTATATCACAGTGATTGGAGATAATTACAAGATAATTACACTCGTTACACAATTTGGAGTATAAAACACTTTCTTCTCCATTTTGGCGATCTGAAGACTTAAGTCAAATGGATGCTGTGTCCAAAAGATATCGGATCGAGACCCATGATGACGCCACCTGGATTCTGGCTAGTGCGTTCATCATTTTTACAATGCAATCGGGTGAGTACTAAGTAATGGGAGACCTGAATGTTGATTTTTTTGTGTTCAAATTTAGTACTCGTGTGTGTCGATGGTAAAATGAAAGTACGTGCGCGTAATCTCTCCCTCCCTTCCTCTCTCTCTCCCCCCCCCCTCTCAGAAAGGATGACGATATGAAATGTCGTGATGCTAAACCTAAATTCATTTTCTGCATGACTGATGATAAATATTTTAATCATGATAATATAAAAAAAGTAATTAATTCAGTGTACATATCCTAAGTCTCTGAACAAAATCTTAATGACAATCCCAGCTGGATTACGAAATCAAAGAGGTATCTAATATAGAGGTAGGCTATTGACTCTTTATAATTTATCTCTAAAACAAAAAATATAATTAAAAATCATAAAGTCACTCCAAACTATATACACTATTTCAGATTACGAGGGGAACAGACTGTTGTCCGGAGGTATTGGGGAATACCTGTGAAACTCTTGCCCGAGGCCGAAGGCTAAGGGCAACAATTTTCCAGGTCTTTTCCACTATCACTATGCTCTCATGCAGTGATTTACACGCACCTGGTATAACATCCTCTATTTAGATCTCAGTTTGATGGTGGCATTTTTCTGCCCTCTACATGCAAGATAAATTATGTCACATGCAACATGTCTTTCTACATGCAAGATAATAAGTTGACATTTAAGTTACCAATCTTTTTTTGAGAATCTGATTTAATATAGATAAATTTACTTTCTATCAAAGCCATCAAACATGAAAGATACAACATATTCATGTTGACAAGCGTTTTATTTATGTCAACATGCGAGTGAATTAAGTCGACATGCCAAATAATGATGTTGACATGCGACTTATTTATGTCGGCATGCGATATACAATGTCAACATTGAGCATAATTGTTAATATGCAAAATAATTGTTTTTGACTTAATTATCTTGCATGTTGACATGAAGAAATCGGATATCAGCATAATTATTTCACATATGCTGTCTCGGGCGTCAACTAGCATCTACTAGGGGAGGGGGGATTCGGTGACACGAACGAGCATTGTGGAAACTAGCTTTAAACACATTATCGTAGTCGCAATTTTGGAGGGATATTTGACATGATTTTCTGAGTTTTCAAGAATTTACAATTACAATGTTTATGGTCAATGACCGTCACCGAAAAATTAGGCAAATATGGAATAATTTTCATCCGGAATTGAACAAGATGTGTTGACTATAACCTGACATTCTGAAATTTCTTCATCTGCATTTTGGATTGTCTGGAGTGGAGGGAGCTAGTTTCGGGTCACAGGTTATCAATATAATATCCATTCTATCTGCAAGTTCTTTGGAATTTCTACTTTTAAATA